CACATGGATTCCAAATGTAGAATGGGAACTAAAAAAAAAATACAACTAAATCAGAGCTCAGCCACATTTTTAAAACACTTTAAGCCAGTAAGTAGAAAAATGAAAGTTCAACTCTGCGAGTGTAGTTTAATCCCCTTTCTGTCTCTCTCCTTGAGTTAATTAGTATTCAGCCTCCCAATACCTGTTTCCTCCTTTTGAGCCCTTTATGTATTAGCCGTGTGTATTTGTTCAGCCTCTGTTATTGCAAGATTGCCTCCACCCAGCACAGAGTCCAAAGGTTTACCAGTTTTGTTTAGCTAATAAATCTAAAGGTGGGTAAGATAATACAGGTTTTGTAAACTGTGCTCTGTTTTAACGATATTGCATTTGCTTAAAATTTACTGCTGTGAAGTCAGAGCTATAAAATGCATTGCAGTTTAAGGTCTTTAAAATTATTCTCCATTACTACCATTTGAAATGATAGTCGGTGCTTAAATTATTAATTCAGAAAGTAAGAGCCCTACATGGTAGACAGGCAATCATTATATCATGTACATTTATGCCCGTACACATTTTCATTTTCACCAAAGGAAGTTATAAATAGCCCCACGGATCTGAGAATTTTCAAGATCAGCAGTCTTTATTTCCAAGAGTCCTGTCTGAAGGGTTTGTAGGCATCAGGAGGGCTGGTTTGCAATTGCCATCCACGCTGTTTAGTGTAGTTGTTTAATTGTTTATACCACTACCGTCTGAATACTAATTAAAACACACACAAAACCTACAGAGCTAATGGTACTTGTACTCTTTGTAGTGATATAACTGAGCACACATGCTACAAAGCCAGCAGGAACTGAGACCACAGGCTTTCCTTAACATGCCCCTCTCTTGCTGTTAGCAGTAGCAAGGGCTGCAGAAGGCACGAGTAACCTCTGACTGATGCTCTTTTGACTTAAATACAACTGATATCAAGAAGGAGACGGCTGCTGCTGGAACTTTGACTGCCTCTTGGCATCTGCAGCAAGCAGTCCCCCAGGTCTAGTATCTGTGAGAAGAAAGTCCCTGTCAGTTCTGCTTCAGACCTGCCTCCCACTAGCTTCATCTGATGAACCTTCATCCAGGGATGAGAAGGAAGATAGACCTGTCTGTTTTCTCCAATTCGTGGCTTTGTAAATCTGCCATATCCCTACTAATTTGCCACTTTTCCTGACTGGTAACTGCTAGGCTACTCACCTGTTCCAGGCAGAAAAGTCATCCCAGGCTTTTAAGCATCCTTCTCTGAACCTTTTCCAGTTCCTCTACATTCGGTTTGAAGTGAGGAGCCTGTTTTGTTTTCTTTTGGTTTTGTTTTTTTTTTTTCCTAGAGTTCATATGGGATCCATTACTTAATTTTTCTCTGTGTGAAAAAAAATCTGCATGTAACACTGAAATAGAGTTCCGTCTTACTTTGTGATTCTTACTTTGGCACTTCTCCGTTCCTCACAAGTACTTTGACATTATTTTTGAGCCTTCTGGTAATAAACAGTTAACAGCACACTGTAGCAATATAACAAATCCCCGGGGAGGTAGGTTGTACATCCTAAAAGCAGCTAAAATCGTCTAACCCTGCAGGCATCAGAGCTTTTCTCAACTATTAATAGAACAGGGGGAAGAAAAGGGAAAGAAGAAAAGGAATTAGTAAATGATTTTTAAAAGCGTAGCTACTTAAAATTCATAGTTGATGTGCTGGTTTAGGAAGTCAAGAGATAAGGCATAAAAAAAGGTAAGAAACGTTAATACTGTTACATAGACAGAGTATTTTTCGTTTTTTGTCACTTTTCAGTGTTTTCTTCTTCCCCCACCCAACCATTTCAAAGGCATATCCTTGCAGTGACGCATCAATTTTCTGTCTACTTGAGGTTTAGAAATAGCTGAGATGTTATAAATAGACCACAATCTGCAAGAGACAAAGAGAATGGAAATACTGTAAAAGGTTGGCTGCAACATGCAGATGTGGATTGAGATTTCAGACGTCTCCACGAGTGGAAGCACCAGGTCTGAAATGCTTTGCTAAGCGCAGCAGAGGAAGCCGGGCTCGGGCAGCAGTGGGGACTGGCCAGGTGGAATCAGGCAGCATTTCTGACTACTTTTGTAAGGTCTTTTAGATCCTCCTGACACTTCCAACCTGCCTGTGGGAGAGCAGAAGTGTACCGAAACCTGCTGGCTGGGGGTGGTGGCATTCCTCCAGCCTTGTACATAGAGCTGAAGTCCGCCTGCTTATCTCCTGCCTATCTAATTCCGTGAGAGTGACTGTGAGAAAGACGATTTGGTGACGGTTGTAAAAAAACTCATTAAATGGAAGGGACAAACTTTTTCCCTGCTACGTTCCGGTTTTGGAGAGCTGCTTCCTGAAACCAGGCTGGGTTTCACAGCAGCCGTATCAGGGTAACTGCGTCGACGTTGGCCATACCTACTCCATCTCTGCCAAACACAAGGACGTGTCGCTAACGTGGGACCTGGTGCTGGAAGTGCATCTCCACCCGCCGTTGCTTTTTTAGAAGTTTAGGCCAATGCACGCTGCAGAATCAGGTTCTTTAAACCTAAATTAACATTCTGTTGAAAACTAAACATATGTTGTTTTTCTTCACTGTCAACAATTTAGTTTCCAGGTTTGGAAAAGAAACATTGCTGGGGAGGAATCCAATGAATTTATTAATGAGCTTGGTAAGTATGGGACTATTAATATCTCCTGAGATCTTGTTTGTGTTATTTTTGTCTTCAACTTCAGACTCTGAAATAAACAGATGTTCTGAAGCTTTCCACTGAGAATACTACAGCCTGTAAAGTCCTATCCTAAAGACATTGAGATTATCAGGATATTGCAGGGAACAGGTAAGTAGCTGTGTACAACATTTCAGAAACAATTTGTATCATTACCCAAAGTCTTTATCTTAGATTGTACTACGGGCACTATAAATAAAGCATCCAAAAGGTTTCTTATATGTAACTAATATTTTTTTTTATTTCCATAAATCTGAGTAGAAAAATTGAAACATTATTCTACAATGTTATCAGTGGACATGAAAGCTCCTATTTATCTATTTTTGGCGTGACTGACAACATAGTCTACCTGTCCTGTCCATATTTAAAATGGATGAATGCTTCCGTTTGCCTAAAAAGGTCCTGTTTATTTTGTAATCGTTTGTGATCAGAGATACTGCTTTGTATCTCAGTGTAACCAACATCCCTGGCAGTCCCACTGTCACTGAGTACTGAGGTCCTTTGTTCTTTAGAGCCAGGAATATCACCTCCAGAACTGGAGAAGGGCATCGATAAATTGCTCCTTGTTTTCACGCCTTGGGAAACAGGGGAAATGTTTGACCTTGCCACTGAGTTCAACTACTTGTATTGCTCAGATGCTGTTATATTAACCAAGAGACTAAAGCAGACTAACCAGTCAGTTATGCTAGAGGTCCTGGGATGAAATACAAAACAAAAGATCAATCTGCTTTTTGGAGAAAGTGCTTAGACAGCTCGGCTAGCACAGTGACTCCCTTCTGTGTTAAAATTGTCATTTACTGCTCCTGTTTGTAATTAGGCAAATTCAGCTCTACATACAGATGTGAGGCCTCAGCCTGAATTAGGTGCAGTTTGTCCCTCAGCACCACAGGTGATTTCACTGCTTGTGCCACTCAAGTGGCTTTCATCAAAAATCACATTTGCATGTATTAAGTGCAAATGCCTGCCTTGGTAATGGTTTGTATTTACAGAGCTGCTTTGCAGAAGACATGAATTTAATCAAGGAGATAAGATGGTAGAGCTGTTCCTGTATCTGATTAAAAATAAAGACAGCACAAAACCAGTTCAGTTAAAAAAAAATACTTTGAGCCATCTCCGTTTTTAGCCATATGAATAGGAAGAGGAGATGGGTGCATGTATCATATTTCTAACTCTTCTGTCTGCCCTAGCCAGTTTGCGTTCTTATCTCAATATTTCTAGCTTTTATTAGAATAAACTGTGTGTGCGTGGGCACGGGTGGGTGGCTGTTTGTTTAAGTTTTGGAAATTGTTTGGTCTTCTCCGGGGACAAAAGTCCTGAGGAGGGAGATCCTCTGCTGCCCTGCTGGACCGCTGTGATGGGAGCTCCTCGTCTTAGCAGTGAAGGTGTTGTGCTCAGCTGCCAGCAGCAGTGCTTGGAGCTGGGCACGATCTGCTGATTCACTCTGTGACTCTCTCGCAGCTCCTCTGTCAGAGTTCCTGTTTGCTGATGATATATAATGGTAATAGGGCTGCTTGTGGTCTTTGAAAGAGGAGGGAAAAAGCCATTTTGGTCCTCGTAATGACTTAGCTTCTGCCCAGATTTACCTGGGGAGGGATACACACAAATGGGGGGGTGATGAAGAGCTTCCTGAAGGAGGAAGCGAGTGCTGTAGTCACCCTAATGCACTCCTTCTCCTAGCAGGGGATTGACTGAAGTCATTTTGTTCATGTTTTGCACAAAATATTCAAGGCCTGATGGAAAGGAAGGCTCCTCTGATGTGTGCTCTGGGGCAGGTCCTAGCAGCACAGATCTCCCCTTCCACTTATCTTTCTGATCTGACTGATGTAAATAATCTTTCCTTTTTCTATTTTGGCTCAGAGTTAAAAGCTGCTGAAGGACAGCGGAATATTTTGTGCCAACCAGAAATTCCTGATTTCAAAGTACAGCCCTGGTTTGTGAAAGAAACCAAGCAAGAAGCCTTACTATAAATTAAAATTGCAGCTCCTATAAACCATTTCCTTGAGATGGGGCTCAGGTACTTTACCTCTGCTGTTATTGGAAAACACCAGATCCGTATGTTGAACAAGCAATGTCAGATGATTTTCTATGAAAACGCTGTGTTGTGCTGTATTTGCTTTATTTTCCCCTGCCCTAAGGAACAAATGGGCTGCCTCCCAGTCAGCTGACACCGGCTCCTTTTCAAGCCAAACCTACCAATGTTCGCTTCCGGCGGGTGTTTGTAGGTAATTTTGTCTATTCCGTTCTTAAAAACAGTGTCAAAGCACCTGGCGGGGCGGTGCCGGTGCCCGTGCGGGTTGCGTTGGGGCCCGGCTCCTCCCTCCCGCAGCGCCCCTGCGCGGCGCCGGCAGCGGCGGCGGGGCCTGGGCTCGGCGGGGCCCGGCCGGGGAGCGCGGAGCCGCCCGCAGCAGCAGCAGGAGGAGGGGCAGCAGCATGGGGCCGGCCCCGCAGCCCCCCGCAGCCGCACGGAGAGGTGAGGCAGCGCCGGGCCGAGCCGCGGGGACCTGCCGGCCCCCAGCGGGTGCAGGGGAGCGGGGATGGGAGGCTGGGGGGGGATGCTGGAGGGTGGGGGGGATGCTGGAGGATATGGGGGGGACGCTGGAGGATATGGGGGGGACGCGGGGTCCAGCCCTGCCTGCTCGGGGCTGGGGGAGGGTGGCTGTGGTGGTGTGGTGCTGGGGTAAATAAAGAGTGGACAAAGGAACTTTGAGTGTAGCCAGCGCCTTCTCGGGTGACCCGCGGGGCGATCGCTGTCCGCTTCCTAAAGGGGGTGTTTGGGGTGGCAGGGGCGCACTCAGGGTCTGCAGCAGGTTTTAGGGGGAAAAATAATATCCGAGCAGGTGGAGTGCGACCGGCAGCCGGAGGAGATGACGCGAGGAGCTGACGTGAGGAAGCTGCGGCTGGCAGCCCGTGTAGCTGCTGCCAGGGCAGCCTCAATGGCATCGCCCTCAGCCTCTGCCTGCGGCTGTCCTCCCCTGGGGCTGGGGCTCTGGGTGCCCGCTGCCAGCACACCTCCCCTGGCCTGTGCTCAGCCTCCCTGGCAAGCTGCACGGCTCGTCCCTGCAGGCTAAAACACCCAGGCCCAGCCCTGGCTGCAGAAGGAACTGATTTAAAAGTGGTTTGCTCCAGTCAGTTACTGGTGTCTCCCTAGTTACTGCTGTTGATAATGTGGGTAGCCACTGCTGATGCTCATTTATTACCCTTTAATACAGCACGGGGTATCTGCTGCTCTACCTGGCTTCATCTGCACGTAGTCAGTGGAAAACACGGGAGTCCCAGGATGCGAGTTTAATGGTTTTGCAGCAGCAGCTGAGGATCTGATAGTGTTATCTTCCCTGATGTTACCACAAGCATTGTTGTAGCAACTTAGCAACTTCAGACCTATTATCGAGTGCATTAAACCTATTAAAAACCCAATCTTGGCATAAAACATACTTTAGTCTCAATCTAACTGACTAGACGTGTCAAAGAATGCGGGGTTTTATGCGCACAAAAACTTACTTAGACCAAAATTTGAAGTATGTGCGTGCCAAACAAAGCAAAATAAAGCAATTTGAAGAATTAAGTATTACAGAACAAAGTGGTTTCAATTCTTAGAAACACTAATTGTGGGAGTTAACACTAAAATACTGATGTCTTGCTTCAGACCTGCAACAAATACGTTTTCCAGCACCGAGTTAATTCCCGCAATGAGACTTGTTCCTGGCTTCATGACTGAGAGCAAGGTGGCTGGGCTGGGGACAGCCCTTCCGAGGGCTCCCCGGAGGCTGGTGTGCCCTGGGGAGCTTTGGGGCGCTGATGTACGAGGAGATGAAGGACGTGAGAGAAAGGCTGAGCGCGCTTACACAAACAGTGCACTCTGTGCTTCTTCTTGGCAAGGGCACAGGCGACAGCACCAGGCTACTCCTCTGGGGTAAAACTTGCTTGGGAATGGCAAACACAGCCTATTATGTATGCTCCTTACAGACAGGCCATGTAGGCCTGCTGGATGCAGGGCTTAGCACTGTGAGATGCTGCACAGGTACAGCTTCGATCCTAAAGTGTTGTAGTTGGGACCAGCAAGGGGTGTGGGGCTGAGGAGGAGATGCGGGGTGATAGGTGGGCATGGAGAGGTGAGCTTGCTTTGGAGGACAGGTAGCTTTTAAGTCGACTTCTAGCACAGCCCTGTTGTGAATCAAACAGTAATTGGTAACCTGAGTAAACCTTCAGTGTGTGTTAGTTTAAAATAAGAAACATGTAATCTTTTTATCAGATTTGTTTTAAAATGTTCGTATGAAAACTTGATGTGGAATTGCCCAAGTTCACTACAAACTCAGCTTTCTAGTCAGGGAAAGTCTGAAAGCGAAGTAAGACGTGATCCCTTGTTGGCTGGCGTTGCTTTATCCCCGCAGTGCATCAGTGATCCAGGCTGCTCCATCACAACACTGTGTTGCTTGAGGGATTAGTTCCTGATTCCTCTTCTGGAATCCTGCTCTTGGAGTATGTTTCCAGAGACTATGTAAATGTAAATCTACGCAGTCATCTTTCTAGGTGCTTAACAATCTAGATTAAGGCTACTCTTGATCAGTTGGACTATGTTCTGATGAACTGCAGGGTGGTCTTTTTGCTTTTTTTTTTTTGTTTGTTCGTTTGTTTGTTTATTTTAATTCAGTATGCATCCAAACCCCAAGTTTGATGCTATTAGATGTTTTGCTGGGTGAGTCTTAACTATCCTTTAATTCCCAAAGTCTAACAAATGGGATATTTATACTGAAGTAAGTATTTAAAATGAGCTGTACTCTTCCACCCCAAATCTAACTTTCTGTTGGCCTACAAGTGGGGTTTTAATGCCTTGTTTTTAATCCTGTAAAGCTCTAAGTGCCATGGGATTTTCCCTGAGAAGTTTAGGGAGTTATTACCCCAGTCTGATACCTGTTGGTTAGCACTGTTTAACTTAGTATGAAGTTGTTTTGTTTTTTTTTTTCCACACAAGTCTTTGGGAAGATTGGCTCCACTTGTAATGTCTGGTCGTCTTGATTAGATTCACTTTTTATCCTTCCTGGTCTTGAAATCCTCTTAACTTGGAGAGCCAACACAAACATGATCAATTCAAGAAACAAAAATGGTAAGAAAGCCAAAAAGGTACTTAACTAAATGCAGAGTATTTGTCGTCTTCTGCCTGCCTGCCTGCCAAAGAGGCTCCTCGCAGTCGTTACAATGCCCATCGCAGCAGCAGCACTGAGGTCGTCGGGACAAATGCTTTTTGTCCCTGTTCCTCAGGTCGCTAGTTGCTCGGAGGTTTGCAGACATGCTGCCGTAGCTTGTGGCAGTGGGTGACGGGTTGAAAGACGCCTCACACGTTTTGGGGGTTGAAATAGGATTTGGGCTTGGTGGAGGGGTAGATGCAACCCAGGAGGGCACCTTCCTGTGTCAGGAGAACGAGACCCAAGTGCTCACCTAAACAAGCCTATTTGTGCAGAGCTTGAAGGAAGAATGGTCTTGTGGTTAACACGCACATCCTTTATCTGAAAAGAAACACACACCCGGGCTCGGAGCGCGTGTGATCTCGTGGGGAAAGGCCTGAGGCCGCCAGGCCGGCCGCAAGCTTCCTGCACGGCTTCAAATGGGGCTTCAGCATGGGGTGGTTCTCTTCTTTGTGTGTTGAAGCCTTTTGTGCAGTTGTTGTACCACCGGGGGGATGGGATGATGAAAATGCAGAGACTGGGCACTGCTCCACGTGGTGGTCCGGGAGCACGAACCTGTGGGCAGACAGCAGCTTGTGCCTCCGTCAGGTGGAGGCTGCTCCACCTCATCCCTTCCCATCGCTGGCACTTTCTCAGGTCCTGGCGGATGTTTCGCCCCATTTGCCTCTCTTTAGGTGTTCACACCTCTTGCCTGAGTTCAGGGAAGGAGGTTTCAAAAGCATTCCCCCAATTTTCCGGGGTCTTTGCTGGGTGCACACGCAGTCGGCCCAGCAGGCCTGGGCCCGAGCTCCGTGCTCCGTCGTGCCTTGAAGGAGTTAAAGTTCATCTTCATGCCGAAATCCTCCTGTTTATCTTCCCAGCCTGCCCTCCTCTCTGTTGTTTTAAACTTGCTGGTAGCGCTGTCTTCTGTCCTCCTACTGTCTCGTGGATCAGAAAAGGGTTTTGCAAAGAGAAGATGTGGTATTTGAAGCCTGGTTAAAATAGCTGGTATTTGTCTAGTCCTACTTCAGAGTACATTGTTTTGCCATCTGGTTGATTTTGCTGCTCGTTCAGTCCCTGACTGGCTTGTTTTTTGTGTGTTTTTTTTTTGGTCAGGAGAAGGAATGCCACATAGATTAATAAGTTTTCAGTAGATTTTCAGTGACAATACCACTTGGTTGGCTTTCTCATCTCCAGTTGCTTATTTTTAGATTTTAAAAAATCGCTAAATAAAATCACTTTCAAAAAACTGTCTTCCAAACAAACTAGTGATCAAAACATTAAAGAAAGCCATATGGCTCCTACCAGTCTTGGTGCTGGTATATTTCTGAAGAGTATATTCTGTGTTATTAATAATATTCAATGAAACACTCTCAGGGTGAGAAAATATTTACTGAAATTATTATGAAATACACTTTTCCTAGCATTCTTACTCAAGATGTTCTAGTCAGAGTACTAGAAGTGTTGAATTAATCCTTGCACACAACAGGTGAGAGAAAGATGGGTGCTGTGGCCAACAGAGGTCCCAGGGAGGGGAAGAAGGGGCCACGAGGTGAGCAGAGTCACCATTTTTAGTACAGCCACTATCCATGCAACTTCAAAAACTGTCGTCCCATTCCAACACAGAAGGGAAGCTGAATTAAAAACAGATGAAATACAGATTGCTGTCAAAGTTCCTGCTATAATTTGTGTGAAATCAGATGGCTCCGAGCTCATACCTAGGGGTATGGAGTACGGCTGTTGTGCTTGGATTAGGACAATTAGAATGAATGAATGCTTGCAACGAGCTGTCTGGATGTCCGAGTGGTTAAAATTTGACTTGGATCTTGTGTCGTGGGGCTGAGGAAATGTATTTTGCAGAAGTAAAGGTCTGTAAAGGTCTGGTACAGCTAGTAAGCAGGTTCCTACAAGCAGGTGAGAGTCTGCTGATTTTGTCAGGACATAGGAACAGCACCCAATCCTCTGCGCCATCCCCTTGAGCTGCACCTCTTCTGAAGTCTTGGTTGTCCAAGCAAGGCAAAGCTTAGAGAAAATAAAAGCGCAGATGATGACAGATCTAATTTATTCCTTAGAAGGACTTGTTTTGTGGATATTGAAGCCAAAATTGAGCAAGCATGTGAGCAGAAAGCCCGTAATCCTTCCAACTGTCAGGTGGAAGTGGCTGGCTGCACCGAGAATTACAGGAACTAACGAAATAGCTGCTGGCTTTGGTGGCTTTTGATGGTAGCAGGTAAGAGCAAGGAAAATGCATTTTCACATTAGACTTGCTCAAACAACTTAATTAAGGCTTTATCCGGTCTTTTGACACTTGAATTTTATTTTTTTTAATCCAATTGTCTCTGAAGTCTTTTTAGAGCAACTGGAAGAAAAAAAGCAGTCTGTGTATGTGCTGGCATTGTTTTGATTAACTTCTGACCTTGAATACATGAATGGTCACAGCTCCAAGTTGTTTGTGCAACCTTGCCTGCTTAAGTAAAACCAGAGATCCTTGTAGGTAGTGTCCCACAGAAATGTCATTTCAAAGTGAAAAACAGAAACCTCAGGAGAGTTTGGGATCTTAATGGTGGCATTTTTAGCGCTGTGTAACTGCTGAACTGAGGTTTAGATTGTTTTAATGGGCTGTTGCTTTTACAACTATCCATGGCTTATTCCGTCGCCTGTTCTGTGTACCTTGGATCAGCACAAATCAATTCATTTAATATACCTATGAATGTTTAAATCTCTCGTCTGCTACTAGCCCTGCATCGATTTGCAAATATGTTGTCGGTATTTAAGTACATTCTGAGCTATCATTAAATAATTAAAGAAGCTGGATATATCAGTGAATGACTGATTTTCAGGAGACGATATTGTGCTTTCAGTTGAGTTCTCAAAGGCTGCAGTTTCGTTGGAGCTCTTCTAGTGGAAACAAAGTGCAGGGTTGCAAAAAATACTTCAGACTCCATGAGAAATGTATTCCCTATCAAAACTTCAGCACTCCCGGAGAAGTCTCAGGCGAATAAAATGCTATTTTCACATCCTGCTGCTTGAAAAGATTCTGTATATGAACACTGAACCAAAACAGAAAAGGGAGGGCAAAACCAAAATATATTAAACGTTCAACATTTCATAACGCATGTGAGCTAATCTTCCTAGGTTAACTTTACAGCAATAGTAGTTGCCTAAGACAATGATTTTGCGAGGTAGTCTGCTGGCATAACTTGGTTTTATTCCTTAAGAGGAAAGCTTCCGTTAGCTAACCCAGCTCATTAGAGTGGCCTGTTGTTTTTTAATGTGAAAACTCTTCTGTCCAAGCAGTGTTTAAGTAGTGGTGAGTTGATTTTTAAGTGTTGCTTGTCAGTTCTGCAATTTATTTGTTTCTTCTGCGAAGGATAAATGTGGGCGGCTGCAGTACAATTTATGCTCCAGTTGACCTTGCTTCAATTTCAGAGTTTTATTGAACCAGTCATTGTAGGGTCTGTACATAGATTCTGTCCCTGTGTTTCTTTGCCCCAGGTCTTTGATGCCTTTAAGGTTGTTATCCTAATTTTGAGGGTCCCTTATATTAATCTTGTATTAGGATTAATTCTCACCATCCTAATTCCCACCTCTCTATTCTATTCAGCCTGAAAAGTTGAGCCTCCCACAAATTACTGCTGTGGCAACAACTGCATCTGTTGCTTAGGAATGCCACTTATAAAAAAGAAGCTCTGTTTGTCCTTGATGACTTGCATAGCAGACCTGTTCCTGTGTGGATCCTTAACCGTGTGATGTTTTATTTGTTCGCAGGGTAGCCCTAGTTCCTGAGAGCTCACCAAATATTGGATGCTTGTGGTAAGCCATGGCAGCTGATGATAAGGTTGCCATTTTAACCGACGATGAAGAAGAACAAAAAAGAAAATACGTGCTTGCTGATCCTTTCAACGGCATTTCCAAGGATCAAGACTTGCAGCCCCAGAATGAATCCCCTTCGACAGAGACAACCACTGTCCCAGACGAAGAGCTGGACTGGCTAGAAAAGCACTGCGTCAAAATAAACAATGATCTTCTCATCTCGAAGGTCTTTTATTTTTTCTTCTATTCTGCGTATGGCTCTCTCTACCCCTTGCTGCCTGTGTATTACAAGCAGCTGGGTATGTCACCCAGTCAGAGCGGACTTCTGGTGGGCATCAGGTACTTTATTGAGTTTTGCAGTGCTCCCTTCTGGGGAGTGGTAGCAGATCGCTTCAAGAAAGGGAAGATTGTCCTTCTCTTCTCGCTTTTATGCTGGGTTTTATTTAACCTGGGGATTGGATTTGTTAGACCAGCCACCTTAAGATGTGTACCAAAGGGCCTTCCCCCAGCACATCCCACCAATGCAAGCAGCCTTTTAACCACCGTTTCACAAAACGCCTCAATGTCATCTCTGCTAACGACTGTGAGTGCTGCATCCCCCAAAGTTCGTGGGAAGAGAGACCTGCTGACTTCCAGTCCGGCCACTCTGGGAGCAACAGGGACTGCTACTCCTGAAATAACATTCCTGCTACCTACACAGAGCAGTGACATGGATTTTGCCTTGGAAAACAGTACCCATCCTGTTTTGAAAAACACCACTGCTAGCCCAGTCTCACCAGGGAACACGACTCCAAGCACCACCCCAGCTGCCGTCACCGCAAAGCCCATGCCTTCTGACCAAGCCGTGCTCGTTTATGATCAGCAAGAAGTAGAAGCCATCTTCCTGCTCATTCTGCTGGTTGTCATAATAGGAGAGTTTTTCAGCGCTTCCTCTGTTACAATTGTGGACACCGTAACTCTGCAATACCTCGGCAAGCACCGGGACCGCTACGGGCTGCAGCGAATGTGGGGGTCTCTGGGCTGGGGGCTGGCCATGCTCTCTGTGGGAATCGGCATCGACTACACCCATACAGAAGTCGTCATTGAAGGTCAAGGATGTAAAGCTCCCGAATACAAGAACTACAGGATAGTCTTCATCGTTTTTGGTGTTCTGATGACAATGGCGTTAATTGTGGCCACCCAGTTCCGCTTTCATTACACGCACTTCAAGCAAGAGGAAAACAAGAAGAAGGAGGTGGAAATATCACAGGTGGACAGGAGCACCTCCAATGAATCCTCCTGACAACACTCCTACAACCTAGTATGAGCCAGTCGCAGTCTTTCAGCTTTTGGGACCTCATAAAACTGCTTTGTAGTATCCAGTATGGCTCGGTGCTCTTCGTGGCATGGTTCATGGGCTTTGGATATGGCTTTGTCTTCACCTTCCTCTACTGGCACTTGGAAGACCTGAATGGCACCACCACTCTCTTTGGTGTTTGCTCTGTGCTCAGTCATGTGTCTGAGCTGACTGCCTACTTCTTCAGCCACAAGCTGATTGAATTGGTTGGACACATCAGGTGAGGAGATCTTAGCACTCATTAAAGAGCTATACCAAAAAAAAAATAATTAAAATAATTGAGTTTGGGGCCTGGACCTTGTGATACGAAGTGAAATTCGAGTTAAATGTTTTATTTTGAAGTTCCAAGTCCTGCTCAGCTATGAAGGTGCCTAATGGAGATTTTTATTATTATTTTAAGAGCTGAAAATGTTCTGCTAGTGCTTCGTTAGCTTTTCAGTTAGTGCACACATTACGCATGGCACCATAACCCCTTGTAGACATTTCCAGAAGATATCCTAGTTGAGCGATTCAAAGCTCTGCTAGAGATCTTGACAAATCGCCTCCTACTCCAAGATCGTTTGTTTTGAATTACATTTTCTATTAATTTTACTTTTTTATTTTTATTTTTCCTGCGAGTAGCAGCATTCTGGAAACCTCCTGCTTAGCCCACTTCTCCTTGCAGGGCAGTCTTTGCCCCCACAGTAGCCTGCAAGGGTGTCAGTTGCATGCTGAGAGGGAAGAAGGCTGAGATGAAGCAGCGAGGTGAGCACCTCCTGTGCACATGCCCCCATCAGCAGGCTCGGGGTGTTGGCAGAATGAGGTTGCAGCTTGGTAGTGTTGCTTACAAGTTCAGTTCCTTGCTCTCTTCCTGTAGTTGCAACTGTGCGTGTTAGCTAGTGAAATGAGAGCTTCTCACATGCTGTTTGCCTTGTTTAAGTGAAATCGATTACTTCCATCATATTTGTGAATGTTGTTTTCCTCTAAACTGAAAAATAACTTAATTTCTGCATATTATAAGTTGCTTCAGTCTTTAAAATAAAGATTAGGGAAGAAAGGTAGGGGTGGATCTCGGCTAATGAAGTTGTAACATTTTTGTTGGTGGTGGTTTTTGTTTTGTTTTGTATTTACTCAGGTACTCAGTGCCAGTGAGCACAGAGCTCTCAGTGGTATGTCTTTTCCAAAAAGCCCATTTATAATCACATAGTCATCAAGATGGCTTTTATTAAGCTGTCTAATTGTGCTGTTTTTGTGCATTCTGTTCTGTGTTTTTGCTCTTTGTTTTTTTGATTTGCTCTTACTGGGATGTGTTTGGTTTTTTTTTTTTGATTCATTTGACTTCTGCTAAAAATGTTTGAGATACTTAGCACAGTAATTTGAGAATTTACTTAACAGATTTCTTTTTCCTTCCTTTAAACTGAGGAGTCTCTCTTTACTTTGAGTCAGTCATTTAATGTCTGAATTTAACAATTAGTTTGAGGAAAATGTGACACTTTGCATGCAAAGACTGGAGGAAGGATATGATGATGGAGGAGTGGTGAGAACAGATCACAGTCTTGATAGCTAAAGATAGCTTGGGTATGCTCTTTCTATTTATATTGTTATAGGGCAAAATACAGGCTTAGACTTCAACTAGAGAAAGAAGAAAACCCAAAAGAATGATAGGCTTGTGAATACGATGGCATAAAAGGTATGGGGGGGTAACAGGGACGTTAGCCTGTAAAAAGAAAGATGATGTACAGGGGCAACTCTTCTTTTTCCTTTTGCACTGGTAAGCCCATCAAACCAAGACTGGTAAGTTGTTAACATACTAGTTTGTGTTTGCAATGGAACAACATTCCTTGTAACTACACCTGGGAAGTGCAGATTACTCATATTTTAATGTTGTCTAATGCTTACTCATATTTAGTCATCGCAGCTTGAGAAGTCTCTTTCTAGTTCCCCTTCCTGTATTTTTTGAACTTCACTATATAAAGCTTTGTATATATATATATATATATATGTATATATATATATATAAAAATAAAAGAAGGCGTTGATAGGAGTTTGTAATTCATGTTCTCTGGATAGCTCTGTGTATGTCTGTCACCTTATAGTGCAGGTATTCTTTAACCCATAATAAGAAAAATCTCCTCTAACTAGATGCCCTTCTTGGAGCTGTCTTAGCCAGAAGCTCTTGGGATGTTTTTTCTGCCTCCCTGTTGCCACCTCTCACAGCTCAGAATTCCTCGTTTAGCATTTTGGCATACAAAGAGTTAGCTGTTCATGGGAATTCAGCTGGAAGTTCTTGTCGGAGATAGGAAAGATAAAGTCACTTTTAAAGTCACTAGCTTAATCCACAGCTAGCTGTGAATTATTTTGGTGGTATTTTGGTTATAGGGGAGGTGGCTTGACTTCTCTTTTTGGTGAGATGACTTCACCTGATAAGGTTGTCTCACCTTCTGTTGACTTAAGTCAGTAAATTAAAAAAATACATGGATACATATGCACTCTTCCTCTTGGGTGGTTAGACTGCTGGCTGTAGACAAGCTTCCTGCAGTATTTCCTTGAACAATGTGACTCCTGTCTTAACCCTTTGAAGGACAGGTATGAGTAGCAGAGTTGCTTATGCGCTGTCACAGCAGCAGGAAGAAATACTGTCAGTTGTCCTTTGTCGAACTATAAGAAAATGGACTTTACACTCATGTCACATATGAGCTCGGTTTTCATTTTCTAGTTTTACAGAGCTTTCAGTTTCAACCACTGTATGCCTTAGCCCACAGGCTCCTCCCCACATCTTGAAACCTGTTGTGTTCACAGGCTGCTTGTACTAATACCAAACTCCTTGTCCAGGTGTTCTGAGCATGACTGTGCGAATGTGTGCTGATTATAACGCCTTATTTCTGTCTTTGCCAGCTTTCCCGTGCATATTGTAGGAATATGTGGCACGTGCTGCTGGTGTTTCTGATAGTGCATGTAAGCAGGTGACTGGAGGGAGCCCGGAGCAATGACAGCAAGCAGTTTGGCTGGAGGGCTGTGTTGTCCGCTGGGTTTGGGAAGAGAGTGCTGAGGGCCTTTTGTTTTGCCTCTAGCCACCTTCTGAGAACAAGAGAGGCGATTTTCATTTAGATGTAAACTAAAAAGTTATAAGAAATGTCATCAGCAGCCTGTGTGAAATCCACAATTCTCTGAGAGGGTGTTATGATGGAAAAGCATAAAAAACTGCCTGTCAGATGTTAAGGCACCATTGCTGAGTGGCACCCTGTGTAGAAGCACCCCGAGCCGCCACTGAGTTTAGGAAGAGGATGTTAATCTCTGAAAGTAACCTCCTACTCAAGGTTAAGCTTGAGTGTGTTTGTCTGACCATAATTCCAGCGTGCGAGTCCTGATGGGAAGCAGAGCCTGGTAGTCGTGGCTGTAAACAGCTTAGTCTTGACATAAATATAGATCCAGTGCTTTAAGTGTTTAACCTGTAAATCGAATACGGTGTCTCTGTGGATACTGCAAATAGGTTTTGTAAGAACCGTCTGTTTACGTTATCCATTTAGGTCTCATAAAAAGCCTAAGTGGTTATTGCAAACAATTTTTGAAACGATTCTGTAAATACACAAAAGTTCTGGTGTGACGTGCCCTTCACAAAGCATCATGACAGAAATCTTCACACAAGTAACTGTCATTTACCTAAAACCCCATCCATATTCTAATAAACTACAAGGCAGAAGCTAGCTAAATCGCCCTGATTAAGTCAGGCTTCGGGTATAACTCTGTGGGGGAAGGCAGGTAGCTGAGCGTGCTGGTGGCGGGGGTGCCAGCATGGCGCCGGCGGCCGCCTCACGCCCGCGGCCTGGTCACGGGGAACGGCTGTGACAGGAAAGAAGCTCTTGCTGGACGGGCAGAGTTGTTGATAGACAAAACTGAAATTAAACTGAGGCGAAACAGCCCTAAACAGAGGGCTGGGGGCATAAGCGGTGCTGATAGGGAAGGACAGGTACGTGAGGTGGATGGTTCCTTCATGTCCCCAGGAGGCTGCGTTACCCTGGGTCTCACTTAGCGACATAGGAGCCCGCAAACCTCTTCGGTTCGCTCACCTTTTGTCCTGTGTGTCCTATCACGCTTCACAGGTGTGATTATACCTCAGAATTACATTAAGCTGTGGCTGTAAAAGACACCAAGTTATTTGTTTGGCCCAGATGTTATTAGTTGAAGGGAGAGGTGAAACTTGTGGTGCATGGTGCGCAGACGAGTTTGAGTAATTTTGGGGGGGAAAAAACCCTGCAAACTCACCCAGCTTACTGAAAGTAATCTGTATTGTTGTCTGTAAATCCTATTGTTACAAAAGGCCTGCCTTTATAATTCTTAATCTTTTTTGATATCGCTGACACGCTGAAAATTACGGTATGGGTATTTTAGCTGTCAACATGTATATTTAGAGATCTCAAATGTTGACAAGATGCTGCAGTTCTACGATTGCATCTCACTCCAGATTTGTCAGTGGCTATGTACCAGTGAATTAAACCTTGCTGTGCTTTTGTGGAATAGCTAACTAAAGATCAGCACAAAGAGTAACACGTTCTTTCACAGTATCAGTGCTTGCACATTAATTACCAGTTGCATTTAAATCACTCGTGCCAAACCAGGAGTCAACCAAGAAGCATGTTTAGGGATTAAGTAATCCTTATTTCTGAAGAACCTTTAAAGGTTGCAACAGCAACCTTTTCTCAAGCTAAATCATGTTTTGAATTAAGTCAGTCATTCCTAAAATCCCTCTCAAAGCAAGAGAAAGATCTATCCATCCAGCTGGATGAATAAGCAACCTGAAGGTAAACAAAACTACATCTGAAAACTGGAAGTTAAAAGTCATCGGGTTAAACGTGCAGTGGGAAATCTACCGTGAAAAATAGTCTCTGTGCTTCATTGTTTAAAAGCTGTAATAAGAGCTTTTTTCCCTCCTTCTGAGATGCAGCATCTGCTGCTTTTCAACAGGATGGTTAAGTTTTATCCTGAGGCATGTTGTTACAAACCATATTGCTTCTGTGGGATGTGTTTTTAGAGTAGTTCTGAGCAGTTTGCAGATACTGGGACTATAAACTTAGATTAATTGGGGTGAAATTAATTCCTCTAATCCAAACCTGCATCAGGTTTGCTATTAAAATGGAATAATTTCTGAATGATTAAAAAAGAAGATTGTTTGGAAGGGATGTTGAATGTGCTTAGAAATGCTTTGTGAGATGCAATTCTCCGCAGAGTATGGCTTGAAGCTACCAAGGTTGATTAAAAGCTCTGCATCTCTGCTGACCCTTTTGACTTTTTTTCCCACACTGAGCAAATGCTTCAGACAAGCAAACTCTGTACGCGTGTAATTGATTTCTGAAGCAGTAAGGTGTGTCGTAACATACCAAAAAAAAAGGCAAGTGCAAACTATTATGACTTCTTTTTTCCTTAATTCTTCTAGAGTGCTGTATATTGGTCTTGCCTGCAATACGGCTCGCTACATTTACATCTCATATCTGGAAAACGCCTGGACTGTTCTCCCAATGGAAGTACTTCAAGGTAAGACAGTGCATTAATGGCCTTCCAGTATAAGATCATGTGCTTATATTGTTGAACTGTGATTAAATAAAAATCTGGTATTTCCTTTCCTTTTTCTTTTGACTCCAAATATCCCAGAAGACCCACGTTTATAAAACTTTACTGTTTATCTTGGAAAATATTTGACGTCAGAAGGGTGGGTTTGCATTTGTGCACAGTTCACTGTTGATTCAAGCAGAACTGTGCGAGGCAACACACCCTTTAGCTAAACAAAGAGACAGAGCGTGAGCTGGGTACACACCTACCACAGATCCTGTTTGGCGGATAAATATGAACTTCATTACATGCAAAAGGTCACCACACTTGAAAGGATGCTGTGGAAAAAAAAATGAAAAGAAAAAGAATGTAGTCTGGGTCATTCTGTCTCTGGTAAAATATTCTGCACTTGTTTTTCAGGGTATCATTTGATCAATGCCTTAGACTATTGAATTTTCTTTTTTCTAATGGCTGGAGAGGAATTTATTTCAGTAGCTTTGTCTGTGTTAATAGAGCTTCTTTAAGATAATTGCCCTTTAACTGACTTAATTAGAACCACTGAGGTCTGGTCTATGAAAAGTAAGTCGAGCCCTATTTCCAAGTCACGTTGTCAAAGAGGCTTGTAAGGTCTTCAGTGCAACTATTAATGTATAAATTGCTCTAACTTGCATTTTTTTTCCTGCCTTTGTGATGGGTGCCACTGCTCAAAACCAGGAAGAATGTAAACTATTTTACTTTTTGTTCCTTCAGTATCTGAAGAATACTGAATTATTTGGATTTGCAGGCTTGCATGAGAATAGCTAATTTAAATGCAGAGAATGTTTTCCCTGCCTTTAAAAATAGCTTAACCATGAAAGTGCCATTGGTGAATACTGTGTAGATCCCTGCATACACACAGAAATAAATCTTTATTTCCTGAGTCCTTCCCTGCCTGCCAACAAAAACAATTTATTGTATTAATCTGCCATAAAAGTGAGCTTCTGAATTTTAATACAAAAATCCTCCAAGTCACAGGTACTGAATTGATACATCACCTTTCATACCAAGTGTTAAAATGTGGTAATGTGACAAAGAATCTGTAGCCACTGTTGAATTATGTACACTTGGGTTAATCTTGCTTTTTAGAGAAAAATGAATTTTGCAGCTACTTAGAGCCAGAAAATGAGAAAGCTAAAAATAGCACACACAGACACAAAAACAACAAAACTAAACATGGTGTTGGTGTCCATGAAGCCTGTAGGCACTGTGTGTGTACCTAATTACTGCCACTACACGACTACATCTGTTACCTTCCAGTAATTTCATTCAGTCTTGGTCAATCGTAGAACAAATGAATCTTTTTAAATTACAACTTGACTTTTTTTTTTTTCCCACCCACTATTACTCTTTTCCCCTCCTCGCTCTTACTGCTTTTGCTCTGTTCCCAATTCATTATTTCTTCTGCAGTAATTACTAAAACCTGTGTCTTGAGACTCTTCTTTGTTTCCTACGCATCCATGGAATGTGTCAGGAGGGGTAAGAAGTGACACCTTAATGAAGTTTGGTGAGGTGGGAGCTCTTATTTTCATTATGGGAGTTTGCTGACAGCGGGAGGTAAGAGTGGTAGCTGCTTTTTGTTATGTGAGGGCTAGAAGTCTTTGGAACCAAGAAAAAATTACATTATACAGAGCATGTAGGCACCATGTGGGCCACGTAACTGCATCAAGCTGATAAGTCTTTTAAATCCCGTGTGAAGCCCTCGCTGTAATCAAGCACAGCTCCGCTTCCAGGAAGCTGTCAGAGTCTGTGTAAACTCCAGTGCTGTCAGCTGAAGGGCTTTTAAGGTCAACAACAGTTTCAGCTGACTCCTGTAAAGAATTTGTTTTTCTTCTTAACATGCTTCTGAAATACAAGGAGAACCAGCCCCGTGTGCTGTGCTGAAGGGCATGGAGACATTGCTGGAAGACGACTGCAGACTGCCCCTATTGATCGCAATAGGAGCCATGCAACAGCAACGTTTTGGTTGCTGCCAGTGTAACGGGGTGGTGAGGGCTTCTGAGGGGTCCTGCACTCTCAGAGGAGTAAATGAGGAGATAAAAGCTCACTTCTTAATTCACAATTTCAGACCTGTAGGATTTATTTGTACACGCAGTGTATGAAGATACAGGCCTAGGCTGAATCTGTAACTGGTAATTTTGAAGGCATTCTGGCAGGTAAATACTGCACATACAGGTCATCTGTCAGGCTACATTTGCAAGCGATCTCATTAATTTTGCAATTAACAGATTAAATTTTAATGTACTAGTTAGCTGCAAATTATTGTTCACGTTGTTCCAAAACAATGGTTCAAATTCTCTGCTAACAGCTATGCTTAGCTAACCAAGCTGCATAACAGGAATTTTCTGACGTCCAAAACTATATGAATAAGCTGAAAATTAGCTATTTTCACATGGCAGCTGTCCAACAAACTCCAAAGCGAGTGCTGTGCTGAGAACTGACTTCTGCTGGTGCTCCAGCCAACACAGATATGTCTGGAGAGCAGAGGTTGGATCCTTAACTGCACGGTTAGGATGGATCTCTTGAAATAAACTTGGCTCCCAAAATGTTGAGCTCTGGTTTCATGTGGAAAGTAGCGCTAAGTTTGCTAAACATGATTATTCGGAGCATAACAGAGGGGTGTTACATTCATTGTTGCTGTACTCCAGATGGTCAAATGGTGGTTAGTGGTTTCAGCAAGTCATCTCAAAATACGGTGATTGTTAACAGCTCCTTTCGGAAAGAACTGTGATTAACAGTAATCCAGACCAGACTTTACACAAGTTGTTGTAAAAACTGTTCCAAAGCCACTGATGCAGAAATAATTATCATAAAAAACTCACATTAGTAATTGCACATAAAAAAAAAAATAAATAAAATAAAAGCCTGTACCTTTTGAGGTCAGTAAGATAAGCTGGTATGAAGGGGTGGATTCATTTTCATGGGGAACTGGGAGCTCCGTGTCCTATCTGGATATCCTAGCAGAGGTGCAAACATAAAGAACACGTTGGCTAAATTCAGCCTTTTGTTTCCAAACAAGGACAGCAGGATTGTGTCTCGTGGTTCAAATAATGTCTGATGTGTTTGTGATTTGCCTGGCTTTAAAGCTTGATAGACTCTTTAACAGCTGATAAAACCGAATGTTTTACGTGAGTTGTAAAATGTTTGTAAAACAAAAGCACATTAGCTACATTAGATTAGCTTTGCACTGTTATTGAGACATTTCTTCATTGCTCTTTGCAATGCTTATGTGAGTTTACATTAAGGAAAAAATAGTTGATATTCAGTGAGTTTTGAATTCAGAGCTTTTTCCATGGAAAACCTGAGGTTTACAGCCTTAAGCTGTAAATAATGAGGTAAAATACACTCACCCTAATGTGAACCTTTCATTTTTCAACAAGATGATGTGCCTGTGACCAGAGCCAGCTCTGGGATATATGGAAGTGGTCTTTCTGTGCTCTAAGTAGTTAATTGGGTACAAACCCTGACACTGCGAAGTGTTTGTTTCAATCTGGAATTAAATCAAACTGGGCGTGTATCAAACCTGGACACTGTCGGTGTTCAAAGGCTGCTGTTTATCATTTGACATCCGAGCAGAATCCAGGTTACTCTCTGGGTATGTTACAAGCTAATGCATCGTCCTGCTGGGAAGAGCCTTCAGCCTGAGTGCAGAAGGGATTGCTGAGTGTCCAAATGTTCCTAAATAAGTCAAGTGCAGAGGACAGAAACATGTTGACTGAATCATCGGTTGTGCCAACACATTATTTTTTTTTAAGGAAGGCGGCGGAGCTTAGGCATTGGTAAGCTGTGATTGCTATTTTTAGCACCACTCAAATAAGAATAAATATTCCCACTCAGTCTGAGGGTGGCAAAATAGTTCAGGCGTACTCGACGTGCGACTAGCTCCGAGGCTGCTCTGCTTTACCAACTTCTTCTCAGCCCAGCCTTTCCCTGTCCCTTCCTCCCTGCTCCCCAGAAAGCCACCGATCAGGTGCCCAGAGATGAGGGCTCCACCTGCAGCCTGCTCCTGCATGCTGAGCATCGCTCCTCTCTCTGCTGCGCTGTTCTAGGGTGGAAAAAAAAGTGTTTATGACCCTGAATCTGCAGGAAAGAGGCTTCCAAAATCCATACGGGGGTCTGACTTGGACATGTGGCCGCGGGACATGGCTTGGTCTGTACTCCACGAGCACTGGGGGTGATGGGGTTTTCTTGTCAGCTGCTGGGCACGCCACAGGGCCCTGTCCTCACCACCGTGTCCCCTCTGCAGGTGTCACGCACGCGGCCATATGGGCAGCCTGCATTTCGTACCTGAGCGCCGCCGTGCCCCCGGAGCTGCGCACCTCGGCCCAGGGGATCCTGCAAGGCCTCCACCTGGGCCTGGGCAGGGGATGCGGGGCCATGGTCGGAGGGGTTTTGGTCAATTATTTCGGTAAGCAAGAACCACGCCGAGCAATTCGGGTTTGGGTATTGAAGTTCTGGTTTTACAGGCCTAGCAGCTCCAAGCTGATTTATGTACAAGGCGTAGGGATTAATGCACGGGGTAAGTCAGGAGCCGGCCAGGTGCTCCGGCTGGCAGGGCCCTCGGGACCCTGCTGACAAAGCAGGAGCAGCACCGAATTCACACCAGGCTGATTTACAGCTCCGTCCTCTCAATGTTTCGGATGGATTCAAATTGTTATACCCAGATACTTTTAGTGTCATGTGTGCAAATCTACAACTTGATCCTGAAATTAGAGCAAGGAGTCCATTGTGAGAGACTGGGCTGATACTTTGCAGCCTCTCAGTGTACAAGTGAAACCTGACTACACCGTTCATAACAAGTCCTTCACGTAGCCTGCTGAAGTGTTGGGGGAAGAAAATGTAACGTGACAAGCTGGCAAGAGTCTGCATGGGACAACAGATACCCTAAGAGTGCATAATGCTGACTGACCTTGTGTTACTTTACCAGGTAAGTAGATTCTCAGTTGGAAAAAAAAAAATAAATCCCGTTCCAGGTCCTGCTGCCACATTCAGAGGAATAGGAATGGCGTGTTTAGTGATTCTGCTGCTCTTTGCACTGATCCAGTGGCTGCTAGTTCCTGATGAAGAAGAAGGTAATTAAATATTCCTGTTACTAAAGACACTGCAAAATTAGAGAAAAGCGTATCTCCAAAAGTCATTTCCTGCTGCTTTAATTTTGTTCGGTGCCTTTATTGAGATTTTGACTGAGCAGTTTGGTTCTGAATGAGAAGTCTTTTCCTGAGCAGTGGTGAACATTGAGGTGTTGTGCTGCTTCTGCAGAGGAGTGCAGCACTGAGCTCTGGGTTATCAATAAGAGGAAAGCATAACATGTTTCGCTACCTGTATGTCCTCTTAGTTCTGGGAATCTCTTAGATTAATCTTAGCAGATGAATGAGTTGTTCCACTCGCATTGGTCCCTTACGGCTGCCTTCTGGGTGACTGAGCAGTCTCACGTGCTACAATGCCCAGTCACCTCTGCCAGAGGTTATAGAGACAGAGGACAGAAGCTTTTAGGGCTGCCTCGGTTCTGTTCTGGCATCAGAGAACCCACAGATGGAACTCAAACCGCCTCTATTAATATAAAGGCTAACGAGAAACAAAAAACTTGGTGCCAGGTTAAGGATTTAATTACATAAATGTAATTCTTATGAAGACAGTAAAACCGTGGCGGAATTCTGAAAAGTCATGAATTTTTGATCTGCTTTTTACCCAAAAGATTACTGCTCAGTGTGAAATGAAAGCCAGCTTTTTTTAGTCATTCACGACTTGTCAATGACTTGTCCTTGACCAGTTATCAAGTTGCCTGTACTGAAGTGTTCAAATATTTATTTTGCTAGAATTTTCTTCCCCTCTGTTCAAATGATAATCGAAAACAGTGGTAAGGTGGAAAGAAGGAGAGTTGCTCTTTCAGTTTCCCATCAACCTTTGGTTAATTACGCATGAAGCTACCAAGGAATAGATTGTTCTTGGTGGTCTTGTTCTACCTACATTGTTTCAGTCTTTTGGTTTTCATTTAACACGCGCTCTACCCATCCTGAGAGTGTGCATCTTAATTTTAAGCATGGCAGTAGTTAGGTTGCTTTCAACAATGCCAGTTGGGTGAGTAAAGCAACGCGTGTGGTTACGTGTGTGCAGGATTACCCTCGTCGTTTCTTCCTCTACTAGAGGACATCCAGCCATAGCTTAAAATATTGAGTACTATCTAAAAGTCTATAAACAAAATAGGATTATAATTTTGAAAAAGATCTTTTTAATCAGTAAAATGCTTGGACAAAATATTTTCTCCAAATCCACAGTATGTGTTACTTACAGGCTCATAGACAATATGCAGCTAGTAAAATATCCTGGTGGGCAAAGCCCCTGTCCTTCTTTCAGCTTTGTGTTCGTCGTCTGCCTCACGTCTTTCTAAGCTTGTTGGCTTTTGCTGGTGCTGACTTTGTTTTAAACTTCAGAAAAGGCGATGCTGGCGGAGAGGATCCCAGTGCCTTCCAGTCCTGTCCCCATAGCGACCATTGACCTCGTGCAGCAGCAGTCAGAAGATGTCATGCCTCGGACTGAGCCCAGGCTGCCTCTAAAGAAAACGAAACACCAAGAGGAACAAGAGGATGTGAACAAGCCTGCCTGGGGCATCAGCTCTTCTCCTTGGGTCACCTTAGCCTATGCTGTCTACCAGATAAAAGAGATGGTTAAGCTCTCCAAAACCCACCCAATACCTGAGAATCAGCCTTTGCAGGTAATCTTCTGATGCACGGGAAGTTCTCACATGCTGGTGGTTGCTAGCAAACTGTTACAGCTGAGTAAATCTGTTCGTACCTGGCAAGTATTCTCTGTCAGCTTGTAGCAAATGCGGAGCTGTGAAACAATAGTTGAAGTACTGTATGAAATAGAGTTGCTGTCTGTGTACTGCAGCAGGAGTAACTATTTTTACATGTGTCATCTTCCTGAAGAGAGGAGGAGAGGGAGACGTGGAGCAAGGCTCTGTGCTACAGGCTCAGATATACCCGAGTTCCCATGAGTTTGGGTTTGTGTTTGGCAAAATTCACGAGATGATCATTGAACGTGACGATGCAGAGCTACTTAAGAGTGTAAAATGATTTCTTCTTAGTTTTGGTTCCTCGGGTGATGCTGTCATATGCCCACATTGTAGTGGAAAGAGGTATTCCAGACAACTACCACAATTTGACAGCATTTCCCTTCCATCCAGTCTCACCCCAAACTATTTTTAATAGTCTCATCGAGGGTTGGATGGATTGGGATCTTATGCTTTGGCTATACCTCCTGCAATGGAGCTGAAGCATGCTGCTTAAGGGAAGCAGGAAAATTGTCAGTGCAGGTTTTAGAACAGCATGGGTAAGCTTAAAACCACTGCGTTTCCCGCTTTGGAAGGAGTGGGTGAGGTTCCCTCTTACACACCCAGTAGGAATAAACACAGAAAGGCTTTTTCCACAACTCCCGTCTTTAGAAATGGGCAATTTCGGATAGGACAGTGACTCAGCAGAGCGTGGAGGAATTTCACCGGGTCAGCTCTCTCCTGCCTTTCTTACTTGTCTTTATTACTGCAAACGCATTTACAGGCACGTTTGCTTTAGTCTGGTTGGTTAGGGTGTTTTGAACTTCCCCAAGTCAAGGAGAGAGTTGGGTTTTTCTGTTTGTGTTTTAGTGGCACCAGAGGTATCACTGAGTGTCTGACATCCAAGCAATCTGCCCAGACAAGCCGCTGTTTCCCACTGCAAACTGTCCTCAGGGGTCTTGGTTTGTACAAAGCAAAAATGTAAAAGGCAGAGGAGAGCAGCAGCAGAGAGCGCATGCGATGGGCATTGCAGGAAAGGAAAGTTTTGCTCTTGTGTGGTGTCTGAAAGGGATTTGTCTGACACTGCTGGACACGACCCAGCCACTCCACAGAGAATTGCGAAGCAGCCAAACAGGCTTTCATGCCTCTTGGAGCTCTGCAGAACACGATCTCTTCATTATTCTTTCCATCCTATAAAAACGCTGTGCTGATACAGAAGTAGTTCTTGTCGATTGTGCCAACATTCAATGCGCCTACTGTATTATTTTGTTCATCTGCTGTGGTCCTCCCAAATCTACTTGTTACCTCTGCCTCACTTCCCCAAATGGACTGGCCATCCCCAAAATACTGCTGCTGTTACTTTCACACGATCCCTAAAGCTGGCGCTGGTAAAGTACTGAAACTAGAAAAAGGCTGTGCAAATCTCTTCACTTTGTTCAATAGATCACTTGGAAGGAGAGGTAGTGTGCAGAAAATGGGACTGGTGGCAAAAATTATTCCTCCTTTCTGTAGGATTTTGGATCAGTTTTTGTTACTGCTCTTTAATCCTCCAAGCAAAGTGGTGTACATGCCGTATTCTCTGTTCTTCAGTGCAAAACAAATGTTCGGAGATAGCTTGCCTTCTAATAGGAAATTTATCAGTGTTGTTTTGATCCTGGGGACAGTGACTGGGGTTTGATTTTGCTTTCATGCTCCTCACGAGGCCTGTTTGAATAGCCTGGATATTCTGCCATTGAGAAAGTCGGAGCAGTATCTGGGGGAGGGAAGGAACTATTTAGGCAAGCTGTATGTAAGGAGCTTCAAAAAAAAATTAGAGAATTGTTTGGTCAAAGTAATGGTCTTGTCTGAACACTGAAATCCAGTTAATTGCTTTTTTCCCTTGAAACACACCGAGTTTGTTTTTTGCATGCTTCTTGGGGAAGTGCAGTTAGGAAAAGAGATGGAAGGTAAGCCACCGTCTGCTTGCTGTCAGTGTCCTCTGGGTTTCAATGCTCTACTTTTGCTTTGCTTCTTTAAGTTTGGTCTGTTCCGTTGCGGGCTTTCCAAGTGAGCGCTTTGTGAGCTTCCAGAAGTGCCTGAATGCATCGGGGGGGATGCCCACTGGGGACGGTGTTTGTGAGTGCCCGTACTTACTTGTTGCATGCCGTGCTTTCCCCTCTCTTTAGAAAATCAATGAGAATTGCAGTACTTCATCAGCCAGCTCAGCAAGACAACCCCAAAACGTGCCAGATTCTGGGCAGCCCAGAAATTGTTCGACCCCGACAGCGCCGCCTGACGCCCAGGCAGACGGCGCCACTCAGCCTGCCGCCGCCGGGCCCTGAGACGCGCTCACCTCACCCACAGCAGTGCATGGATTTCTGCTTCTCACCTGGGGAACGCTGGAGCAGGAGCTCAAAAGTAGGACTGCCTTCATCCTAACGATCATAACGTGGTGCAGTGCAAGCTTGTAACCCCACAAACAATACTCATAGGACTACACAGAGCAACACAAGCAGGGAAGCCAGCAGTTTGGAGTGCTTGAGGGAAGTGACGTGGCCGGATCTGACTGTAGGAAGAACTCTTGGCAGCTTTGCTAAAATCTTAGTCAAGCGCTGTGAGATTTCTTTGCAATCTGTAGAAAAAGGGGAGTTCGCTCTTCGCTCGCTGAGCCCAGAGTGTCTGACTCGATCAGCTTTTTTTTTTTTTTTTTCCTTTGAATTTGATCCTGAGACAAAACGAAAAGACTTTTTAGGAGAGAAACTGAGTTTCCCTGCATAGTCTATTAAAAATATTGGATCCAATAAATATAGGAACAGCATGAACCTGTCTCTCTAAAGATTTCTCAGATACAGAGTAGCTTTAGCAAGCATATCTTCATATTGCGGTGATGGAATGAGTAAAGCATATTCAAAGAATATGTTTTTTGAAGCTACGTTATCTTGTTTGAGATAAAGGTTTAGTTCTGCAAAGCAAAGATTTTTTGAAATGACATTTTAGTGAAACAAAAAAGCTGGAGGAAAGCTTGTGAAGAAGTTAACCTCTGTGCGTACAGCCCTTCAGCTGGGCGTATGTTGTGTGTGTTTGGGTAATTTTAGTTTGATGTTGTGTTGAGACGACTAACTTTGATCAAGATTGCACAGCCTGAGATTGATCAAGGTTTTCAATGGACACAGTTTGTTTTTTTTTTGTTCTTATTTCATCATCTATACAGCGGTTTATTTAATGCAGTGTAGTTACTGTGGTTATTTATTAAGAAAACAGCAAGCTTTAAGTGCCTGGGGAAGGGGGGGAGGGAGGAGGGAGGGAGAGTCACCTAAAAATCGTAATGATGACAATTTCAGGGGCAAAGTTGTTGGCGCAGAAATCAAGTCGAATGAGGGATTCTCAGGAGGAGACGTACGTCACTAGAACGCAGTGTGTGTTGGAAATTAACTTTGCCCGACGTCGAGACACTGGAAAACTTTGTGTTGTTTTGTCATGCTTCTCAATACCGACTGCAACCAGCTCACTCACTGCTGCCTAGTGAAAATTGCTGCTGGGGAGAGATCCTCGGGCTTGAGGGGGGTTTGGTCAGGACAGCGTTTTGGCTCGTTTGCTCATCCCAACAGCTCGTTCCTGGGAGATTCGGAGCTGTTGGGCTGCACGGCCCCGGCGGTGATGCGGGGGCAAGATTAGGGGAAGGGGAGAGGACGATGGCAGCAGCTGAGCAGGAGGAGGGTATGCAGATTCACCCGTTTTGACATCCAGTTAGTTTGGCTGAAGGGGTCTCCCGTGGCTGTGCTTTAGCTGTGCTTTTAGACCAAACCGTGTTCTGGCGGTGCCTGGGACCAACACCTTAGAAAATGAAGAGGAACATCGATGACTAGCCACTAATTACTTTTTTTGCACTTGAACTTAAATGTACTGTACTCATGTAAATCCTCATGACTTGTCGAAGTGTCCTTTAAAATCAGAAATGTATTTATTGTATGTTTGTATAACGGGGGAGAAGCGAGGGACTGATCAGGTGACAGGACGGAAGGATGCTACAAACCATCTCGAGACAAACCAACCATTTGTTGAGCTCACGCTGTACGGTGTTACCTCAGCTTCTCCTGCATAGCACCTGGGTTGTGAGGTGAAGAGCTTGTACACTGTGTTTACACTTGGAATTGTTTATTTGAAATGCCTGCTCTTTTTGGAATTGTAGAGTCATTCTATGTTGCAAAATGGACATGTACACCTGGGTTTTGATATTTGTGAAACTGTAAAAACCGTGGTAAGAAATATAAATTATCCATAATGTATTTAATAGTATCCATCTGAACTTTTATTACATGTCTTCGTGTTACGGTGCCAGCAGTGAGCTTAACCACCAGAACTGAGAAACAATTGGGTGCTAATTAACCTCCTGCTAGGTTTGCTCCCCGGAGGACAGTGAATCTGGAACCTGGCAGCTACTATCTCGTGCGGTGTTAAGATCTGTCCCGTGATAAAATCAGGCTGTGGGCACAAAGCTCCCTCTGTGGGGTGAGGAGAATGTAAGGCACGCACACCGGTGTGCATCACATCACAACAGCGTGATGCGGCAGTGGGCAGGACACAGAGGAGTGAAAGTCAAAGCTGGATTTTGCTGGTCACCTAGCAGTGTGAGGTGGAGGCTCCTAAGGGCAGGTGGTGCCAGCTTGCATGGAAATATTTCTAATTCCTGTTTCTGATAAACTGCACATATTTGCAGTCGTGCTCCTGTTCTCTACAGTGGCACATTCGCCTGGAATTTATTTCTTTATTTTTAGACATAGGGACCTTAATTTTTTATTATTCCATCTGTTTAACGTGTATGCACACAAACGTTGTGACAGGGAGAGACATCGGGGGCAGTTCTGCTTTGTTGTTCCCACGTCTAACTTTCAGACCTCGCCTGTCATCTTACAGACTGGGCTTTGTTGCAGTTTGGGTCTGTTGTGAATGGAGAAACAGGAGAGGCAGACTCCTACGGGGACGGGTGTGCAAGGTTTTGAAGCTACCACAGCTAACGTGCAGTTTTAAATCTGCAGCAATGGGGGAAACTTCAGGATATGCACACACCCTTCTGCGTGGCTCCTCCCTGATTTCGGTCCTGCTGTTTCGGAGAGAGTAAGTGCTTACGGAAGGAGAACAACATAGCTGAAAAATACTTTTACTTAAAAACCCTTAAAGTACCATACAGTATATCAAGTATAGTGTGCAATACAAAATAAATACGAAATTCTAACAATTTTTTAATTAACCATGAAAGAGAAGATAACTGCAATTCATTCTTTGTTACGGAAGAAAGGCTTCTGTGATAGTTAAGGCAGTGGATTGACAGCAGGATTCTGTTCTCAGGCTTCCTGCCTGAGCTCTGGACACCAGTTGCCAGTAGTGTCCCAGTTAACCGATGTAATTCCATACTTCACAGGACACTGTGCAGGTAAACGCGCTGTTGGCAAAGGGCTCAAATGACAGCAGTTGCTTCTGGTAGGTTTTGTTAATGATGAAATGCTTCCAGCATTGGAACAGGCTTGGGAGGATTTTTAAGGTCAGTATCAGCTACCCACTAAAGCAGTCACCTTTCTGGCATGTTGCTGCACTTCTGGTTTGGATGTGCTTAGTAGTTTCCTGCTCTACTTTGGATAGTATCGACCTATCCCTGGCAAATGATGAACTTTATAAACTGTACGGTGTTTGGTTTTTTTTTCCTCCCTGTTGGAATAGGTTTGTCTGGTGTTGTTCTAAATGATTTAGCAAAAGGGAAAGTATCAGAAATGACACAGCCTATTTTACCATTTAACATATCACATAGGTTAAATGTTACCTTAATATCTTATCTGGCTATCGTATATAAATATATATTTTAGTACTCATGAAAGGATAATCGCTGCCTCAGTAGAAAGAGGAGGTCCAGAAAAATTGTGGGTTTCTTCTAGGATAAATCTGCTTCTCCTGCTTGGCCTCAAGTTGCATGGATGGGAATTTATAGCCCTTACAATTGCTTCTTACCAAAAACAACTTCATCCTAGCAACAGAACCCACCTGGCCAAGCCTGACATTTGAGTCCAGGTGGTAACTGAACTGTGGACTTGGCAGTAGCAGCCTCTCTTACAAGGAACTCTTACGCTAGTGGCCTATCTATTTTTTAATACTGTGGAGTTAGAAGTGAATGGATTTCGAAGCACCTGCTTGACAGGGTTTCTCTCCCTTAAATGCGCTATAGATTGTGCATTTATATATTTATAAATATGTGGCACAAAAAGGTGTTCGTCGTCTCTTTAGCGTCCCGTGGAAGCATTCTTTCTGAAATGAAGCAACCTCATAACGATGTCACCGAGGAAGGACTGCCTCGGTGCTACTTTCAGGCACAGGATCTGAGTCACAGCCTACACGGAGGAGCTCCTGGAATGCAGCAGGGCAGCACTTTTTGGCACTTTTTAGTTGGAGGTGGTGGATTTTCACCCTTGTCCAGAGACGGGCAGTGAGGAACCACCGGTGAGGTCGTGCTGCGGCACCAGGCACGTCACAGAGAAAAGAAATCCCCCTGAACACCAATACAGTCTGGTCTGAAATCGCCCTCAGGAGAGCAAACTTCTCCCCACCACAGGCAGTTCCAGGAGGGTTTCTAAGATCAGGTGGTGGGAGAAGTAATGGTCTTGTGTTCTCTGCAGTCTGGAGGCAGCCAAGGGAAACAGCAAGGTGAGGACGGCGGAAGAAAGGGATAGTCTGTGGAACAGAAGGAGAAAATGACCTCTGCAGGTGGATGAACCTAGGAGATGTGACAGATCCCCTAACCTCGTGCTGTGTGCTACATAGGCTGAAAGACATCTCACTGTCTGAACCTTCTCTCCCCATTCTTTGCTCTTCTTCCCCATACACCTCATGTGTAAGTCCAAAGGAAGGCTGCGCAGGGAGGTGGGAGCCAGGTTTCCCTTCCTCCTGGTTTTGCCAGGAATTACTTTCTGCTTTGTATTGAATTAGTTAAACACTGATGAGAGTGGAGCCACATGGGGGTCAGCTGCTGTGCTGCAGCTCAGCTGACAGCAGTTATCCAGCAGATCAAACGGCCTCGGTGTCTGCTGCCTTTTCGAGGCTGTTCAAAGGGCTGAGCGAGGGGCAGTACCTTCTGAGCTAAGGGGAGGATGAAATGGAAAGCAACAGAAAAAGGTATGTGGGGAGGGAAATCTCCTAAGTCACCTGCAGCTGTCAGAGAGAGAGAAGTAGAAGACTGAAGAAAGGATCTGTGGAGAGACCTGTGAAAGAGGGAAGGAGAGGGTGTGAAGAAACAAGCATGGAAAGAACAACACACAGCATAACGAGAGCAGGGAGAGCCACAAACAGAATAAGCAGAGTGACAAAAGCTCAGGCAGAGGGTTTTGAAGAGTAAGAGGAACTTAAAACTAATGGGGGACGCAAAATGAAGCTGAGACAAGACGAGCCAGAAGAGCAAAGGAACCTTGCTCAACTCTGGCATCTTTAGCATTGGAAAGTCAGATGAGCAATAAAAATAGTTATCAGCGAACAGCATTATTAAATTCGCTACCATGTAGGGTACTTAGTAAAAGCAGAGCACTAATAATGGCTTTCTTTCCTCAAGTGCTCAGCACAGAGGACTTGACAACAAATGGGGCTACAAAAGATGCTGTGTTTACTAGAGGTAGTATCCTTGGCGAAGCAGGGCATCACCGTGGGGCAGCCTGCTGCTGGTACTTGCTTCGAAAAGAAGCAACGTTTCCTCTCCCAGTTTAAGTACCAATAGCATGAGATCCTCTTCACTTGATGGTTTCCTTCTGCGGCTCTAATCAGGCAACATCAGTGATACAGGAAACAGGCTGTCCGAAATGTTTGCTTGTCCCCTAGCATCCACAAGAAATCACCAGATACAAGTTCTTAGTCTGCAGTCTTCCCTCCTGGGACAAATACGTTTTCCCCTTCTCCCTTGTTAGGGTGTTTTCCAAAACTCAGAGCAACTCAGTAGCGTATGGAAATGGAATCTGTTCACGTATTTCATCTTCATCCACATCTTCTTCTTCATGGATGGAGTTTTCTGTCTCATCCTGCTCAGATTCCACCCTTGTGTCGAAGAGCTGCTCTTCCAGGAAGAAGCTCCCGAAGCCGTATTCCTTCTCGTGCGCCTTTGTTTCTGCAGGCGAGACGTGGGGAGATCCCAGAACAAAACCTGCAAACCTGATGGATTTTGGAAGGGATGAGCTGGGAAGGTTTTCTATCTATTTATATATGTACGTGTACGCATACACACACTCTGTAAACGCAGGGGATGCTGCCAATGAAGCAGGGACGTTGTGAGGACATGCCTGTAGGCCATGCTGGTCAGGGGAAGTTGTAGCAGGAGCTACAGAGTCAAGCACAACAGAGAGGAAAAAGCAACAGATGGCAACGACTCTGAAGATTCGTTCTCCTGCCTCGTTGTCCTTTCTGTTTTCAGTCTTCCCTATATAAGTAACTTCTGCCCTTCTAGAGGGCATCTGTACCGCCCTGTGACTAAGCAAGACCTGACTTCATTTTCTCATCTTGACAGTGCTCGTGGGGTAACCCAGAGTAAGCGTTTGTATCACTGGCTAGGTGGTATTTTAGCTTCTAAAAATAAATTCAAGCTGTGGAACAGTTGAGACAAAGGCTGTTAGAATTTCAGGTAAGTTGACATTGCTAATGAAGGGAAAACTGGTGGGAGCTTAGCACTCCCACATTCCTGTGCTATCACCTTACTTCTGGTGCTGCATGTGTGTTCCAGGCAAGCTGAAACTAAGCTTGCCTGCAATTGCCAGAGAATTCCTGCTTTTGGTGAACTCTGAGCTGCAGGCTGGGAATGCTGCAGCTGCTCCAAGCCAACACCAAAGCGGAGGTTTGGCTGAACAAAGCGCGAGCTTAACACTGCTCCTACATTTCAGTTGGCCACACATCTTGCTTTCAGTGGACAACTCCACTGCAGATACAGCAGGGAGCTGGAGGCTTCTGGCAAGCGCACGGAAACAGACGGCAGTTCTGACACCTGGGTAAGTGTCGACAGCATCAGAGAAATGTAAGAAAAGGGAGCTGCAGCTACACTCTGCAGTTCTGGTAAACTGATCAATAATTTACATTTAGACTTAACATTCCTGTGAGATGAATGGTGTCACCTCGCTCCTCGTGGAAGTAGTTAGCCTACATGGGGAGCAGAGCTGGACTGCCTCTGGTTTAGAGGTTTGCCTTGTGCTGAGACATCTTTTAGTGGAAGCTTAATGGGATGCTCAATTTCAAGTCAAACTTCTGGTTCTTTTTATTTTTGTATTTTTCCAGTGAACAACTTGTAAGAATATTAACTAAATGAGGGCTAGAAAATACATGTGTCTCATTTGCTTGTCCTGTGCATTTGGTGATATTTTTTTAGAGTACTGTAGGGAGTTTTCATTTTTTGTGTCTTCAAATCATGCTACAGAATGCAAGTCCTCTTAGAAAATAACAGTTTAACAGTAAATCTATATCTAAATCTAAACCTGGCAGAGAGGCTGTCTCTGTGCCCGTCCAAGAAAGATGAAGGTTCCAAAATCAGTTTTAACTTGTTAGTGGTTAAATTCCAAGCTGACTGAGACTCCCTTGAAATTGTGACATTGGGTTCTGTGGCAAGGGTCCAGCCTTTGTAGCAGGCTACTAGGTGAAACCCTGCTCCTGACACCTTCAGGTGTTTGATTTTGAAGGAAATATATGGTGATTATCATTAATTCTGTATCCTGGAAGATTTTCTGGCTGCGTTTACTGGCTCTTCCCTTCACAACATGTGTTTGTCTCTTAAGCTGTATCTGGAGTAGCTCCACCACCTGCTATACTTAGGTGCAAATTCTGGTATTTTCTCTGTATTCAGTCTTAGATATTCTACGCTACTCCTGTTTCAAGCAGTAGGTTCCCTTGGCTGTGCAGACCTGCAGTCAGAGGGCTTTATGCAGCAAATGTTTGAGCAATATACTTCAGCCTGCCCTAATTTTTCACCGTGTAAAAGCGTACTGCTGGAAACGCTGAAGAAAAGGGCATTTCACTGGTTAGGCACTGGTCTGGGTCACTGTGTAGGCACTTGCAGGGGCACTGGAAGTTTTAGGGAAAGCTGTCAATACCATGAATTAGCTGTGAAATGCCTGCAAAATCCAGAGCAATCTCAAACAGAGAGGAACCAATGGGGCTTTATACCACCAGCAAGTAATATCCTTGGGAGATGTGGCTGTGATCTTTAGTGGGATTACTTAGGGGGATAAAGCTACCCCCATGTCTGACTGCATGCAAGATAAACTCGCTAAGCAGTCTGTGGGCCTGCTGTCTAACAGTGTCTGTGCAACGTGCTTCCTCTTTCAGAAAAGCCAAATTTTCTTACCGATGTGGGGACTGGAGTTTGGATACTGCCAGCCATGATGGGAAGTCGGGGTTCCTGCAGAGCGAGCGTAGCTCCTCCAGAGCTCTGACAGTTTCTGCTTCACCTTGTTCTCGGTATTCTTCTTCAGTAAGCCATCTAAACACTAACTTTCTTGATTGCAAGCGGTTCTTCATTTTTCTAAAATGAAATGAAATCAATTAGTGTTTCTGCAGTCTTCATAATTATGGCCCATCATTTTTCTCTACTGGCTGCTACTAACATGCATTAATTGTGACCTTGGAGGTCTTTTCCAACCTTAATGACTCCCTGTTTATCCTCGTAAAGAGGAAAAGCTGCGTACTTGCATTAAAATGAAAATGTGAAGACAACAGGTTTCGTGTTTGCAAGCTGCTTACTCTAGGTCTTAGCCAGCCTTCCAGAGAATGCTGCTTCAAAAGAGCTTTGGATCAGGTCCTTGCTGTGTATGCACGGACTGTTATCTCAGAATTAAATAGATGTCTACTTGCTCAGCCATTTTTAGGTGAAACATGTAAAATATGTCTACGCAGAGACATGGGCTGAATCAAAACCCCGTCTGCATATGTAAATTTGAAGATAAGCAATGCTCTAAGTCTGTTATGAGTTGTTCATGTTGTTTACTAGATCGCTTCTCTTAAATCTTGCTTTAAATTACAAAACTGAGTAGTCTGAGGCCAAAATGTTTACAATCTGATGTTTTTTTAGCTGCTGCATAGCGATGTATAATATAATTAGATATCAATTAGAAAGTGTGCCATGTTCTGTTCCCTTCTGTCGACTGCTTTCAATTTAAATGTTGTGATGAGTTAAGATAAGCAAGGGCTGGATGCCCATAAAACTTTCAGCTCTGTATAAAAACACCTGCTCCAACCAGCAGCCGTTCAACTTTCCTCCTTATTTCCCTGTAAAGCAAGAATGAATTACAGCCCTGGTCCGGGTCAAATGGCAAAAGTCTTGCTGGCTCAGTGGAATCCGTATTGATCTTAATAATTAATGCAGGATTCTTAATTTTGATATATCTGCTGCTCTTAACAGTGTGTCAGGCATCGTGGCCTCACCACTTGGGGCTACTTGTTTAGTGCTTCAAAACAGGAAAAAGAAAAAAAAAGCCTTATTATCGTCTGAAGAGATTTGCAGTGCTCTATTTGTAGTGCTCTATTTCAGACAATGCGTCAAAGACTAAAAAAGAAATTGTTTCTTATTCTTCTGGCTATGTTGGTTCTAGCCTTGGCCTCCTCCTGGCTCTTTGAGGTTCAGCAGCAGTCCACAGCTACAGAACAGGCCACACTAAAGGGTTTTGATCTGGATGTCATCGCTGAAGGTACCAAGCAGCTGTAAATCGTGAGGGCTTTTTAGGATCTTCATTTGAGTGTTACATCTGTGATGAAAAATGTTTTACATTCAAGGATGAGCAAATGTGTTCTTCCCATATTACTAACAAAATACTTAGCACAGTAGGATCTACATTGTGAAAGCAGTTCCAATCCCAAATGCCACGACATAAAGGGGGGCACTGGGAATAAGGGAGGGAGAATGTCCCGACAGGGATAACTGATTGCTTGCATGTACTGAGGGTAGATACGTACATCTGTGGTGATAACCTTGAAATATTAAAATCAGTAGGAACCCGTATTTTGGTGAAAATGGGTTTTTAGTCTCTGAATTCTACACTGACATTGAAAGCCATCTGGCCTACACAGGACAGTTGGTTTTTAACGTGCACTTCCTAGGTGGTAGTTCGCTTTTATCACGAGAGATTCAATACAAGCTACCTGCAGATTTTCTCACAATGTGTGAAACCAAGGTGGTATTGCTGCAGTCTAACCAAACAGATGTTTAGGTTGCCATATGCTGCAACTAGAAGGTGCTACATTTGTACTTAAGAGCACCCTCACATTTGTCTATCAACCAAAATTCATGTTTGTAACTGCCAAATGGAAAGTAATTGAATTCCTGTGTCTTATGGATTTAAACCTTCCCTATTGTAGCTTTATATTTGGAAAAAAAGAAAAACAAAACCAACAAAAAGACAAAACCTAGCAATAGAAATTCACCAGGCGTTACCAAAGTGTAAGTTTTTGGGTTTTTTTCATTATTAGCCTCTAATGTTTCCTGGTGGTAAAGGGACCCGGACGTTCCCGAATACATACAAACCTGCCTATGTGACAAGCAGCACCGAGGGGATAGCACAGGCCTTTTGAGCAGAGGCTGACTGCTATTATTGCATATGCAACTTGAGGTATGGTGACACCGCAGTAAATCAAGACGAAGGCTGTTAATTGCAGCGTCCACGTGAACAAGGTTATGCTCAGTTCACTGGTAAGCGGTCCGTGCTGATAGCATGTGGCAAAGCTGCTCGTTCCAACAGCCAGAAAATACCCTGTGGAAAGAATGACACGGAGAAAAAGATGAGAACTACTCGTATAAACTGTACGAGGTTGGTTGACAAAGCTTGCAACTGCTGGAGTACAACCTGCTCTTTCTTGTGCTGTCTTACGGGTACTTGCACTGAATTTTATGAGCTTTGTGTTTTAGTAGCTCACGGGGTGATCTGTGAAGAGCCGCTGGGTAATGCTGTAGGAGCTGCAGTGCAAGAACCTCGAGGCAGGTGCCAGACCAACAGATTTGCCAACCCCTGCAGTTAGCAATTTGTGCGTCCCATTCCCAGATTCAGCAAAATAAAAACCATCATAGCTGCCCGTTCCCTGTCACGGGGAAAGTGTACATGATGACAAATCAGTGAAAAAATAATGCAGGCAAAATCTGCTGGTACAGCTGTTACTGGCCCACTATACCAAACTCTTTATTTAATGATACAACGTGAGTAAATGCTCACTGAGTACATTAGGAACCTTTGGAATATTACATCATCTCTGGCTCAGGAGAAAAAAGTAATCCATAAAGGAGCTGCTTGACTTTTTTTTTTTTTAATAGATGGGTATTCATCTAACCACTAAATTATCAAAAAATGCACTGCGGATTTTGGTTTAATTTTCTTACCCAACAAGTATTTCCTGTGTTCGGACCACAACCACTCCATATTTTCTTTGAAACAGAAAATAACATAGAGAGAGGACATCCAGCAGCCACTCATTAATATCCAGAAGGTGCTGTGCTGAAAATTGACAAAAAAATAAGTAGGGAAAATACAGAAATCTGTCAGAATCAGGACCATGGTGTGCAAGTGAATTCACAGGCTAATTCACAGATGTGCTATTTGGTAGTCCTGCAGGGTTTCTGATCTGTGTTGGACTTCCACTACGCTTCTCGCAGTTCACATCTGCCTTGTGATGAATTCTCTGGAGAATGGCAGAGAATCCATCCCAGTTGCCACTAAAATTACATTCTGATTTACAGAATATTCTTAAAGCTAAGCTTAGCTCCAGTCCAATAAAAATAATTTAGGTTTTGGAATAAACTTTTATCCTACATCAACAATCTCCTGTTAAACTCAGGAGCAGCTAATTAGAACTTGATTCTGACTTAATTATATTCACTTGACTCCTATACCCATTTCAGGGGAGTTACCTGGCCACAAAAACAGAGCAAGGTCAGAATCTGGCCTTAGACTCTTGACTTCCTATATTATTATTATTATTATTATTATTATTATTATTTTGTTTTGCAAATGTAGATTTACCCTTGGAATAAATCTTTTAAGCGTCAACAGGACAAAGACTAGCAGAGCAAGAACACCCAGTATTGCTCCAGAAAGGTAAAAGAACTTGGTATTCCTGTAAAAGAACAAGAGAGAACACGGTGAGAAGTATTTTCTAACTTGTAATTAGTTAAAAATGCCAACATTTGTAAAGATAGCAGTAATCTTCGAGAAGGACTTAACGCAGCTGTAAGTCAGAGGTGGTAGTTACATGGTTAACAGGCCTGGTTTAGATTTTAAATACATGCAAAAAAAAATCCCAACAAATGCTATACAATGCACTGGAATTGTTACACACTAGAAGGTTTTTAAATTATTTTTTAAACGCTCATGCTTTCTGGTTTTATTGACTTGCTAGTTGCTTTATTTTCTCGTACATAGCAATGTGGTTCTGTACTGTAAGAACACTTATTTTTTTATTTAAAAGGAAAAAGCAAGTCTTTCTAATCTTTCTAAGCTTATGCATTGGTAAAAAGCTGATTTAAAAATATAATTTAGTTAACTCTTAAAAAAATATATAAAAAATACTGCTGCTCTGCTTGTCTTAAAGGTGCCTCCTGACAATTAATTTGTGACTCATTTTGCTTTGAAGTCATGGGCCAAGTGTTTTGCTCTAACAGTAAGTATCCTCCCTGATGAGCTATGCAAGACACGCATCAAAAGAACAATGAGGAAGGGTTGGCAAGAAGGTGGAGGCAGACCAGGCCCCAGGTGACCTCATCCTAAGCATTTCTGCCTGCAGGAAGGCATCATTTTCCATGCATGCGACATTGTTTAGCATTCAGCCAACCTCCCCCGTCCACAAAAGGGAGAGAGGATTGTTCTGAATCCACACTTGCTCGCTGCTTAGGATTGTCCTGGTGTCGCCCAGTGCAAGATGCAGCTACCTGACAAATGCTCCTAGGTGTGTCACAGTCTGTCCAGGCACAAACGGTAGGAAGTATCATTAATTTTAATATATGTTTAAATATACATCCAGTTTTCTTATTTCACTTTCCCAGACAATCGCGTCTCCAGCTTAGTAAAACAGACCAAAGATGCACAGACTTTGGGAGAGAAGGTCAAAACACAGCAGCTCGTACTCACCTGCTCAGACTGTGTGCAAAATGGAACAGAAAAATTCCAGCTACAAACAAAAACAAGAGCTTTCCATCTAGCACTAAAAAAGGGGAAAAAAGACAGAAATGGACTTTAGAGTTATACAATCTAAAGCATTGGTTCTATATAAAAGACTAGCAGAAAAGTGCCAAGCTTCTTAAAAAGAGATGGTACGTTCAGGTACAGTGACAATACCAACCTAGCTGTAATCTGAACTCAAAGCCTCCTTACTTACTTTCTCGTTTCACACTCACGATGTACAGTTCTTTCTCAAAGGGCTGTATTTTGAAGCAGATATCCTCTCCATATTGTTTTATTTTTAGGAAAGTTTCTGTAGCTGTCTCTGGTTTCCAGAAGATTTGAACAGCACACGCAGCAAACTCAAAAACAGTTTCTGAGTTACGACAGTTGCTTTTTTCTGAAGTAGGCACAAACCTGAATGTTTCTGTGCTGTTGATTTTTACCTAAAATCAAACAATAACAAAATACATAGAGGAATAGCTCAGAATCACTGCTTTTTTTTTTGTTGCTGCTTTTTGTGACACACAGCATCTATGCCATACACATGCTAATGAGGCTCACCACAGAAAGCTAGAGAACATAATGTTACTGCAAATTTAAGTTGTTTAATACCAGTTATTTAGTGTATGCAATTAGTTGTTTGGGCCTTACAGCATGCTTCAGAGAAATCCAGGTCAGTAAAGGTCTATCTAAGGGCCTCAGTCCATCCACAGGCTCTGGAGGGTTGGTTTTTACCATGAAACTTGCCCCCGTACGGATTTCTAACAAAACTTGCAGTATTTGTGTGACTGCTGTTTCTTTTGTGGAGATCCATCCTCCTTCCCATTCCCCTCTTTAACCGTAAGAAATAGTACTTGCTTTTCTTGTAGATAATATTTATGTTAGGGGCAGATGAGAGAGAGGGACAACAAAAGGCATCATAACCAGAAATGTAAATATAGCACATTCCTGTTGCTTAACCTGGTGTTTCTTGCTAGTTCCTAGCACACCCCCATTCCATAGTGTAAAAGATGTCCATCTGCTGAGATGGGGTGATCTTGCTGAACGTTATATTGCATTGTGAGCTCTTGATCTCAGCATATTAGACAACAACGACAAAAAGTTTATAAATAAAAAGTGATGCCATAAATAAACCAGGCTTCTACTGGGGAGGAGGCAATGCATCAGCAAGCCATTTGTTTTGGGAGAAATCTTGACTTCCTGCTTTTAAGCATTTCCTCCAGGAAAGCTTGTGTTGCTGTTGGAGGGCTTTACCACCTGAAGCCTGCCACCATTCATAAAAACATCTGTGGCCTGTTCCCAAGGGAAAAAGTCCTGGGAACGGACAAAGAGGTGTTCCACTTCCAGATCTGAGAGCCAATTTCTCCGACAGACACAGAGTAGAACTATTTACTTCCCTTGACCAGCAACATTCTTCCCAGGAAAAAAAAAGAACTGAACAGACACACTCAGCTTGTTCCTTAACCTGTTACTGCTTCCAGTGTTAGGAGATTTTGATATTGTTTTGCTGACCAATAAACGTGTTTCTTTTAATATGACCCTCTGTGCTGAATGAAAAAACAGCAGCAGCAGTACATTTCTAATTTTCGGGGTAACGATCTGACACATCTTTAGTTCTTATACTGTGGATGCTTATACTCTTCCTCATTCCCCTCCTGAACAGGGATTCTAATTTTTATGGTTCTTGTAGACAATAATTCAATCCTCACATTAGGGACAGAAGAGGGATGATGCAAGCAAGCGGTTCACAGAACTGTGTTTATCCTCAAATTTAGAAGCTGTATAAAGGTGTCATGATGCAAAACGTTTCTTGCTGAGGTTAACAGCAGTCCATCGGTTGGAAAGATGTGCATCAAAATAAGATGCAACACTAAGTTAATGTTTGTTTGGCATCCTGTTGTAACACTGTAAGCCTGGTTGACATCCTTTTAATAAAGGGACAGCAAGCTTCACCGCATACAGACTGAAGGATCACAATGCTGTATTTTTATCATGCTCCTACCTGATCCTGCCAGCTGGACATATACTCAGCTGGGAGAAGTTCATGTGAAGTGTAGGGTGTATCTGGATGACCCCCAAAGGGACTCTTACCTCTACAGTTGACCAAATGTACTGTAAGTGCAAGGTTCTGTTTTGCACGTAACAATAGCAGTTTTCATCCCATTTCTGGATGACATCCCCTTCTTTCAAGACGCTACAGTTTTCACCTGGGGAGGGAAAGTTAACTTTAAATACGTATCAAGGACAAATGTGTAATTTTCCTGCCTTTTTTGGTATATGCTGAGGGAATCACAAGCAATTTGCAGATAATTGAATGCAAAAACCATGCTGCAGGGTAGCACATTCAATTTGATTTAGACAAAAAAAAATCAAATGACACTTCTAATCAAGTAATTCAGGCTCTAAAATAAACAGTAACACCTTGGGGGAGAAAAAATTAATCGAGGGTGAGATTTTTTTAAAAAATGCAGTCAGTAAAAGCTTGGCATCTCTATCCACGTTTTGATGGCACAGGAATCGGGCCTCTGGGCCAAATTCCCTGCTGGCACGAGTGGGCGTAACTCCACTGTAGTCGGCGCTTATACCAATGGTGAATGCAACTGTGGGAGTCTGAGCAGGTAAACAGGCTCACATATTAAAGAGTCATTTAGCACATGACACTGCTGCTGACTACAGAAATCGCACCCATCTCCCCCCAGAATGGTTCAGATGTTAAATATCCTAACTCCTCAGTTTGTACCTTTAGCATCGTTTTCCCTGCCACAGTCCGGGCACTACCCGTTAGCATGGCAGCTGCACTGACAGCGTGCCAGAAGCCTCAGGATATGGGTGTGGACTGGTGAAACCCTCCTGAGGTGCTGGGGACCCCCTAGGATCCTCGCAGCGAGGCTGCACCTCTCAGCAGAAATGCACCTGAAAGAGGCTTTCTGCAGCCAGCCCTCGCGCACAACCTACATTCCTATCTCTATGGATGTGTAAAACGTGCCCTACAGTGCTCCAGGAACATAATTAAAGAGCAGAATAAAGGAAATTAATACAGATCAGAAGAGAGGGAATCATCTGGCTCGCTGAGGTCCCAGCCCAGCTCAGCACTCGCTGCCACAGCCCTCACAGCGCAGAGCAGCAGCACGAAACGCGTCCAAAACAGACGCGATCTGGACGAGAAAACGCTCTTAGCACGTCAAAACCTGCCTTGTCTGTGTAAGGCAGCTCAACCTGGCCTCAATTACTTGTTAAACGATTTAATTAACGCACCGCGCCCCCGGCCCCCCCTGCCCCGACCCCCCGGGCCCTCCCCGCCGCGGAGCTCCCCTCAGCGGCCCGGCCGCCATCTCCCGCCCGGCCCCGCCGCCCCCGGCGGGCTGAGGGGAGCCCGGTACCTGCCCTGGTACCTGCCCCGGCCCCGGCCCCGGCCCCGGCCCGCCCGGCCAGCACCGCCAGCACCCCCAGCACCGGCCCCAGCCCCGGCAGGGCCCGGGGAGGCCGCGCCGGGGCCATGCGGTGGCTGCGGCTCCGCCTCTTCGGGGCCCGGCCCGGCCCGGCCGCGCTGGGGCCGCCCCTCGGCTCCCCGGGGCTGGGGGGGGCCCTCGGGACTCTCGGCTCGGTTTTGTGGCGAGGACAAGATCCTCAGTCAGACCTCCCCAGCCGTAAATGTTTTACCACCAGGGCCTGCAGTGCCCTTGTTGGGCTGCTTAGGAGCTGAGAGGGACGCTGGGTGCAATGCTGAGCCCTGCCCGTGCCTGGCTGCTGACACCGCTTGCCACGCACAGCCTGGTGCGAGGCTCCCCACAGCCCTGCACCTTGGGTGCTGCTCTGAGGAGCCATCACCCCTCCCTGTCCCTGTCCCTGTCCCTGTCCCCGGGGAGGAGGCACCCACCAGGTGCTGCTTGCCACCCTCTTTCAGCCTCCTGCCCCCAGCTGCAGCTGGCGAGGGCTGAGTTCCCAGCTGTGCCACCAACACCTCATTCAGTGCTCCAGATGACTCAGGGCGCTTCCTCTGATTATTTTTTTCCCCTTCCCTCTCCTGACATCACCAAGCTGTGGGCTTTGCGGGCGGTTACAGGGCGGTCTACCTGCCTTTGGCCGGGCCGAGTGGCTGCAGGCTTGTGAAAGCGATGGCATTTCTCCTTCCCCAGGCCGGCCCGTGGGCGCTGGGCTGTGGCATCCAGCAAAGACAGCAGGATCAGCTGCTGGAGATCCATAAGCCAGGTACTTCGTGTCTGGTTTCCTGGAAAAGACGGGAAAAATAGAAAACCAGGCGGCCTTTGTGTCTGCAGCTTTCCCACGTAGTCAGGATAACACAACACCTATACGTGCCTGAGCCTATTTCTGTGATTTTTTTCCCTTCGTTGACTCAGGATGAAGCACTCCTCTGTTCCCTTTCACATAGTTTCATGTGTTTTGGCGGCTTCTGTTGAATGTTTATTCCGGTAATGCAAATAATTTGTGTGCCGTAAGTGCCCTCGCAAACAATGCAATTTATTATCAGGTACATTATGTTGTCGTTTTATTTGATGTAAATGGTCTCTGAGAGTTAAAATTAGACAGAAGAGCCATTTGAGACTATTTTGTTCATCTCCAGCTGTTTTTTCAGGAGTGCATTAGTTTGAAGTATTTCACTGGCAAAACACTGTGTTATTTTTTGGGGAGCAAAACTATTTACAAAAGATAAGTATAGCTACTTATTTTTTCCAGTAGTTTTATGGTAATCTCTCTTTTATTTGACATGTATAGATACTGAGCTAGGTGCTGCTCTACAAGGGATATTTATCTCTCCTAAACTGCTCCAGGCAGTAGATAATCTTTTACGATCTTTCTGCAGGCCAAGCTTATAAATGCACAATGGAAATGGATTTTGAAAGGTTACCTGTGTCATATTTTAGTGATTAGGCAAAAGGGCCGTATTTTTGCATTATGCTGTTATTTATTTATATTTTTTTCTTAAACCTCTGCATATTTAATCTGAGTGCAGGGCACTTACTGTAGCCACCCATGCTTTGAAAAACCGAAGTGCCAGAACACGTTTTGCTGTTCTATCACTGCTGGGGGGTCAGGCAACCCAAGGCAATCCCGGTGTTTTGAGGTGAAGTGCTCCGAGTGACGTGGCTCTTCCCGTTTTGTGTGCCTTCCGCAGCCTTCCTGGCATTTAACCCCGCGTTCGTGGGACGCTCGCTTTCCCACTGGTCTCAGAGGGACCTCTAGGTCAGAAGGGAGGAGAGCTCGGGCTGCTGCTGGCAGCGTGTTTGGGGGAGGATGCTTCTGCAATTTCTGGGAACACGGTGCTGCGCTCTGCCTTCAGCCAAGTATTTCGGCGTACGTTCATTGATCCCATTGATGTTATTCCTGCTGTACACAACAGCAAGCAAATTCAGCTCCAGGCTTCTGCGAAGTAGCAGTGGGCCTTAAATATTTATCTAGTTTATTTTTAGCACGCCAAATGTAGCTATATTTGTAGCAAGGAAGCAGTGATACAAATCTTACTGGACTCCTCCTTTGCTCTGCATCTGCAGTAGGGAGGCAGTTTGTTTTTTTTTTTTTTTTTTTTTTTGACCCAGAGCTCTTATTAATGATGTTAAATTTGCTCTGATTAATACATTATAGATTTCTTTCAGTCACCTCTTAACTCCCATGTTTAAATTGAATGGATCTTGTTACTTACCTAAAGGAGCACTGAAGCAGCCTAAGGAAAAAAGAGCCCAAGCCATTTCGGTTACTTCACATGCAGCCCTGCAAAGCATTTCCAATTCCCACTGATACCACAGCTCTGAAAATCACTTACTGCTCCACAAAAATAGCTTTTCTGCCCATCTACTCTACAAGCAGAGACTTGTCTCGTATGAGGGGAAAATGTTAAGAGCATGTTCGTGACCCAGGCAGCTGTAGGAAAGCAAAGCCCTTTTAACTCAAGCTTTTGAGAGTAAAATCTGAGCCTCTTTTAAAATGCTAGTTAAATAAGCTGACTTGTAGCAGAAGTCCCTGTACTCTCAGTGTGTTCACTCATGAACTGCCCTTCCCAGCTTCCTTCTCTGAGGCCCTGGGTGCTGTTTGCACGAAGGTTGATAAGATGCTGGCTCCGACCCTAGGCAAATGACCAGCTCCTGCACCAAGACCGTGCGCAGGCACGCGAGCAGCTTGGCACAGGGAAGTCACCTTCACTGGAGGGCCTCACCCCTGCGGCAGGGCGTACACCAAGGCACAAAGCACAGTGCTGGCGCTGAGCATATCCCCAGGACACGCTGCAGCCACCCAGTCCCAAAATAAGCAGCCTGCTGCTACGCTGACGGTGCAGAGCAAGGAGCCAGGAAAGGGCAGGCTCCTCCAACCAGTTATCAGATTTTTAGCCTCTTCCATTCCCAACTCTTACTGCAGAGCTAGAAGGAGGCTGGGGTAACAAAGTAATAGCAATCGTTTGGTCTTAGAGCAGCTGTGAGCGTGCCCTGGGATGGTGTATAGGCATTAATACCTTCCGTGGAGAAAGGTCCCAATATTACAAGAAAATTCACGGGCAGAGACCATCAGAACAAACACTTTGAAAGCTGCCTGGATGCTTTAAGGACATCTAGCACACGAAACGGATAAAAAACAGGCTTACAGTTGGTTATCTGCTTACTAGCAAAGCCCTAAAATAAAACACCTTCTCCTCTGAGGAACTTTTGCTCGATATAGGACAGGCAGATGGTCGCGCTGATGCGAGGGAGCCCACGTTTGTGCTGCGTGGTGGGGGAAAGGCGATTCCTCTGAAAAGACACGTGAAGGATAAACGAGGCTGGTGGCAGGGAATGCTGGAAAACAGCGTGTGGTGGGATGGCACGGCTCAGAAACAAGCACTTTGGGCTCTTGGGCCAGTGATTTACATGCAGTTACCAAAATCTATTACTTCCTTTTGCCTATGCAGGTGGGCTGTAGTAAACAGATCCTAGCCCAGAGATCAGTTGCGAAATAACCAAGCCAAGGTGTCAAGGACAGAAGGACTCAAGAGAACGGCTTCCGTGGCCCCGTGTGCCACAGCCCAGCGCTTTGTGTCTGAAGCAGTCGTCGGTGGTTTTAACAAAGCAAATGTTGAGCAAGAAAGGGCAACCTGAGCCATGCTGATATCCAAAAGGCCCCAAATGGACAGCCTGTCTTAAAACTTCTGGGGACAATACAAAGGTAGCCTGTGCTTCTCGTCTGCCATTTGATCCATTGAGTTTTTGGGTGTCTCGCTGCTTCCTATTTTCTTTTCTGTGCGTGCTCAGACTGGTCCAGCTCAGGCTGTGTGTTCTTAACACACCCTGAACGAAGCATTTGCAAACTCTGTAACCCTTCTGCTCTTTCAGAGCCTGCTCATTCTCGGTTGTTCAGCGCTTCTTTTCACAGCCTGCCTTGCTTACCTGCACATCTCAGTACTTCTTTACCTCTCTCCCCCCCAAAAAAAATTCCCAGGTTTGCCATCCCATTATTAGTGGAGTATGCCAGTTTGGCATTCATCCCCTCCACTCCCAGCACTCCTGGCTTCTTGAAATTTCTTCCTTTCCTGCTTTCAGACACAGTCCTCCTCCCTTATAAAGTTTCTTAGCCTGCTCAGGGTGCTTTAATAATAGGTGGATCTGAGAAGAGTTGGTCTCTTTTGGGTTTGGAGTAAAATACCTAGCATATTTTATGACAGCAAACATGTATCTTGATACAAATGCATCTCCAGACAGGCTGGTAAATTACTTCTTTTTTTTTTTTTCCCTCATCAAGAATTTTTTGACTACTGCATTTTTTCCCTACCTCAATGTAAACATGGGAGAGACGAGGAAAAAAGGGCTGTCGAGTGGTTAGGTGGAAATATGTGAGTAACGGCGTTACCTGAAGGGTTGCACATAGGCAACTTTCCGGTAGCTTTCCCCAAAATCAGGTGATTGCCAGGCTGTCCTGTGCGAATACCGTGGGGGGGGAAGGACAGCAATGCAGTGCGGAGCCCCCGGGCAGGGGGAGCCAGGATGTGCAGGCATTTTGCACCCGCTCCTGCCGACACTTGAGGAATGCAGGATGTGCCTCAAATAGAGCCTCACAAATATGCTCTGCTGCAGTCATTTCAGCCTTTCCTGGTATTAATATTAGCTCTCGCTGACAACAGCTGGGGATTTTAGTGACAGCGACTGCAGAAGAGTACAAATGTGGATTTTTTTTTTTGTCGTTGTTGTTTTCCTGTCGTGCCAGCTGAGAAGTGAACATCAGGCTCCCTGTACTGACTCAGATGAAAGGTTGGACAAGCCCAGGCTCCTGTCTCTGGCAGTGGCCAGGGAAGCTTAAAGAAAGCGCAGAAGAACAAAACAAGCATAAAATAATCCTTTCCCCGCTCCATCCTCCCCACAAAGTGAATCTTTTCAGTTCTGGCACCTATCCTGATGAGATAAGGAAGAATAACTGAAAGGATCCAGTGGCAAGGAGGGGAGGGAGGTGCTCCCTTCAAAGCGCTGGCAGGTTTCTGTTTTCTGTTCCAGTGCCAAATGCTACAGCGGTGCTTGCCAAATGCCCTTGCCGTGGTGCTTGTCCGAGGGCTGTACAGCGTTACACCGCGCTGTCTGTGCCGTGCTGCTTCTGCTGAAGTCTGTGGGATTCCTCTTGTGCTGAAACTACTAATTGTGAAACCCCAGCTTGTTTGGATATTAGTGTGCATCTCTGGAGCACGCAGAGCAGGAGCTCCCTGCCCATGCTGTTAGCAGGACAAGCAGCGGGTAAGAGATGCGTTTTTCCTTGTCTAGCTGAGACTGGAGAACACGTACACTGCGCGGGTGGGCATCCTGCCTTACTGAGCTGGCACAGAGAGCTGGGAACCACAGCTCTGAGAGGCAGGGCGGGTGCCGTGCTCCTCCAAGGACAATCCCACCTCAGGATTAGGTCTGCATGAAGTGATGGAGGCACAAGCGTGATTCCTGAGGGGGGAGAAAAACACACCAACTTTTTAAGCTCCTAATTTTAAAAGCGACACAGTCTGGAAGCGTCAGCAATTGTTCTGTCTCATTAAACCTCAAGCCCGGGTTCCCAGAATGTTTTTTCCAGAGGAAAGCATCTACAGGCAGGTGTTTCTTGCCAGCTGATCCGGACCTTCGGCAGTTCCTAGCTCCGAGCAAGCTCCCTCAGCTGAGGGACGCGCCGCGGCACCGCTAAGCTTGCAGACGCCGCTCGCTGCTTCAAAGAAGGTAAAAGTCCCAAACGCACCCGCGCACCTTGCCAGCTCCGCCAGCCAAGTGAGCTGCAGTTTAAGGAGGTCAGGAGGATCTCAGACACACCTGGAAACACTCATGAAGCTCTTGAGCCTAATCGCTGTTGCTCAAGGTGGCCAGGAGCTCTGCAAACGTTTGAACAACGTGTGTGAGCCAGACAGGTGTGGCTGCAGCAGCTCGGATGCCCAAAGGAACCCAGCAGGCCGGGAGCACTCGCCCATTTCTGAATTTGTGTGGGCCAGGATCAGCTCAGGGACCATCCTGCTCTGCACACAGCCATCCTGGAGAATGAGATGCTTTTAAAGCATCTTTAAGCGACTGAGGCTTGCAGTCCTCCAACCAGTTGGCTGTTCCATAGGCATCAATGTCTCCGTGAATGTTTCCCGTTGATGGTTTTACTCCCAGCTGGGCGTTCAGGCCGGGGTTACCTCAGTTTCTTTCGCTGTGAGTCAGCACCACAGCTCTGAGAGCCGATGGCTACATCTACTGAAAAGGGAGGCTCGAGACGTTCACAGAAGAACAGCGGAAATCAAAATATTGCAAAGGGACTAACGATTACGTGCACAGAAACTGGTAACGAAAGCAGGAACAGAGCTGGGGTTTCTTAGCTGTGGGGATAGCACGGCCCAGAGCTCCTCTGGGGACTGTCTGCAGGAATCAGCATCCTTCGGGTGCCTCGTTTAGGGGGGAAAGCAGGAAGCAAGCTGAATCAAAAATCATAACAATAATGCTAGAACCCATCATGGTGCGCTCCGGCTGGATCTCTTTTGCTACGAGAAAGCAGTGTTTAGAGACGCTGATGCTATTGTGCTCGTTAATTCCGAGGTGTTTTCTGTAGATATTTCTTGAGAGCTGCTGTCCCAGGGGGAAAGACGATAGCTGCTGTATTTGCCGAAGACGGTGCTCCAGAATTTCTGCAGCTGGGGTGAAAATAGGAGCAGGGAGACTGAACACGAGCAATGTCCTGTTGCGGCAGGAGGGTGGGATGCACGGGGGGTCAGTGCACTCCGTTAATTTGAAGGCTAATTAGCCATGAAGCTCTGAACTCTTAGCTAAATGGCTAATGTCCTGGACCTGCTTTCGGGGGGCATCAGCACCAGACAGCGCTGCTTCTGCGAGCCTGCTCGAAAAGTTTCCCTTCCTCCTGAGAAACGCTGACAAAACTGTAATATCTGCTGCTTGCTTTCAGTGTGTTAGTGGCAGAACATCAGGCTAGAACCATGTCCTCTACTTAACTGGCTCCAGAAGAGTGGCTGTTATCACTAACCACATATTTTTTAACAATGCAGTGCCAGTGTGGATGGGATACAGGTGAGCAGGGCTCAAGGAGCCTTGGTTTGGCTGCCGGTCCTCCCAAGTGCAGCTTGGCTACAAGATGGTGCACCTCTGGCAGCTAGGAGCTGCGATTTCTTCCTCGTGCTGCTATATTCCATGCACCAGAAACTCTGTTAACTCCTTTAGTGACAGTCTGTAGCGCATCCTGGCTGTTTAATTGGATTTATCATGGCTATTGGGAGCATAAATGTGTTTACAGATTTGTTGTGAAAGCTTTTTAGTCTGTTTTTCTCGTAGCGAGTCAACTTCCATGTGGTGCAATTATGTTCAAGATGTTCCCTGTAGCACTGGAATAATGTCAGATTATATTGTGTGTGCATATTGTTCTTCAAAAGGATTTCATCCGAGGCACAATGCGCCGTGTCAGAAGAAGGGAGTCTTGGTTTTTATTAAGAGAGGCGTGCTAAGCTCAAAACACAGGAAATTCTGTCAAATCCTCCCGTCTTATTAGAGAGAAATGCTCGTCTCTGTCTACTGAGACGTGAAACTTTTCCCCATTAGCTCCCCTCCTGCGACATCTCGCTCTGCCAGCACTCAGTCCATCCACCTGCAGCGCAGCCCAGCGCTGGAAGTTTGCAGCAAGCAGTGAGACATCTCGGAGAGGAGTCGGGGCGAAGGAAAGCTCACGTTGGCTTCTCAGGGGTGGCAGTAAGAGGACGTGGAGCTGGGTGGCTGCTGCAGAGGGGATGTTTTGGGCCTGGACTCCCAGCGGGATGTCAGGGGCTGCACCAAGCAGCGCTGCACCAAGGCTGAAGCTGGCCCCTGATGCTCGTTCTTGAAGTGTTGTGTTGTTTTTTTTTTCCACTTAAGTAACAATGCGATTTCCTCTCTGATGACGGTTCAGATATTAAATGTCACATCTGCCTAATACTTTCATTCTGAACTACAACGAGCTTTCCCAGCGCTTCTAAAGCAGACCTTTGTGGTACATTTCCCAGCTGAACGATACCCAGAAACCAAAATTTGTTCTGCAGCTCTTTATTATTGTTGTTGTTATTAGTAGTGGGTCTTGTACGGGGATTACTCAGAGCAGCAGCACAACAATTCTCCCTAACGTGGGAAAAGTCAGGGTTTTCGGATGCCACCATTTTGAGCCTGTAACCTGTCTTTCAGCAGCAGGTTTTCTCACTTGAAGTTGCACTGAAGAACAATTTCCAGGGACTTTCCTCTCTCTTCTGCCCACAAGGATGCAGCTACCTGCCCTTCAGTCTGAAGCGCTAAGGAGATGAAGGAGACAAGGACACAAGCAGATCACAGCTACGTGGGAAGGAAAATCCATATCGCAATTGTCTGATAAAAATGCAAGGGATCTCAGGCAATCTTGGTTTTGGTGGCCTTGTGCAGATTCACATTAGCTGAGAGTCTGGACCAAGAAGCTGAGAGTACAGCTGTGACCACGCATGCACAAGCTTCAGCTGATCTTTCTCATTGGTTTACTGTATCCAAATCTGCAGGTGTACTTTGCTAGCTGAAAACTTTGGCCTTGATTTATTATTATTTTTTTAAGTCTGAAGGTTTGTACAAGTATGTAGGGGTGTACCCAAGAATGCAGAAACCTTTGTGTGCGTGCTTAATCAGGTAGATATTTGCCAGGCTTTCCAGAGCAGTTTAACATACTTTCAGAAGAGGGGAGAAAAAGAAAAAAAAGGCATCTTTAAAAAGCACAAAATATACTCTGTGCACTCTATGTGGAAGCTCAGGGTCCAGGTCATTTTACAGAACTCAAGTTTTTGCTGTGCTTCAATCCAGTTAAAATGCCCGAAAGATGAGCCATTTGAAAGTACTTCACAAGACCCATGAGTCATGCAAAGTCCTATCACATTTTTCCCTCTGGTGGAAATCACAGAAGTTGTGAATGGTAAAAGAGCTGTTAGATCATAGATAAAGAATGCTGCAGGATGGGCTGGTAAAATAATTAAAAAAATAAATATATAAATAATAATTTTAAAAAGAAAAAACAACAACCAAACACACAGTTTTAATCTAGCTTCTAATTCCCTGGGCATGAATTCAGCAGGTAAGACTGAAATATCGCAGCTTACCCCCAAAAAGGAGTGGCATGCAGCTGTATCCTTTGGAGAGCTGCTACTCCTTTTCTTGTTTTCTTTACTGCTCCAGGCATACAAAGATTTTAATACTTCTCCTTTATCTAGCACAGTTAATTTCCCCGCCCTATACCCGCTGAACTTCTCCGGCAGGTATGTTTGGGGGAATGTGGACCCAGGCTTTCATCTGCTCCCAAGTCTTCTGCGAACACAACGGAGCACTTGTGATCCCACAGAACCAGCTCCTGGCCCAGCTGCTGCTCCGGGAGGCAGGGGAGAGGCGATGCAGGGTCCGTAAGCTCACATCTACCAGTGCAGCTCCGTTGGGTGCTGACCCAGCGGTTCCCCCAGCACAGGCCACCGAGGAGGAGGCTCCTGAGCACGTGCAGATGGATTGCATGGTGAATAAGAATTTGGGAAACACTGGTTTTTGCACTCAGTAGATCATAGAGGAACAACCTGATTCACGAGAGCTTGGCTGCCTTCAGGTCTGTGCTCCCAATAAATCACAGCTCTGCCCAGTGTCAGAATGCAGAGACTATCGACTGGCTGACATGCGCAGTTAAATCCTGATCGAACAAAACATATGCTTGGAAATGAGAGGCCAGCTTTGAAGTCTGACCTATGAATTCTTTGAATCAAAAGGAGATTATGGCATATTGTGCTCTTAACACAATTGCTGAGCAATTCCAGTAATGAGTTAGTAATAGGCTTTCTATGTGCTATCTCTTAAGGTGAAGAGGAGGGATGAGGTTCAGGCATATAGAAAGAGAGCAAATCTAAAATACATGTAGACCAGAATATCTAACCTCTATTATCCTTCTTATCTAGCCTAGCTCTTTGCAATAGTTTTTGACTTCAGAAATTGATTGTGAGGATATCTATATCCCCGAGGTATTTTTATTACTAGAATAAAGCCTACCTGAAACTACTGCGTGGATCCGTAGGTAAGTGGTGCAGTGGCCTTCCATTTTTATTGTTTTTGTCGATGCTTATGTCTTATTCCACTGTAATTGCCAGGATTCTTCTCCTTTTAGTTTCTCTTCCCTGCAACGCTGTGGTCAGATTTCCCAGATCTTGCATTCTTTGTTGACCAGAAATTTCTAAAGGAATTGAAATGGAAACAAAGGAAAATGCTATGCAAGGGGCTTTGTGACCATAAGCCATAAAAGCATTTCATCAGACAGAAAGGCTCGCTTCCTATTTCAGTCTCCATTTTTTGGGCACGTACTCCAGGTCAGACCCTTTGGCGCTTATAGGATAATAAGATAAACATTTGCCTCTTTCTTTGCCAGCGTACTGTGAAAAGACTGAGGGAAACAGTTATGTTTCTATATGGTTCAAATCTAAATGATTAAACTCTTTTTTAGCTGAGGGAAAATAGTGTGGTTTAGTAACTTTGCTTGTTGCTTAGAGAGAACCAGTTATGCTTCTCAACAGACCTGAAAGAGTCTCGCTATTAAACAGATTTCTGATGATGTCGAGCTACTTTTTTCCATTTTCACACTTTTTTTTTCCTCTCCCATAGTCACTTTATCCTCTCTCGAATAAATTCCTGCTTGAGAAAAACAGAACGGAAGAAAAGTAACCAAACCCCCCTAAGTAAGATTTGCACATGGTACTTTCAGTGACATCTCAGAGCTACGTCACTGCCACCAGGACAGGGAACCCAAAACCCTGCTCCTCAGTGGGGAGAAAGCAGTGCTTGCCAGGTGTGGCTGGGCCTCTTTCAGCATCTTTTAGCGGTTGGTTGCTCTTTGCAATGGCAAGGCAGCCGGCTGGCAGCAAGCTTGGGGCGTTCTGCTTCTTTGTTAATCCCCACCGCTGTGTGGGATCTGCTATCTGATCTTACAGCCAGTGCTATAAGTAGGTCTGCATGTAGATAAGGCCTATGGAATGAGCAAAATGGCTCATTCCTACAAAAACGTCATCCCTTGTCAAAAATCTGTGACGTGGAACATCTCTCTAGCTCTCCTTCTTGTGGTATAAGAGCAGACCTGCTTAACGTGCTCCTGGGGCAGGGGCTCTAGCAATGCCTTGTGTAGGGAGGATGTGGGTGTTGGACTCCTGCAAACAGGTACAAAGCTGCATTGATTTTAAAATATTAACTTAAGGTAAATACCTGACGTGGAAAATTTAATCCAAATGATTGAAGTGTAGAGAGATCAAAGCATCTCAAAAGAGGGTGTCATTACAGGAAACGTTAGGTAACAGATGAAACTCTCAGCCCTGCTAGTAATCACCACATTAAGATGGATCAACACCTTAACACGATCCTATGTTATCGTGTCTTTGAGAAGCTGGCAGCTCGTTTTGAAAACAAAAAGGCCTGTGCAGTGAGAGTTGGAACGAACCTTGCAGCGATCCGCATATTGCTCAAACGTGAGCGTGTGCTTTCTGCTTTGTTTCTCAGCAAACCCCTCTGAAAAGGTCGTGCACGCATTTTCCTTCACTGCATGTCTGTGACCTTTCTCGCTGCTGTCGAGCTTGCACAGAGGAAAGCAAGCCACGGCCTTGATTTCTGTTTGTTTGTTACTTTTTGGTTTTGGTCTCTTAAATCCTGCATCTCACAGGCCTGTCTCAGCTACCAGTTGCCTCCTGCCAGACCCGCAGATACCACGAGGCTAATCTTTATTCCAGTCCGTGCAGCTCTCACTCGTGCCCTCTGTCCCTGGGCCCTCCAGCAGAAGACAAATTTTGCTGCCCTACCTCAAGGCAGCAGCTAGAAGGAAATGATGGAGGAACACCTTACTCTAAATCAACAGCAGCTGTAATGGGATGTAAGCTTCGGGGGGTTTTGCTTTGCCCCAAGCACCAGAGGTCTTTAAGGACTGGAGGAAGAAGAGTTGCTCTTCATCTGTCTGTCAGCAGCACCAGGATGACTCAAGCGCAGGTCAGAGCCCCGCGGTGCATGGATGCTGTTGACAAGACAGCCCCCGTGTCAGGAGATAAGAGGGTGCTGTGTGGAGTTAGCAGATGGTGGGATCAGTTTGAGGAGTAGCTACTCCATTTACAGAGCTCGGCAGAAAAAAAAAAAAAAACACAAAATCCTACTTTCCTAAGGAAAGAGTGACTGGTAGGCATCACGGCAGGAGTGCCTTTGACAGCAAGATGTCTGCTTAATACCTTTGGACAGATTTCTTTCTGCAACGTCAAATGCACGCTCTTGGTTATCGTGCAGTAGGTTGTTCCCATGCTTGCTTGTCACGACGGCGCTGGGCTCAGAGAGCTGCAGATCAAAAGCTTTACAGAGCGGTACGGCTAAATTGTTTCTTCTTTCATCATCTATTTAAAAAAAAAAATTAATGGAAGATGAGAAGCTGCCCACTTCAGGTTTGTATGCGAATAATTATAGGACGAGGCAACAGCAAGGTGCTTTCTGAAAGATGTGTAAATGGTTGGGCCTCTTCAGGAAATCTGTGGTAAGCAGGTCATTCAAAAATAACTTTCTGAGGCTATGGGAAGTGGGTGAAATGAAGTTAAAAAAGAGCTACTGAAGAGAGGAAAATGCTGATGAAAGGGAGTGTTTTATCTGATATCAGAAACTGTTGGTTTTCATTCTGATCCTGGTGTGTTTTTTTGTTTTTTTGTTCTTTTTTTTCTTTAGGTAGCTTTTAGAGTGCCCTTAAGTTATCTCAAAAGGTTATTAATTTTCCACTGGCATCAGAAAGGCTGAAATGATATTTGCAATGAAAGCAAGTGACTCCCTTGAGGTTTTTGCACCCACAGCTCCCGACTAACTGGAAATGCATTTAATAAACCTAAAACTTGATACCTCTTGGCCCTGCTTGCTCCAGAGCAGCCAGCAGGGGCTCTGTCAGTCAGACCAGAACAGGGCCACGGTAGGTGCCCCACGAGGGACGGACACGTGGAAAAGCCAAGCTGCCCAGGGTAAATGCCAGCTCCTGGAGCTCGGGACAAGGCCTGAAGCAGACTGAAGCAGTGAACGCTAATCCAGAACTGAGACCTGCCACGAACAGGGGATTGCTTCCAACACTACGGGAGGGCTGCAGCAGCCACGGGGCGATGCTGAGTGAACCCTCCTAGCAATCAGAGAACTCACCCTGGCTCGTGCTCCTGGGGACGTAATGTCCTCTCGGTCATGTCTCAGACATCGCAGCCTATTCTGTGATTCTCTGAAGAACAGCCACAATGTGGTATGCTGTCATCTACACAAAATTTACCTCATTCTGGAAGCAGAAGCATCAGTGAAAGAGCAGTGATAGGGACTGAAAGCCATATGCTGGAAGCCAGGCTGTTTCCCAGGGTCCTTTTGAAGGCTTTAGTGCTGGTTGGAAATAGATCGTAAGGTCTACAACACTTGGCATCACTACTTTACCCTCGTCTTGTGATTTTCTTCATGTCAAGAGAGAACCATTTGCAATTTAAAATGGTGCTAGATACTGTCAATATAAAAATTCAAAATAAAAATGGGCATGCTACATGGACGAAATTGCTCCTAGAAGATGGACAAATCAGCACATGGGACAAAAGGAATACACCAGCCAAGTATGTGTATATACACACACCCCGATAGGCACTTATATCTTAAGTGTTCTCTGCCTCACCATCGGTTACTGACTTGCTGTTTTCTTTCCAGAAAGAAAATCCTTGACAGAATTTAAGCGATGAGTAATGACTCCGTTCTCTTCCCTCCTAGCTGCCAGGCAGGCACATACGTGGGTCCCGTTGGCCCACAAAATGTGAACGTTTTAACCTTTTCTTCTTGTCCTGCGCCTGCCCTGTCACTCGGTGCTTTTGCAGCGCTTTCCCCCTTTACCCAGGTCTACTCCTCTCAGGGAGCAGGGCAACTGCATTTACAAGGAGCAAGAAAACACTTCACTGCTAACAGCAGCATGCGTCTGGGGAAAATGTCAGCACTTCAACCAGAGCCTTGCTATTCCCTCGGCGTTGTCATTGCTGGCTCCTCTGCCCTTCCTTACAAGTGGGTTTGAGGAGGTGGTTGTTTTGGCTGGAATTAGAGAGGCACAGGTGGTATCACCAGCTGTAAATTGGAGGAGGCACTTCCTGATTATGACCACTGCCTACACGTAAATCACTGCCAAGAGAGGAGCTGGGAAGCACAGAAGCCTTCTCCTTACTTGGAAAGAGGGCCTGGAGTGTAATCAGAGCTCCCCTCTTCTGCAGCTTTCTCACCTGTGGGCTCCTGGGTTCTTTGCTTGGCTTCCCAAAATGCTGTGACGTGGAAAATCCTCATCCCTGTTTGACAGAAGGATAGACTGAGGCACTGAGCGTGATGCTCATGCACTTAGCATTTGGGTACTCGAGGCCCTGTAAAGCACGAGGAGCTCAGGAGACACGAGTGGTTCTCTGTCAGGTCAAGCTTTTGCCCTCTGGCTTTCCGTGTTTGTGGCGAGAGGCTTGTCCAAAGCTGCAGCGAGCGCTAACCTGGGGACTCCGGCAAGGAGTTTGGGTGCTGCTTTTGGAGGGCACTGCTGCACGGGTTGGCAGAGTGCTGCTCTCAGGTGCCAGCACCCCCAGCCAGGTGTACTTCTGTGCTTTCGGTGCCAGGTTAAGCGTGGTTTTTGTTTTTAATTACTGTCTGGTGCTCACTTCTCTACCTAATCACCTGTACATAATGAAGGCCTCTGCTGCTGGCCCTGACTTGCTTTGTCTGCAGGAAATTTGGGGTGCCGGCTCTCCTCATCTGCCTCCTGCTGAATGCTGATTCTTTGGGGTGATGGCTCAGCCCGTTGCGGGCTCATGGTCTCGGTTTTGGGGTACTTTTTCCCTTTTAACCCATTGTGTCCTAAACGCGGGTCCACCGCATGTACAGATGGAGAGCAGCAAATGAGGGAGAGGTGTTGCAGAACCAACCCACCCATGTGCGCCGCTCACCCACACACACGGGGAGAGGGAAAGATTAAAAGATTAAAGTTACAAACTAAAAAACCGCCCCAGGCTACCGCTGAGATCTGAGTGACTGCCTGCGAAGCCAAACTCCCACTCCGGAGGTGCCGCGCCACGCTCGCTGTCACTCACTCCGCACTTGCTTTCTCCTGCCATCCCTTCCTGCCGCTGGCTTTGCTATTTTTACAGACCCACAAATTAAACAATCGCTTGGTTTGGCTACAAAGGAGGGTCCCGAGCAACTCCTGGGGGCTCACGGGGGTAGTTTTCCACCCCTCATTGCACTTCTGGACCCTGGAGACCCCTCTGGCAGCCTTCTCCTGTGCCTCGCTTGCCCCCACCGCAGCCAGTTTCGGTTCGGTTGTGGCCCAGGACGGGCGTGGGAGGGACGGCAATTTGCAGCCGTTAGAATTTCGGTAACAACGTGGGGAACTTTGTAAGGTCTTCAATGCTTTCCCTTCCCTCCAGAGATGTCATGCAAGCCTTACCCTATCAAGCTTACAATGAAGTATGCCTACAATTCTGTATTCCTTCCTGCCATTTGTTAGTGTTTTCTCACATTTTTTTTCCATATCTTCACTAGGGACGGATGAAGCATGGCCACTTTGGCTTTATGGCTGAGCGGTACACAAGGAAAACTGAGGTCTGGGCTCTCCAAAACAGATATTAAGGTTGCACCTGCGCTGGTATGTATGATACAAAAATAAAGAAGATTGTTTCTAATTTGGCTGTAGTGGTTGATCTGAGCCTCAACAGTGGTTTTGTTTAATACTCAGCGCACTGAGCTCCCAAAGTAATTTTACCATTTTCTTTGTTGTTGCTGTTTTAAAGTTTGGGGGTCCTTTTTATCAGAAACAGGCTGTCTCAAAGCAACAAGTTCAGCTCTGCTATTTTGAAAACGTTGAAATGGTATATTTGGACATCTCCGAAGTTCCTCCTCCTCCCTGTGCTTTTCAGACGAAGGTATTCGTCAGACGCAGGCTGAGCTTGCGAATCATGTTGGGTTCCTCTAGGGCTCCGTATTTAATCAGGTATCTCGCCCAGCTCTGCGTAAGCCCTGGGGTGACACCAGAGAAAGGGGAGCACTGGGACCTTCTTGTGCCAGGCAGGGTCCTGGGCACGGTGTCAGACAGGTAACGCGCGTCTCGGGAGCAGCGTCCTGCTGGGAGCTCCGTGATGCAAGCACCCGCAGCCCTTCGTGCCGCTCTTCCACGCCTTTGGCAGAGGAAGCTCAAATTGCTTGGGTCTGTGCCTCGAAGGAGGCCAGCAGCGAGATCTGTGCTTCCCACGGGAGGATGCAATTCTTGATAAGCATCTTGCCGTCTGTAACGGGCACGGCTGAAATACCACGTTGGGCACAAATCGAAAATGGAGTCATTTCCACCTTCCTTCCTGTTCGGATGACGACTAAATGAGAAATTTTTGCAGTCTTGTTTTATGCACCATATGCTTGCATGGGGTCTTTGTGATGAATCTGCACCCTCCAACTAACGATAATTAGTGTGCTATTTTGTTTACGTGGGATTAATCTGATTCAAATGACTAGATGAAATTCTTTGATCTTCAGGGTAGAGGAGGTCAGACTATGATGATTTTACGCAGTTGCTCCCGGCCGTAAAATCTATTCATTTGACAATCAATAGAAAGATATCACTTGCAGTGTTGATAATTTCCTCCTCTCGTCAGCCCTGACCCTGGTTTCCTGGTTTTCATTCTCCTGTCAAATTTAAATCTCTTTTCTTCTTGGAGCTCCACTCTGCTCCATCGTGCCCTGCTTTCTGCCCCCACTGAAGCCTGCACACCCTTCCATTTCCTCGTCTCCACCCAGGCTTTTTCCTTGCCCTCGTTGCCCATGGTCTTGTCTATCTGTGTGGGGACCGTCCTTTTAATGTGAAGCCACTTTCTCATTTACATTCACCAAGTGTGCAAGTTCTCTTCCAGAACTCTCCCTAACCGTGCATTCAGTGAGGTGGTGTAGCTGCCAAAAAAAAAAAAAAAAAAAAAAAGAAAGAAAAAAAGAAAATCACCAAAACATTCTGCTCCATATTTGTTCTTCATTCTGTTGCACGAGTTCCTGTGCATAGCGTTTGGGAGGCTGCAGGCTTTCTGGGGCATGGTCTGTAGCCACTCATCGGTCCAGCCAGCACTGCCCATTGCCCAACTCGGGATCCTATGAATATTTATGATGCTAAATAATCGTGCTTGCTTCTCGCCTAGCACTCTTCACCAGCAGATCTAAAGCTGCTTCAGTGAGGACATCACGTCGTGACTCCAGTGGGGAAACGGAGGTAGTGGAAGGTGAAATAACCTGCCTGGCATCGCCCCATCAACAGCAGAGCGCCAGAAGCCACGTGCAGTCCTCTCTGGCCCCAGGCACGTGCTCCAGCCGCGAGACCCTGCTCCACGATAGCTAAGAAAATAAGTGCTTATGCAATGCATTTTTGTCTTCTCCATTCCGAGCAAACAATTCGAGCGTTTTCCTCCCAGGCATTAATAGCATCCTTGAGAAATATGTTTCAACACGCATTTTCGGTAATACTTGTGCGTGTGTGTGTGTTGCGACCCAGCTAGCAGTTGTGACCTGCTAAAGGAAGCAGACTGCAGCGAGGGGGAGAGGCGGCACCTACGCCCCCGCGCTCTGCTCTTCCTCCTCCTCCGCCCCTCCGCGCTTCTGGTGGCAGTCGGAGACGCTGGGGACCAACCACGGAGACGTTCTGCGCGGAGCTCTTCGGGGAGCGATACCAGCTGCTGTGTTGGCAGCCTTGGAGTTGCCTCTGGGTCTGCCTTGCCGTCTTGTCTCCTTGAATATAATTGCTTGCTGCTGATTTTTTTTTTTTTAATTTTTTTTCTTTGATTCTGTGGAACTCATATCCTACTCAGATTCCTTCTCAATCTTGCAATCTGGGGAGTCGGAGGAAATCGAGAACCGATCAGCTGCCTGTTTCCTCTGTATATTATGAAAGTGTCCCTATGCCATGTGTGATTTTAATCTTTTTTTTTTTTTTTTCATCTGATCAGACAGCACATCAAAGAGTCAGACTGTGCTGGCGAGGTCTGTGCTCTGAGCAGGGAAGGATCCGTTCCTGCAGAGATGCTCCCTGCTCTCAGCTCCACAAAGGTGACAGCAAATCTCTCACCCTGTGCTGTGCCTCCCCCCCACCACACACGCTATTCAGTTTTGCCAGTTTTATATGGCAGAGCATCTGATCTTTCTTGCAGAGCCCGCTGTGGCAGGAACCCTGAAGCAGCCATGTCTAGGGAGAGTCCTTCAGGAGCGGCAGCACACGCCTGCCTGGGGACCTGCACACGCTGTGAATAAACCCATGTCTCACTCTGTGGAGGTCACGGGGAACCAAATCACCTCGTGGAACCAACCAGAATTGTCAGCAGTGACTCCTTGCTCTTCCGTGCATAGCTGATACCCAGCTCCCCGAGGGCAGGGGTAGAAAAAGCACGCGCAGAAGGCTGGGTGGCTATACTTGGGCGTAAGGGCATGAGTGCTATGTGTGCACTTGGACGTGCATCGCAAACTTTGGAGCACCGTGTAGGGCCTGTGTCACCAAGAGATCTGCCTAGATGGGCTTCAGGCTTAAAATTGCTGGCCAGGACTCTGTAGCTTGCAATTATTGTAGAAAAAGAAGGTCTGGTGTAGAGGTTGTCTTCTGAGCGACAGCTCTGCTACCTCCATCCCTGGATCCCCCCGATTTATCTACTGTCTTAATGTTAGAAGTCCTCGCTTTCACCTAACCCGTCTCGGCGCACTGCGACCTTTTTAAAACCAAAATGTAAAAGCGTGAAAACAGCTGTAAAGTTACCAGACCTCTTTCCATCCTCTGTCTGCGCAGGGCAGCCGGCTTCAGGAGACTTCTACCTCCCGGCGTCTGGGAGAAGGATCAGACCGGGCGCTGAGGTGTCCCCTGGGACGCGAGCGGAAGCAGTACCTGAGTGGGAAAATGTTTGAAATTTAACAATAGAGGGACAGCGCTAAAAAACTACTGTAAAAACACTTCCCTGCCTCTCAGGGGGGAAGTTTGAATGTGTCTCAGCGGCTGCCTCTGGCTTGGTGCCCAGCGCTGCGAGCTGGGCTGGTGAAGGGAGACAGCAGCGCGGGTTTGTCCTATTCCTCCTCCCTGACGTGCGATGCCAGACCATGGAGGGCACGTGGAGAAGGGGGCTCCTCAGCCCTCTCATCCTTCTCCCCGACGCCTGATGAGCCCAGGGCATGGCTGCCTGGCCCTGGGCAAGGCAGACGTGGCTCCGTCTGCTTGGCGTGGCGCTGACCCACTTGAGGTGATTTGGGTCTCTTTGGGGGGCAGCCGCCGCCTCTCCGTGTGGCGATGAGGAGGGATATTTCTGAGGAGGGGTATTTCTGAGGAGGGATATTTCTGAGGAGGGGTATTTGTGAGGAGGGATATTTCTGAGGAGGGGTATTTCTGAGGAGGAATATTTCTGAGGAGGGATATTTCGCAGCCCTCATCAGCGCCCGCGGGCGTATGCAAACAGCATGGCGCGTGGGAGGGCAGCGAGGCAGCGCGGCGCACACGCATTCTTGTGGTTTCGCCGTGCCCCGTGAGCCCGGGCTTTCTCATGGGAACCGTGGCGTGACGAGGCGTGGAGGGGCGCGGAGCACCCCGAAGGGGCGAGCGGTGGCCAACGGCGGCCGCCATTTCGTGGGGGCGGCGTGGGGGCTGTGCACACTGCTGGGGAGCCCTGCGTGGGGCTGTGGGGGCGCACACATTGCCTGAACACTGCGGGGCGCCCCGCGTGGGGCTGGGGCCGTGCCCCGTGGGGTCTCCCCCTCACACACTCTCCCCCCCGCCTCCCCTCCCCTCAGCGCCCCGCCGCCATCTCAGGCCCCGTGGCGGGGGCGGCCCCGCCGGGCGCTGCGTCACGCGGCGGCCGCGCGTGGGCGGCGGAGCGCGCGCGGGATCTCCCCACGTGACCGCCCTCCCCCTCCCTTCCCCAGCCCGGCCCCTCCCCGGCCCTGCCCCTCCCCTCCCCTCCCCTCCGCTGGGCGAAGCCGGCGGCGGCCGCGCCGCGCCGCGCCCCCCCCCCCCCTCCCCGTTCCCTCCTTGCTCCGCTTCTCTCCCTCCCCGTCCAGCACCGAAGACGGCGCCGGGGCCAGCGCCGAGGGCTGCGGGGCCGCGGGGGCCGTGTCCCGGCTCGCCCACCCGATGGGCAAGGAGGAGCCTGCGCGGGGGGGGGCCCGGCAGCAACTTCGGCGGGGCTGAGGCTGCGGCGCCGGGACGGCGGCGGCGGTGCTGGCGGCGGGCGGCCCCCGGTAGGCGGCGGGGCTGGGGCTGGGGCTGGGGGGGGCGGGGGGTGGTGAGGGCGATTTAATGGCAATTTGGGTGTTTTGTTGAACTTCGGGGTGCGCGGCGGCCGGAGCTGCAGCACGGCTGGGATGTGCCTCCTGCAGCCTGCAGCGAGCCGGGGAATTTCCCGGCTGCTTCGCTGGGTCTGGGCAGGGAAAATGCACGGCAGAGAGAGCCCTGCCCTGCCCTGCCTGCACCCTGCCTGCTCCTGCAGGGCTGCCCAGCAGCCGGGTGGGCTTCCCCTGCAGCCCCCTGCCGTGTGTGCTGCACCCCAGGAGCTCAGCTCCGCCGGAGGAGAAGGCAGGTCAAGAGGGGGAAGTGTCCAAAAATGTCTTCTCCGCGGAAATTAGGAGCTGGAGAAATCGCACGGCCCTCCGAGGAGTTGCTGTACTAAATTTGGAAAGCGGAGTTGGGCTCCCAAGTCCGAAATCCCTCGGTGTTGGGCTCGCTTTCAATGCAAACCCCAACACAGCCTGAGCCGTGGACCCGCTACTGCCGCCTCCGTAGCACATATTAATCCAGTTTTATCTGTCAGGAGGAGATTTGTTGATTAGGAGCCTCGAGGTAAAGACTACTCCTGGGCTATTGCTGCTGCTTCCAGCCCGTGGGCTGGAAAAATTAGCTCCACGCCTTGCCCGGGGCGCTCGGGCTGCGTGTAATTTCCCCGACACCTTCGTCTCCCAATTCAATTTGGTGCTCGGCACAAGGTCCGTGTATGTAGATTTACGTAGATTTGGTGCCGAGATGGATGGCTCTCCGGGAAAATGCTGGTTCTCGCAGCGGTTGTATAAATAAGTTGATTTGTGGCACTGATGGAAGAGAGTCAACATGGCTTGAAATGGGAGGCTGGGGACAGCTTGCTGAAATACCGCTCATCTGTAAGCTGCTGGTTTTGTTTGTCTTGCCAAAGTTTGCATGGAAGGGGAGGGTTTTTCAAGGAACTTCTTGAGAAGTAATGACAATTTTTAAAATACCGAGTTAAAGGATTACCTTAAGTGGCTTGCTTCATTTTCCTTGTTGCAGCTCACCTCTTTGAGTGCAGTGCTTAGCTGTTTTTCTGCAATTAACTATTATTTCCTACAGTTCAGCTGTATTTCTAAAATAAGCATCTCTTCAGCGTTTCCAGTTTCACCCCGAGTTCCCAAGCATGCAGTTCTTTAGGTCTTGGTCACACCAGCAGCTCCTTGAGGTGGCTGCCCAGATCCCAACAGCCAGCGCTGTCAGTGCTGTTGTACAGATCCCAATGTACAAAGCATGATATGTGCAGCTGTTTCATTTTTCAAGGCTTTTTTCCTTTTCTTTTCTCTTTTTTTTTTCTTCCCCTGGAGAGGCTGTTTGCATGCATCCTGCTGCTACCACATGGATCTTTGTAAAGTTTCCATTGGCCTCCTAATTTTAATTTTTGCTAGTAGAAAGGAATCAAAGATCTGATTTTGAACAGGAGTCTGATCTTTCAGATGCCCCCTGAATGGAATTTAAGTTCTGCTTGTTAACGTTTGTACATTTATTTTGAGTTGTTAACTGGAAAAAAAAATCCTATTGTAAAAATTATTTTTCCCATAGTTCTCCTTCTGATTAGCAGTCTCCCAGTGACCATAAAAATACATTTATTCTTGCATCAGTTTTGTGGTGTGCTTGTTGGTTTTTTGCTTTGTTTTGTTTCTTGTTTCTTTTTATGCTTGTTATTAAAACAATTCCGCTCCAGTGTGTGCAAATCATGCCATAAGTGCTGATTTTTAGGTTACTACTGTGTTGTTGCTTTTTGGGGAGCAACGTGATAGCAGAGCCAGGGGAATGCTAGCAGCCCAGCTCCATGTTTCAGTTCTGTGACTTTCCCAACCAATATAAACTGCACGCTTGAGGTCTCATTGGTTGGCTGGTGTAGCTTAATGCTATAATACGGGAAATTAACCGCTTGTCGTTGTGAAAGCCACCCTGTGTCTGAGAGACCTGAGGACTCTGAAGAGTTTCTTACTTGTGGGCTCACTCTGGGTAGCATGAGTTTTATGGAAACAGTGTTTTCTGACGTCGAAACTTGTGGAAATGTTTTTTTTTCTGCAGCCATAAGGGGGGTAGGACTGTGCAGTTTGTCTCTTGGGAGCCTTTGGAGCACAATTGCTGTGTTGCCTGCTGCTGTTTCATCTCATAGGGATCACTGACACACCGAGCTCTTAGCAAATGGAACGGGCAGGTGAATTCAAAGGCATGCTTTTAAACCGTGTGTGTTGGAATCCATCCGAATTTTTGCTTCCTCTGTGGATGTTGCTGCTGGAATTAAAATCAGCAGAGGCGTTAGATCCTTTATTTTTTTAATATAAAATGGTGAAAGTGAGAAATTTACCGAAGTAACCTTTTACTGAGCTGGCTTCATTAATTCTCCGGGCTTCTGTGAAGCACCTCTTTCTTCTTTGCTCTCCTCTTAGAATCATACCCTGAGCTGGAAGGGACCCAGAAGGATCATCGAGTCCAACTCCTGGCACCACACAGGTCTTGCAGTCCTCCAAATTGCTATGGGGGAAAATGATTTGAGAATTAAGGAGAATCACAGCTGATGAGTTGTTTTTTTTTGTTGTTTTTTTTTTTTCCTTTTCCTTTAGGCGATCAAATATTCAGTAATTCTTCAGATTGTTTTGTGATCGTTTTGATCTGAAGACATAAAAAAGAGAGTAGTAGAAGCAGTGAGCAATATTGAATGACATTCTCGGGAACAAACATGAAGTGGGAATGCTGAAAACAAGCTGGCTTCGTGTTTGAATCATCTTCTTTGTAGGTGCATCGCAGCTATCTGCTGATTTGTTTTTTCACAAATGTTTCAGCGAAGTCTCTTGTTTGATAATACATTATCAAAAAAGAGAACTATCACCCATTTTACCATTTCCATGTGTGTTTTTGTAACGAGAGAAGAAAATCTCATCCCTGGAGTTGACGGTCTCAAGGAAGGATGAGGGGTGGGGGGCAATATGTCGGAATGCCAGCATCCTGGTGTTCACCCTCTCTCTGTTTTTACTGTTTGCAGGTTCTGTCATCCGTGATGGCGTCAGCTCTACCCAGAACCCTTGGGGAATTGCAGCTGTATCGAATACTACAAAAAGCAAATCTCTTATTCTACTTCGATGCCTTCATTCAGCAGGGTGGCGATGATGTCCAGCAGCTCTGTGAAGCAGGTGAAGAGGAGTTTTTGGAGATAATGGCTCTCGTAGGCATGGCTAGCAAGCCGCTTCACGTTCGAAGGCTGCAGAAAGCTTTGAGGGACTGGGTCACAAACCCTGGTCTTTTTAACCAGCCTCTCACTTCCTTACCGGTCAGCAGCATTCCAATATATAAACTGCCAGAAGGGTCTCCTGCGTGGCTGGGGATTTCCTGCAGTAGTTACGAGAGGAACAGCAGTACCCGAGAGCCTCACCTGAAGATCCCCAAATGTGCTGCCACAACTTGCGTGCAGAGCGTGGGGGCGAGCAAATCCGATGTGGTGGGGAGCTTATCGCTACAGAGCGGCAGTGAGCCCAGACTCTGGCAAGGACACCACACTACAGAGAGCGAGCATAGTCTTTCCCCGGCTGACCTTGGCTCTCCGGCTTCACCAAAGGAAAACAGTGAGACCTTGGATGCCGCTGCCGCTCTCTCAGTTGCTGAATGCGTAGAACGCATGGTTCCCTCCCTGCCCAAAAGTGACTTGAGTGAAGTCAAGGAGTTACTGAAAACAAATAAGAAACTGGCAAAGATGATTGGCCACATCTTTGAGATGAGTGACGAGGACCCTCACAAAGAGGAGGAGATCAGGAAGTACAGTGCAATATATGGCAGATTTGACTCGAAAAGAAAGGATGGCAAGCATCTTACCCTCCACGAGGTAAAGTCCTTTGAGCGACAGAGGGCTCCCTCTCCTGTTCCTATGCCTTTTTTGAGATGCTGCTTAGAGGGTACGCTTCTTGTACAGGCACTTTTCCCTGGGTGACAAGAGCTGCGTGTCTTACAAGAGCTGTAGCCAGCCCTGCCCAGGAGTGGAAATCCTGGGTGAAGTAGAAGCCTCCTTTCCTGGGGGCGCGTGTGTGCATGTATGCACTGATGACTTCAGCTTGGCGTCATCACACTGCTCGGTCTTTGTACAGTCCCTCAGACAGGGTCTGAAAGCTTTGGCACTGAAATAGCAAACCAGCATTGCACTGAGCATGTTCCTTGGGTTTCCAAGCGTACGGCACCTTTTGAAACCAGTCCTGTTGTTACATTCCCTTGCGCCTTGGAGGTTGTTTGGAAGTTTAATAGCTAAAATAGGTTGTGTCTGGTAACAGGGTTGCCTGGCTTGGCTACTGCACTGCTGTCCTCCCTGACCTCGAGACCCTTCTCTCTACCTTGGGTGAGGTGGAAAAGGGTCTGCTGGTGAGGTCCCTAACCCTGGTGACGTAGGGTTTTTGTGTGTGAATTGGTGTGCAGCTTTATTATACGACCTGCGGCACTATTTTTTTGGGGGACACAGTGGATTTAGGCCAGGCAAGTGAAGTTCAGGCAGTAAGAGTTGTGAGGAGGAAGGGGAAGGACTGTCACCGGTATTGAAGGGTGACTAATGTGCAGGTTTGCCCTTCAATACCTGCATACCAGCTGCTCCTTCCTGTCCTTAAAAGTCTGTGCAGGCCTCCTTTGCTTCTGGCCTGGCTTTCTCGAGGCTCACGCTGCATGTGTTGTAACACCATAGGTGTGTCTGTGTTGGGAATCGTTCCCTAGTGCCAAAGTACAGTGCAAGAGAACAAACACGAAGTCAAAGCAGTGCCAAAACACTGTTGATACGAGTGCTGCATCAGCATTTTCATGGTTAACAGTGATTGCAAAATTTCAGTTGGATTCAAAATTTGGCATGTAAAACCGAGCTCCCAAAAGGGAAGGCAGTGTTTATGTTACAGGAGTGCCAAAAAAGCTGTACTGGCTTTAGCCTTTTTTCACTTCAAAAAGAAGTTTTTTAGGTGTGTTAACAGTAGTGTAAAACTAAGTTCTCTTCATGCTTCTGAGTAAAAGGGTAGGAGGAAACAATGTTGGTTTTTTTTTTCATGTTTTTGCTTCTGTGTTTACACTCACAAGGCAACTGCATGTCACCAGTAGGGACTTCACAAGGACTTGAACAAGCTGGGGAGACACTTCCAAGGGAAGTTGTCGGCGGTGAGCTCGGTTTGTCACACACTTTTAGTCGTGCAGCTTTCATTTGCGTGCTTTGTGGCTCTGCGCGGCGACGTGCATCACCGATGAATTCACCCAGTGTGCAGGAACAAACGTAGCCTTTCTCCCCTGCCCTTGCAGCAGTGAGCCTCTCCTGCACGAGGACGTGTGGCTGCCGAGGTGGAGGCAGGGTTTGAAAGGCTCGATTGTGTAGGTGCCCTGCCTACGGTGCCGCAGCCGGGGCGGGAGAGAGGGATTCTCCTCAGGTGGGCATGGCGGCAGGCGAGGCCTACAGCGCGGTGTGTGTGGCTCCGCGCTGTTTCCATCTCCCTTGGGGATGGTGGCTGCAGAAATACCCTGTGGTTTGCTGGCCTGCAGCAGCACAAGACGAGCCGGGCCCTGGGGTGTCTCTGCAAAGCCGGAGGGGTGAGCACAGTGAGGCTTGGGGGAGCAAAATGCTGGGAGAAAGGAGGACAGCTCTGCTCTGTGACTTTGCTGTAGTGCTGCTCTGCAGATCGTTACTACATCACTGTAAAATTGTGTTTAAAAATGGAATGAGAGCATGGTTTGGCTTTGGGAAATATTTCTATCACTATTATGACTAAGGGCACAGGATCAAAGGAGTATGTGGTTGACTTATGCCTCACTTACGCATGTGGGGCCTCGCTGAACTTGATGGGAACTGCACACATGCAAACAAGAGGAATTTGCTCACAATTGGTTTGCTGTTGGCTTAAAGAGGCTGGTTTTCACAAAGTTTTGTCTTGAATGGTTTTCTCTCCATTTCCACTTTAAAGCAGAAAATACAGAAATACTACACAATCACTGAGACTTTTTTTTTGTTTAAAATTTGGTTAACCAGAGTTTATCTTTTGTGAAATCAATTTCGATGGATTTTTGTTTTCAATGGCTTAAACAATTTGCTGCTCAGGAGGGACCTTGAAGGACCAGGGAGGTAAGTTTCTGCTCGTCCAGATACTGCTTCTGCACATGTTAATACGTTCAATACATTCCAAGGCTGTCGCTCTGCCTCACGGTTCAAGGTCTCTTTGCAGCTGGCAATGAGCAGCTGAATAAACTTCTCTGTGGATTTAAGAAACATAAGTAGTAGATGGCTTCTTAAGGTAAAGATCAGGCCACCTCTGACTCCTCAGGCAGGGTGGAGTTGTGTGCAAACTTGCCTCAAACTTCATGCAAAATCAGTGGTGAATTATTGAGAATATTCTCTGTTAAGTGTGAACACTGCAGTGCCTCAAAGGGCTTGTGCAGCCATTACAGGCCAGTGAGAACTGGAGGTACTGAGCTGTTCTGAAAGTGCGTGCTATTGGCAGTAGTATCTGTGTAAGGCACTTTCCCAGACTAAATCTGATTTAAAAAAATATATATTTGAAACAAGGAGGTTCCAAAACTAATAAATGTGCAGTCCTTAATCCATCCCATTGTCTCGGTATTACACATTTTGAATCAGGGAGAGCAATTCATGTTTAAAGTCGGACTGGAGGAGGGATGAGCATGAGACGTGCCCTTGAACTCAGTGACTCTTGCGTGTTTGAGTCAGATTTGCAATTTGCGTATTAATATTTCAGTGCTGGTCTAGGTACCTGTAAAACTGAAAAAATCCTGTTTAATAGTTTGAGAAACAGGAGTCAGAAATTCAAATGATAAATTTTGTCTAACTTGTTGTCTTCCCTTTTCCCTTGTTGACTCACCAAAACAGCAGGACTTGATATTTAATTACGTGTTTCTAGTTAGGGGGGGAAATTTATGAACCCCGCCAGATGAGAATCTACCCATCCCTCTCTGTAGAGCCTGTACGGTTACGTACTGCTCTGCCATCAAGGCTCCCAGCATACAGAATCATTATTTTTAGGCATACAGCACTTTCTCACTGCAGCATTATGCCTCCTGAAAAGGCAGGAAGCCATGATGCACTTCAGTTCAGTAAGTCTGGATGTGACCTGAAAGAAGAAAGCAGGAAAAACAACAAACATTTGGCTTTTCTCCCGTGTTTAGGATAAACAGCATTTGTCTACGAGTACCCAGAGCATTTCAGCCCCTTCAGCTCTTTGCAACCCTTTAATGCTTTATTGAGGGATTAAAAAATACTTTGAATTATTTTGTAAACATTGGCAATGTTATTCGTCCTGGGCAAAGTAATACCTATCACTGACCTGAAATTATTGCCGGCTTTGATTGATAATCCTTTCCATAGGTGTTGTATTCATCTTTTATTTCTGTATTTTTTGTCTTCGTCTTTCTGAAAAGACAGCCATTACAGAACAACTGTTCCTCTCAAATGGGCAGTAGTTTATTTTAGCATTTTGTATTGTAGGAACGTAGCGACCTAGAGATGTTCGACAAGTTAAACCTTAACTTCCCACCCCGTACATCTGATCTCCGTGAGATATTTTTTGTCTGTCCAGAGACTAAAGGATCAGGCAGCATACCTAGCTTGCCTGTTAAGGACACGTTTGCAGCCTGCTTAGCGTTCAGGTATTGCAGGAAATGTCCTAATCAGATCAGATGCTTTTCCGCTAAAGGTGGTGAAAAAAAATGCGTAGGAAATATTAAGAACAGCAGTTTCTCGTGAGGTGCTACTGGGCGCAGGCTGCTGAGGGAACCGCAGCTCTCCTGAAACATATTCTTGCTTTTCAACCTCCCCAGAGAACAAGTGTTGTGTTACCCGAAATTTCTCAGTTGGGTGACGTCGAGAGCTCTAGTTTGAGGGCTGCCCACCTCATGGGACAGCTTCGACCTTTAGGGGATGGAGCGAGCAGTAGCTCAGGTGAGCTGCAGGCCTCAGAGCTGCTTCACGAGCACTGCCCCGCCGTGTGTTAGCAGGAGGGAGCTCCCCAGCCTCCTTGCCAGGAGGCAGTGTTATCTGCAGCCCTGCTGCCCTGTCCTCAGCTTCAGCTCCTCCTGCCCGCGTGAGGAGGCGGTCAGGATGGTGCTCTTGGTGGTCGTGGCGTTGGGGGCTGCCCGTCTTCAGCCACGGGCGGCCGCGCGCTGACCTGCCGCTGCTTCGTGCTCTGCCACATCGAGGGCTGGCGGTGGCACGGCTCAGTCGGCATGAATATGCTGACTGTGCTGGGGAAAACCTCGCTGCTTTTTAATATTCGCTAGCCTGAGACCGATACAGAGCGTTTTGGTGTGGCAGCAAAGCTCAGGCTGAGCTCGCTTGTGAGGAGCCAAGGCCGTGCGAAGCAGCCCGGTTCCCAAAAAGAAGGAAGGTTTGAGCGTGCTTTGGAGCAAGTACCTGCAGCCTGACGCTGACCTCTTGCTGCTCTTCAGCCGAGGAAGAAGTGAAAATGTCTCTTTAGCTCCTGTTTACTGTGGGAGGAGCAGGGAATCTCTTCTCCAGCATCTCGGTTTTGCTTTCTCTCGTTGCGTTCATTCTGTTGTTTGTCCTTAGCATTGATCATTTGCTGTTCAGACAGCAGTATTATAAAGCTGGTATAATTCAGGATGATATCACCACTTCCTATAGGCTTCTGAAGAGCATTGTGAAACCATTTTGAGCCTTAACTTCAGGCTTTTTTTTTTTTCCCCTCTTTTTGAAACTATTGCCAGCAGCAGAGACACTAGAAATGTGTCCCAGCAGGCTCGGGAAAACATCCTTGAAACAAGTTACATTTGATTCATGTCTGAAGATAGTCTTCACAAACATGAGGGTGAGAAACACAGCTAAAAAAAGTTTAATCGTTTCTTAAACCATCACCTTCTACAGAATTTATGCTGTATTCACCAGGGAAAGCCATCTGTACCCACACTGTCAGATTTTTTTTTTTTTCAAGTCCTGGGCATATTGCAGTTATAAAAATAGTATTCCCTGTAAACCAGGCTTTGGGAGCCAAACACTGTGAACGCTCAGAGCTACTGTTTTATACCGAGATTTAATTAATGCTGGGTTGAGGCGCAAGCAGGGCACGTTGAGAGTGTCTTACAATGACGTTTGACTTGAAAGGACTTTAAATGCACCAGCTACATTTATGTCTTTTCTCAGGGGCTTACCTGTGTTATTAAGGATATAAAAAAGTCAAAAAAACCCGTCGGGGTGTATTATACAGTGACAAGTAATTTTGCTTGGCATTGAAATCTTTGATTATTTCAGAAGGGTACTTCTCCAAATGAATGGGTGAAAACTCATGCATCTCTGTGTTTAATTTCCAGCTGACAGTTAATGAAGCAGCCGCTCAGCTGTGTGTGAAAGATAATGCCTTGTTGACCAGGAGAGATGAACTCTTCGCACTAGCTCGGCAAATCTCTCGAGAAGTTACATACAAGTATACTTACAGGACCACCAAGTAAGGTTTTAATTAACTCGAAGGACCTTTACTTAATCAATTTCACAGCATTTCTTTTGAAGCACAAGAGACGCTTTCTTCTTGCTCTCTAGCTAGCAAAGTGCTCTTCTGAGGAGGTTAGGAAAATGCTATTTAAGTCATGAAGCTTTCAAACTGCTAAGATTTAGCTGTCTTGAATTACCTTTTTAGTTGTTCTCCAGTTTTCCAGGTTTTTGCAACGATAGTACAGGTGGAGAGGCATCTGAGAGGCTAGTATTTCGAGTATTTCAGGCAATTGTAGGCTTAATGTAAATTGGCAGAATAGTCAAAGCTTCTAATGTATCGTTTTTTAATTATTTTTATTTTTTAATATATACTGATGGGGTTTGCTAGTTTCCAGAGAATGGATAAGGTCATGGGGGGCAGCTTACAAACCTGCTTAAAAGAACCGGAGCTGAGTCTTAATTTCAGTTGTTACTGTTCTGTTAAATGAACTGCTGTTATGAAAGAGTAGCGACGGCTTAATAGCATTAAGTACAATTAAAACTGAACTTATTGTCACATTTATTATTTTTAGATGCTTTCTGTATATTGCTTTCAAATTTTAACTGATGTTTCTTGCAGTGGCCTTTCAAAATGCGTGTTCATAACACTTCTGGGGGCTTTTTGTGGTTTTCTTCTGCTCTCAGTTCTTCCATACTGATTCTATGTAAATACACATCCATTCTGGGTAGTCAAAGGCGCTTCTATATTTCTGTGTGCTCCAGCAGATTTCCTTTCTGTTCGGAAGAAGAGTGCCTGAGTCTTTTGACACTTCTGAAAACAACACAAGGCACTTGTATTCTTCTCCTGTATACTTGAGTGACTTTTACTGCCAAGTCCAAGTGAATCGGAGGCTTTTTCTGAGCATCTCGTTTGTTCTTGCTCTTTTTTTTTTTTCTTGACCATTTCTCATGAGTATTTCTGGTGACCAGGGTTAATTTGCTGTTTACTGATAGCGTGTGCGTCTTGTCTTCTAGATCTAAATGCGGAGAACGGGACGAACTGTCACCAAAGAGAATCAAGATAGAGGTACGGTATTGAGACTCCTTTATTTTAACCTATCTGTGCTAAAACTGACTTGTGTTTTGAAGGGATCTGTCAAAGGAAGTTTGTCAGAAAAACATTTGACAGACAGTTGATGGGTGTGAGAGAGAGGGCGAGATCCATCGCCGGAGTCTCTGAAAATGTAAATGCTCGTTGGAGGAACCTGTAGGAGCAGGGGTAAAGAGTAGGATCTGCTGTATGGTGAAGTTGCTCTCAGTGTTGTGCGCTGTGCGTGTAGGAGGGGAAGGAATGGGACCGAGTGATTTCCTGCGGTGGAATAAACGCGAGCGCTATAGGAAATGTCTTCCCATAAGGCCTCGGTGTGAGGTGGGGTGTTGTGGTTTTTTTTTTTTTTTTAGGTTGTTTTTAAAGTTTCTTGGGTCAGCTTTTTATCTACTTTAGAATCCAAAGCTCTGGTTAAGGACTGATGGGGGAATATTAGCTAGCTCTGACTATGCTATGAATTCTAGAACTGACAACATTAAAGAGTCAAAAGCTAACAAAAAGCTGTATACATCAACACACATGGTTATGCCAGGAGTTATTAATTTACTGTTTTTTGTAATTACTTCTGTGCCAAAAGCACAACAAGCGTGTATATGTGGCTAATATATACACCTGCACAAGATTTTGCTTATGGAAATGGGTGTTCTGCTGGGAGCTTTGTGTTGAGAGTGCAGGGTCAGCATATATGCAGTCTACCTTTTTGTTGAGTTGCTGCTTCTGAAAAGTAAATAGGAGGGCTTTTTAAAAAGTCACTTATTTAAACAAACAAAACATCATAAATATGCATACCTATGTAACTCATGAAAGTAGCAGACCCTTTTATTTATTTTTTTAAACAAATTACTGTTTCGCTTTTAATTACTGTTTCACTTTCAGGTGGATGTCTAATTCATTTATAGCATTGTGGGGATTTTACTGTGCTGCCTGCTCCAAAAGGTGCAGATTAAATGTACGTTAGATGTGAGATGGTCCTAAGCTGGAATTGGTGTCACACAACTACGTGATATTCTTTAGCTGTAGAGGGGAGCTTGATCATATTCTGCAATGTGGATGTGTTTCTCATACGGAACTTGATCTCTGGTAAATGATGCACCAAATGCAAGCCTTTCATTTTTTCAGCAGTGCAGTGCTTTGTTACCTGTACAGGGGCTTTTTCCTGTGTGGCAAACCCCAGTGAGAGCAGTTGGTTTTGAAAAGGCAGTTATGAATAGCTGTATAGGCATGTTCATGTTTTCTTTGTGTTTTTTTTTTTTAAGTTCCACCAGGCTGCGTACAGTTGTAGTTTGAGTTTATACAATACTAAATATGTGTGTGCGTTGAGGGTTTACTCATAGCTTTGAAAATAATTCTGTAAGGCCATTTTCAGTCGTGTTGGGTTGTGCTTTGACCTATGCTTGTTCTTCAGTCCTTAGGAAAGATCAGGTAAAAGCTTTGTTCAATGATTTTTTCTGCCTTCACACCATTATCAGCCTTGCCCAATACATGACAGGTTGGTTCCTTGATTCTCCCTTCTTTTGTCCAGTCTAGTCTTAATTGGGAAGAGCTGGTGGGGAGCTGCTTCACACAGTGCTTCACAGACAATTAGCTTTCAGCAGCAGAAAGCCTGTCTTCATTCACTGATAATTGATGATGAGCAAGTATCTGAAATGACACACTGTAAGGGAGGGGCTTTTTTCCACGGGATCTTCATTGAAAGAAGGAATTGAAAGCCTGAAAAATATGGTCTGAAACTTATTTTTTTGGGGGAAGGAGAGGGGGCAGGCAGAAAGATTAGGACAACCGTAGGGGACATGCGTTCTCTTATTTTCTGAATGGTGAAATCTTAGCAGTCTGAAAGGCCTGCTTTCTCTAGACGCTGTTTTAGGTGAGTAATTTTGAGAATGAATGCTTAATTCTATCTAAAATTGCCAGTCATATTTTAAAAAGCTTATGAAAATTTAATTGTACGAATGACTATTTCAGGAATAAGACTGTCTCCAAAATAAGGAATTGTAAATGAAATTAGCTTTCATATGATAGCATAGTATTATTAACTGTGAAATGACTGCTGTCATCAACATAAATGCCTCTTTCCTCTTTCTTCTGAACTCCCAAAAGTAAATTGTTACTTTGCTGCATAACAATTCTGAGGTACACTGCAAATCAGTTTTCTTCAAAGAGAGAAAAGAAAAGTGAGGCAGTATTACTCAGTAGATGACTCTTATATCTGATGGTTTCTGTTCTTAAGGGTTGCGTTCTGGAAAAAAAAATACATATTTTTTTTGGTAGTAGCATGCCTGGGGTTTTTTTAATTTTTTTTAGGAAGGTGGAGGTAAATTGAAAATAGTAAGTGCTGCAGATTTTTCCTGTTCTGTCTAAGTACTCCTTATCCTGTTTTTAAAGTTGTAATGCTTCTCTGTGGCTGGATTAGCTTGCTGGCATGCTAATACCTTTATGCAGATCAGAACGCAGGTGACTTCTAACTAGCTCTGGCTTTTTGTTTTTCGTTTTCCTTTTCTTTTCCTTTTTTTTTTTTTTTGTGAAGGTTGTTTTGCATTTCTGTTCTAAGGCCAAACTCGGTATTTTGATGTGCCATTTCTTCGCCCATTAGTCATTAATGTCTCTTTACAGGGACATTAATATCTCTGTGGTCTAAAATACTAGCTTGGATTTGGAAAGATTTCATACACTGCTTGAACACTGTAAAAAGTTGTGCAGAAAAGATTAGTTAATTTCCTAAAATGTAATAACACTTCACAAACACACACAAAAAATCTCTGGAGAGACTCTGAAGGTCATATACTCGGGCAGAGCTGGCAGGGCTGTGTGTGCAAGCTTGAACATTGCTGGGTTACAGCCACCACTGTAAATTTATCCTCTTCACGAATATGAAACTCACACAAGCATTACAAAGAAACAATATGCCGTGAATTACATCAAATTACCTGTAAAAGCCTTTCTCTTCCCCTGTGTGCTCTCTCCCCCTCTTATTCGTAGAGTGGGTGGGCAAGCTGTGGGAGTGAAGTGTACAGAGGAGAAGGGGGAAAAAAAAAATCCAGGCAAATGAGAGACTAAAGGTGCCGAGGGAGTGAAACAAGGAGTGGAATGAATTGGGCTTTGGAACCAGATTGTTTGAAATAACAAAAAAAAAAAAAAAAAAAAGGTTGGGAGGGGTGCACTTCCTAAGTCTGCCCTGGACAAAGAGCAGAATAGGGATGGAAACAGCGTTTCCCCTTCGGAAGCAAGGATCTCTCTCTGCATGGGTGTTGTGGGGCAGGGACACCCCTTGTTTGGTCACCTTGAGTGGCACAGCAGCAGCACCTGCTCAGAGCAATGAGGTGATTAGGAATACGATATAGATATACAATGCTTGGCAGGGGTTGGGGGCACGGGCTGGAAGCCAGGAGCGGAGGCTGTGAGGAAACATCTTCCCCTGGTGGGAGGCACGGGTGGTGGGGGAGAGAGGAGAGGCCCACCCCCGCCGCTGCTGAGGCAGTGGAGAAGAAAATCAGCACGAGTGTGGGATTTCTGTGTCTTTTTCACCAAAACAGCAAAAGCAGTCGAGTCTACTGTTTGCATAGGAAAAATGTCATTAGAGGGAGCAAAAAAGCACATGTGGGACTGAGAACATCTGCTGTACGAAGCGGCTTGAAAAACAACTGAGCAGCAGCCGCCGAGGAAAGCAGCAAGCGCCACGTGCCAGGCGGAGAGGGGCGAGGAGCGGCGAGGCCAGGTCGGTGCAGAGCAGGTCATCGCCTGGCACGACCTGCTCCTCGTCATCCAGGCGCTGGGAACGAGATCAGCCAGCGATAGGGAGGGCAGATCGCCAAGGCGGGGAGCCAGAGCTGCGTCCTCATCAAAGGAGGAGGCGGAGGAGTGACGGGGACGGCCGTGGCAGCAGGCTCCGCGGCCTCCTTTTAGGAAGCAGCCTTTTGGTTTTGGACTGGCGTGTGATCACAGATGCCTTATAAAGAGCCGTGTTCCGATCTCCTGCAAAAATAGGATCCTGAGCGATAACGTTTTTGTGTGTTCGCTTTTTCATCTGCCTACACGCAGTCGTTTTTCCTCTCCCCAACAATTCCAGGCCTAACTCTGAAAATGGTCAGCGCTCATGGAAATGCGCTGCCAAGTCTTTGTTTGGAGAGGATGAGGTTTTGTGGCAATTTACCTGGTTATGAAATTTTACATACTTATCATGTTTGTTTTTCCCCAGGGAATACATTGGGTGGATAAAAGCCATACGCAGTGATTCAGACAGATTTAATTTTTTTTTTTTTCCTGAAGCAGGAAGAAATAACTTTATAGGCATTATGTGGTGCTGAGGGTCTCACCACCACTGTGCAGCCTGCCAGCTGCGCAGACCTTGCAGTCTTTCCCCTGTGATTTTTCTGAAAGATCAGATTTCTTGTTCTTGGATGGTAACCTATTTGGTTGGCTGTTGTCAAAAGTGCTTTCGCTTGCATGCGTGTGCCTCCAGAATCCAAAAGGAAAATCGACATCATTTGGCATGCTTTTGATACTTGGGTCTACAGATCCTCGGTTACAAATGCCACGTCTTTCAGGTTTGGGTCTATTTTAAGATCTCTAGCATCCTCTCCTGTTTTAACACAGTCACCTATATTCTGCTTCTGTAAATGTTTATGGATGTTCCTCTGTTTTACATGAGCTTTCCTTATAATGCCAAGCAAGATAAATTTCTCATCCTGAACCATCGCTCCGATGATTAATTTATTGTAATGGAGTCTGGCAGGATTTCACAAGAACTTTATTTGCTTTATTTGTACATATGCAAGCTGCAGAAGGGATTTGCATGTTATAACTGTTTGAAAGAACTCTTGAATCTTTATTTCCCATAGTATATGAGATCTTTGCTACTCTGCTTCTAAAACAGTATTTCGTTTTGTAAGACGAGGATAGTTTTTGTGTGGAGTATGTTGAATCTGGGGAGGCTTCACTCATTTTTTTTTGAGGTTAGTATATGCAGCTGATATGCCTTAGTCTTGACTACATATAAATTTGATTTCTTAATCTTGAAAGCAGCTAGATGTAAAAACGAAATGGACAGTACAAATATGTAAACTCCAGTCCAGAATTCTCACAGATATTCAGGAATGTTGCTTGTTTTGTTTTCTTCTTGGGTATAGAGAGAGACAGGGTGCAGAAAAAAAAAAACACAATAATATATTATTCTTCTTGGTGTTTGGTTTCTTATGCTCAATAGGATGGTTATCCTGACTTCCAGGACTCAGTCCAAACACTCTATCAGCCAGACAAAATGCCACTTGCTTTGGCTAAAGGAAAGAGTGAAGACTCAGCAGCTCTTAACTCCCAGGTAAACCAACTACACAACACCGTGAATAATACGGGCCATGTCTTTGTACATTGATTTTGATGCATTGCTTTGATGACTAAAGCAATTACCTTCAATTTTCAAAGGCTACCTAGCTTAGCTGTGATTGCATCACTTTTAATTTGGGTTTACCTCCTGAAACTGTTCTGACTCGGTGCTGCAGCTTTAACCTTGTTCGCTCCAAGGAGGTAAGATCTAGCATAGAAGGCTTGAAAATACACAATTCCTGTTGGAGCAACTGGAGTACTATTGGTACAGCTTGTGCTGTTTTATTTGGGTTATAAATGGAAAGTTCAAGTTGTTGAGCCTAGAGGAATAAATAGAGTAGGGGAACTCGGAGTCCTCAGTTCTGCCATTTCTTTTTAAGAGGCAACGGCACTATATTTAGGAAATAGTGAACCCCTGGATCAGAGAAGATAAATTGCCTTCGTAAAATAACATTCAGCCTGATAGAAGTACAATGTTTTTGAGTATCTGGAAGGCATTCAATAAACAGAGGCAGGTTTCCGATTCTTTCTTTGTCTTTTCTGTAGCATATCCTGGCCTTGAGGTATAATACACATCTCCTACTGCTTATTGTTTCTAAGGAGGCATTTCATGTTAAAATGCAACAAATTTATTTGGTATAACTGATTTGGGCAAATGTAATCACCAAACTTTCACATAAGGTTACATTTGGGAGCTAGGCTCCTGTTTTCTGAGACCAAGTACGTTACCCTGGCTTCCACGTTCTTCTGTTGCAACGCAGCGTACGGGCATGCAAATTCTGTTCCTGGTGCTGCATCAAAAATCAGCTATGCTACGTGTTCTGATGTCACATTATTGGTGAACAAACTTGGCTTTTAAAAGTCTATTTACATCTTTTATATGCTTTCATGTTTTCATTGGTTGGCGCTGCATAACTACTGCAGGTGCATTTGAGTTTAAAACAAACCTCTTTTCCACTGGTAAGTGGAATTTGTTTTAAGCTCAAATGTATCTGCAGCTCTCTGGGTTTTCCCCACCGTTGCAATTTAAAATACTTCCTGTTCTTTTTTATTCGAATTAAGCAACGAAGATTACAAGAGCGAGAACTTAAATGTTTCATTCCTTTAAAAATGGCTTAACCTTCAAAAGTAGCAACAGCACTGACAGAATAGCAAAACTATAGCACAATTGAGTGGAAACTATTTGAAAATAGGTTCTTTTTTTTTATCCTACCTCCCAAGACCAAGCTTGAGCTCTCAGTGTTCTTCTACAGAACCTGACGACCTCTAAGTCAGAGTAAGTAAATATTGGTCGTGTCGTTACCCTGCTGTTGGGGTCACCACCGTGCTGCAGACACCTGGTTTCTGCTGCTCTGTTACGCTGTCACTGTATTCAAGCGTTGAACTCTGCAGAGGAAGCAGACTTTCATGGGAAGTCAGGCTTTCATCATCTACCAGGAAAAGTTAAGTGCTCTTCAAAATGCCCTCGCTTCTTTTTAATAGGCATCTGTACTTGTTGAAACAATTACGGAATTACCTAGAAGAGAAATGAAATCCCTCCTATTGATCCAAGGTGTTAATTTTGTACTCTTTCTGTTCTTACGTTCATTGGGGCTCTTCTAAATCAACTTTTTTTTGGCTTGTAATTTTCTTTTTATTTATTTTTTTTTGCAAGATGCTTATTTACATTCTCAAGCACAAGATTATATTGAAAGTTAGAATTCTCCTGGCATTAAATTCAATGACAAACATTCAGACGCCATTTCCTCCCACGTTGCACTGCATTGTTTAATTTCACTCTCGAGAGGTGTATAGGTCTTGTTCTTCTTCTAGACAGACATTTCACACCTTTATCCCCCACAAACATACTGTCATCCTACACTTTCAGAATGGCAGATTTTTAAGCTTGTGTAGTGCTGTTTCTTAAAATAAAGATTCCAAGATGTCTAGTGAAATCTTGGCATAAGTTTTTAGCAGATGTTGCCATCACTCTTGGAATACTTTGTGAAGACGTGTATTTGAGCAGAGCGAAGCTGGATAATTAAGACATTATTTTTTGCTTTTCTTGAGATTCTCTTCACGTAACCCGCAGTCCTAAAGTGCAGAAAGTGTTTTTTTGATGTGTTTTCTAAGAACAGAATTTAGCATTACGTTTTTTTGTGTGTGGATGAACTACAGCAACTTGCATTTCAAGTATTCTTGAGTGACTCAGATATACAGTATGAAAATCTTTATGGGTGCAGAAATATTTTGTTTGCTTGGTAGTTTTTGAAGAAACTGTAAAGCACACATCTGTACATATGAGTCAACAAAAAATCTCTATCTAGGCTGTTAGTCTTATCATCTGATACTGCTTTTTTCCCTGTGTTTTGACTCACTATATATATGTATTTAAAGAGGTGGTTTTTTGTGTGTGTGTTTTTTATTTTATTTTATTGTTGTGCTTTATTTGCAGTCTGAAAAGGTAATGGCAAAACAGATGGAGCTTCTTTGCAGCCAGGCTGGATTAGAGAGACGTCTTTCCGCAGGATGTTACAGACAAAACTCAGAAGAGCACAGCCCCAATGGCATGTCATTAGATAACCTTGATGGACAAGGTATAGTAGCTTCCAGGCATGGTCTTGCTGCCAGCAGATGCATTTGATATTACGCAACCTTTGTCAGCGGTGCTATTTATCTAGTAGAGTATAGCAAAAACAGAACACCGAGCACTGAATGGACAAGACAAGATCTCTGCCCTCAAGTGCTTACAGTCTAAATAACGCAATCAGATGTGCAGTCATATTCTGCTGTGTTACTGGGCAGACTGCTTTCCCTACAGATAACGTAGGGAGGGAAGAAAGTGCAGGGTGCACTGCTGTTAGTGAGGGCAGGACTTGGCTCTAGGTCTCTCCTAAGTTTTGGAAACAGAGCAGAACGTTGCATGTCACTTGTGTTCTGGCTTTGTGGAGATTGAAGGTAAGGCTGATAATGTAGCTGGTGCTTCTTCTTGTTTACCTGTGCGTGCAGTCTAGGAACAACGCTTGAGGAGTTGGCTATGTAAATTACTCAGAAGCAAGCAGATTCTAATAATGTTCTTAGGAGCTTGCTGTTCTTCAGAAAGCTCGGTTTTGTGGTTATCTATTTGATTTACCAACTGCCTGTTCCCTAGCTTGCATTAATTTTAGGAATGTTCAGTTTGATTGCTTTCTGTTTGGATGTTGTGAAATGAGAGAAAATGTTAAACGTGGACAAGAAATGTTGCAAAGACTTTTTTTTTTAAGAGCTTGTTTTTTTTAAGGATGGAAAAGAAGCAGTACAAGGAAAAACTAAGGGAGCCAATACAAATAAGCATTAGAACATAGGTTTCCATCTGTGTGTATCGGTCAAGCAAAACAGCACTGAAATACCCAGAAAGAAATGGGTGTGTGGATCCAGCTCCTCAGATGGTGCAAATTTCTTTATACGTTGCGCAGTGGGAGAGGGATTTTTGGGCATCTCAATGGGCTTTTGGGGCAGAATGAGAGAGTTTTGTATGGATTGGTGCCCCTTTCTAGCAATGCCTGCAGAATAGTCTGTATAGCACCATGTTTATACAGCCATTATTTTGCTAGAAATGTTCCTAGGCAGCTGATATTTAAGATGAACTTTTGGTGATAGAATTGGTATTCACTTAAGTCTCTACTTGATTTTTAATATCACTTTTTTTTGTTCCATCCATGTTTCACTGTGAACCACTTACAGGTGAAAGACCGCTGAATCTCCGAATGTCAAATCTTCCCAGTAGACAGTTGCAGCACATTTCACTTGATGGAGAGCAGCATGTTGGAAAACCTCTGTGCAGCGAATTGATCCGGCTCTACCCCGGTGGTGAGGCAAAGTCCCAGTCCTCGGGTTAGTGCCGTCCCCTGTAAATGAATCAGCTTTTTAGAAAAGCTTTGAAGTACTTAATCCGGGCTGTCTCTGAGTGAGGAAGGTAGCTCTGTCTGGCATGTGTTGTGTGTAACGTTTTAACTAAGGCTTTGGACAAAAAAAACCTCAAGAGTGGTGTTACTTGTTAATCTAAAAACAGATTGAATATTATTTGGGATAAACTTGGAGGATACAGTTAACTAGATTAAGATAAGCAAGTCCTGGCATGTGTCTGTCCTCAGAGAGGTATTGACCCAAACTCCAGCTGTTATTACATTGCTGCTATTGCTTCAGCCTGTATAAAGGAATCACATTATAAGCATGCTTTAATAAAAAAGCATATGTATTTCCCTCTCACAACTGTGGGAAAAATAGCAAAATTCTGAGTTTGGAAGGTGCAATAGGGAAGAGGTTATTGAAAGATGAGAAGAGTCTCGCGTCTTCCCTTCTGGAGTATTGAAATCTGAGGTCAGCTTTTGTGCAGTTCGGCAGTCCCAGGAACCATTCACCAGGCAGAATTTCCCTTTCAAACTGCTAGTGAAGAGTGCATCTGCACTAAGCCCTGCTCCTGGGGAGAATTTAAGTAAATCTGTGGTGATTACTCTGTCATCACTGTAATGTAACCAAGGTTATAGCCCAACTGGGTTAAAGCCCACAAGGAGGAGGCAGGATTTATTTATTGCTTTGACTTTCAGTATCTGTAAAATTCATGGACTTTTTTTTTTTTTGAAGTAAGAATATGATATATGTGTTTTCAAGCAGTACTTTTAACTCTCTCTTTCTCTTACTCTCGCAGAAGGCCTTGGTATTCTAAAGGATTTTCCTCACTCGGCTTTTAACAACATAGAAAGGAAGGTCATAAAAACAGAACCTGAAGACACAAGATAGTCATCCTGCTCTGGAAACCAGAGTCATAATAAGGAATGAAACTTCAGAAGAGAAAAAAACAAAAAAAAAAAAAACAAAAAACAGCCTTAATAACCAGTGTTGCCTCATTCAAATAAGAGATTTCAATAGCCAAAGCCTAAGAACTGGTACAGTAATCTGTGGAAACAGAAAAGCAAGAGACACTGCAAACTAAAACAGTAATACAGGTGGATAAACATTCCTGTTAAAATGGTTTTATAACGTGGAAAGATTCACAAATTAATATTGTGGGTCTACATTATTTAAGAATGTATTATGTATTTGTATAACTTATCAAAGTAAATCTAGATGTCGGGACGTGTATAGAGTCCAGTAGATGTGGCTACAGTTCATTTTACTTGAAATTTCAATGTCTACTTTAAGTGTACCTAGCGTAGATATGGTTGTTAAACATTTGAATTAAAAATCCTTGGAGAAGTAGGAATGCGAACCTCGTGACACAATTAACAGCAAGTTTGCAACAATATTTGTAGAAAAAAAAAAAGGAAAATGCATAAAATATTTCATGGTTTAAAATGTTATGTGGATATAGCATTTAATAGACCTAGACCCGGATTCTGTATTATAGCGGACTTACTTGACACTTAACTATCGTTACATCACTTTTAATGGTTTCAGCAGCCTTCGTGTAACACACTTATAGTACAATACCTATCTACAGTTCAGGAATGTAGAAAATGCCAATTAGAGTATGGAAGGGTCCGTATGATTGGCTCCCAGTTGGTTGTGAACAACTGCGGTTTGCTATACTGTACAATTACTGAAGTCTCGGCTGGTAGGAAACCCAAGAGACAACGTAGCATGGACAGGGTTGCAAAAATTGTGATTCAGACCATTGTAACTTTTTGGACTTCTCTGTGGATCTTTAAAAAATAATAATAATACTAAAATGCATCCTAGGTGTGGCAAAACTGAAATATGATGCAGGATTTATGCATCAGTGTAAAAGGTTGCACCTGATATCCAGAAACCATAAGATCTTTTGGAGGAGAGAGACAAGGGGTAACGTCTTTATATGTGACTCCTTATTAAGTGCTGTCCAGCCCACATGATTCTATGAATATACCGTATACTGCATACAGTATGCCAATACGTTTCTTTATATATGTGTTTAATTAACATCTGTATTCTTTATTTATTTGACAGTTTTTATTTTTTGTACATTTTCACTTTTTCAGATGTCATTTTATCTACAGAAAAACAGTTGGCTTGTAACTTTGGGATTTACCATGCTGTGTTTGTGTGCATCCATTTTTCCTCCGTGCACCTCCCACAACAAGGGTTGCTTTCCTGCAGTCGAGTAGTTATATGCCTTAGTTTCTGAATACAGTTTTTGCCTACAGTGCTTTCTGGAGGGGCAAGGGAGGGCTGAAGAAAGTAAGTTACCATGCAGTGGGTAAAATTCCATGTTCAGGTGTGCACTTCATGTCTGCAGTTCGCTCTGTGTCATAGGTATGTGTTAATAATTCAGTCACGGTCTATGTCGTACTGAAGTGATCAGCAAAATGTGAGCTGAAATGTCTTCACTGCAGTCTCTTATCACTGTAAACATATCTAATTATTTTATCACTTCTGATTTGTGGAACAAAGCTTTATAGTAGAAACACCAGTAAACAACTTTTTATACTATTAAAATGTTTGTTTTTTTAAAAAAAATTGTTTCTTGAACTGTATGGTACTGTTTCACTCACCGAAGTATCTTACTTCAAGTGATGGAGTTTGCAGCTTTGCTGTTAGAAATAAGAGATTGAATGTGTAGTTATATTTCCTCTTTCCTGTTGTGTGAGCTAGTTAATATGGATAAGATATTTCTTCAGTTTGTAATGTTAGCTGGTGCACTGGTTAGTATCTGAGTAGTTTTCATGAGATGTGTCTGGAATTGTTAAAGGACAGCTGAAGGTTTGAACTGTACAGCTTGAGTAATAGAACGGATCGAGCAACAAGACTAGAGAGATGCAGGAAACGTGCTCCTTTTTCAACATCTCAGCAGTTGTGCATGGATCACAGAAGAAGCTCTTAAGCTTGCTGGTCTTTTCAGTTGAAGTGAGAGGAAGGAAAAAACTTGCTAAGCAGCACGCTGTTTCAGTCGAGTCCAGAATTTATTTTGTAAACACTAATGTATTAAATTTGCTATAAATTAAAGTATATAACGGTTATACTTCCGAGTTGTAAATACAGTACTTTGTGTCACAACCAGCTGGTTATCTCCAGAATGATATTTCAGTTCATAGTCCAACAGACCATTTCAGTCTCAGTTAGCTGGAAGCAATTCTTTTTTACTGGTTTGCAGCTCAATGATTTATTTTTTTTCACCCAGAGAGAGGAGGGGGGGAGGAGGGTTAATACATTCCAAGATTGCACATGAGTTTGGTAATAGCAAATATTCAAGTGTTGGTCTTTCCACGACAAAGGTCTTGGTGGACTGCAACTTCGGCTAGTCTCTGGTGAAGGTTCACCTTCATCACCTGCTCATGGAAGGGTTGCTAGATTCAGGGTGCTCTGGATCAAAGGCCAGCCCTGCAAACGATGCCTGTTCTTATTCACATGTTTATATTGTTGCTTACCAAATAAAAGTCACCGTGAGAACTCTGTAGTTTCCCCGGGGTTTTTTTTCTTCCTTTTATTTTTTTTTTTTTTCATTGTGTTTTCTAAAGGGAGGTAATTTTCTTGGGACAGGGGAGGAGGGAGCATCTTGAAGCGCAGCTCTCACTGGCAGAAGGCTTTTCCTGCTCTTGTGGTTGAATCCTTGATTATGGGTGGCCTTATTACATGCAGAGCCTGCAGGGCTTTAGAGGGCCAAGGCAAATAGGGAGGAAATGAAATCCAGAAAGGATCTGCAGCGATGGCAGACTCGCTTGATGCCACCTCCTGCACTGTAGCTGGTGTATAGGCAGCGTGTTTGTTGGAGAACAGTGACTGTATGGGAGATGGGGTACAAAAAGAGAAGAGAAACAGACTAGAGGTGAGATGAAGAATATCAAAGAATATCAAAGAGAAGGGTGGTGGTGGAGGGGGGAGGAATCCGAGTTGCTGGGGTGGCATAGAAGAAGTCAGGTGTGGTTCAAAGCAGGAAGGCAAATCCGCTCAGCCTGCTGGGTTCAGGGTAGGGCATGATCCTTCGTGCCTTCTCCCAGCCCAACCAGGAGGGAAATAAATGTGGGAAATCAAAACAAACAGTTTAATGTTGCTGTTTTTTTTTTTTTTTTTTTTTTTGTCTGCACTTGCAGTGTGATCTTGCCCTGTGCTGGAAAAGGAAGTAGGAGAAGGAAGGAGCTGGGCACGATTGTCTTAAATGTGCTAGGTTGGGTCACAATAAGCCGTGAGCTATTAGGTGATCTTCTGGACTGCACACAAAATCAGAAAATGTGAATTTTAATTATTTTTTTTCCATTGGTTCTGGGCAGATCAATGACCAAAGTTCAAAAAAAATAGGTCTGTTGCAGCTCTACAGGCTTGGGTCAGCCCTGCTGGATTCAGTGTCCCATGGAGGAGCTACGAAGATTAAAACGCCAACGTCTTTGGTTGGAGACTGTTTAACAGCTATTACAGGAGGGATAACAACATTTGGGATGTGTCTGTTTCTCATCCAACCAAAAAGCTCATTGTTTAATTGCTGAAGGTCTCGTCTTTTCCTAAATAAGCAATTTATAGGAGGGTCTGGAGGGAAAGCAGCCACTCGTGGCTTTGCCCATGGCAACGACCGCAGAATTCATTTTCTCCTTGGCGCACAGAAATGGTGTGTGCAAACCTCAGGTGGGGACGTGGCGAGGAAAGGCCTTCCAAGCCCTTGTGCTCCTGCCGTGGTTTGTGTTTGGGAGTGCTTTGGCTTCCACCCGACCCCTGCAGTCCGCTGCGGGCGAGCCCCTTCCCTGCGGCACGGGGCGAGGTTTCAGCTGCCAGGGCAGAGCCAGGAGGGACCCCTGCTGTGAATTCATGCGTGACCTTGTTGTTTGAGCTGCTGCTGCCTTACAGTAGGTAGTCAGGTCGGTTTAAATGCGTGTTGTGACGGTGATGAGTGTGCAGAGGAGTTGCTGCAACGCGGTGCTTGCTCTGAAATCACCTGTAAAGGTGGCAAATGATTTTCAAGATGCGAGGGGGAAGGCGTGGGTGCTGGATAGGGCAGCAGAACCCCAGGGCATCTGGCCTTAGGCAGGCTCGGCTGTGGTTTTGGGGTGCCAGCTGGCAGGAGGGCGTTTGGCTGCTCCCCCAGGCAGGTCTCGGCGGGGGCTTGGAGGTGTCGTGCTGGTTCCCGGCTGGGATGCAGCCAGGTCGCACCGTGGAGCTGACTGGGTGTCTCCTTAAGCAGGAAAATTGAGGAGAAATAACACAGGGCTCTTTTCTGCTTGTACAGAAGGGTTGAAAAGATGTTGTGCTGCAGTGATTCAGTGGGGAAAGGATAAATCCCTCACATACACCTACGCACCACCACGAGCAAGAACTCTGTGGGCAGAGAAGGAGCAGAACACGCAACATGAATTTCCTTGAGCTGATGGGGAGGGCCGGCTTTCCAGAGCCCGTCCTCTGGAGGCTCTGCTCTCGCCCTGCCTGGCCAAGCAGCTCGGGAGCAGATGGGTGATGGGGGACGCCCCAAGCAGCCCTGACACCAGGGGAAAGCCCCAGGATGGGGCTGCTCACCCTGCCCTGACTGCCTGCACCTGGAGCTTTCGCCCTGGTGAAGGGCGAGCCCTCCTCTTGCATGGTTTTAGGCTGTGGGTCCTATGCGGGGAGCCTCTGGTCCCCAAGCAGGTCATGGTGGAGGTGGCTCCTGCTGTGGAAAACCTTGTGGAAAAGCCCCCGCATGGACTGCTGCCAAGTCCTTGAGCCATCAGTGCCCCAAAGAGCTGCCTTCCCCCCCAAAAAAAAAACACCCCGATCTGTGATGCTAGCGGCTCCTTCTTTGGGTGAGCCCACCAAGCGCCTCGTCTGAAGAACGAGGCTGTCGTTCGAGATGCTACAAGGTCTGGTCGTCGCTTTGGCGTGCTCCAGGAAATCTTCCGAGGGCTTTTGCGGGGTGTTTGTCTGAGAAGCTCACCATCTGCCGCGGCAGCTCGTGCAGCAGGCGCCGCGCAGAGCTCGGTGCACATGTGGGTGCCCGCAGCAGCCCCTGCAGTGAGGGCAGCCGCTGCTGGTCGGGGTGGCTGCAATCCACGCTGCGAGAGCTCAGAGCTGATGGTGCCTGCTCTCTGAAATATTTGATGTTGCTGCTTAGTGAATTTGCATCCCGACCATGTCTTTAAAATGCATATGTATGCAGTTAATTTCTTAATGCCCTGGGGATTTCAGACAGCTTCGTTCTCAGAGCTATTTAGAAAATTATTTAATCACCTTGGAAAATCCAACGTAGCCAAAAATCTTATGTTTACTTATTATTCGGTTGTATATTGGCGGTGTGAAATATAGCAGCGCCGGGTTGTAAAACTGCACATAAGTCTCCGCTGAAATCCAGTGCCAACATAAGAAGAAAACCCATTTAACTCTTCACACACTGACACCAATGTGAATTATTATTTTTCATCGCACGAGCGGGCAGGAATTTCCGAGGTTTCTGCACAACCTCGCAACCCAGCAAATGCACGGTAAATCATCGGTGACACACCGAGTTAGGATGCGATCATATTTACGCATTTTGAAACCCTGTAATGACTCATCTCTGTGCCATTAGGAGCTCGCACTCGGTAAATTGGTGTTTGACTGCTTAAACGGGGCCGCGTTAAACGCCCACGGGATCCTGGGCGAGATAGCCCTTCCTGCTGCTGCTGCACACAAACGTTCGTGTTTCACACAGCGCTTTTAAAATAACTCCCCCCGGTGCTTTGTGAGACCCCGCACGCCGACTGCAGCTCCAGCCGGCAGCCACAGCACCGCTCCCGCTCACTCAGGAGCTTTTACTTCTCCACGATGCATAAACCTGTCTGAGCAGAAGCCCTCTCCTTTCTCCCTTCCCTGGCTCAGGTCCAGTCCTTGCGGTGTGCGCCCGGTTATTACTTCAGCACCCAACGTGCTTTCCTTCACATTCACATCTTCTGCACGTACCGGCCCACTCACGTATTAGAGCCACACTGTCATTTTTTTCCTTCTTTCGCCTTTTGCTCGGTGAAGTGGTGATCTCGGGTATAACAGCAGGTGATTTAAGCACCAGATAGGGAAGATTTTATGTTAGGGCTTGAAATCAGACTTCAATCATGTCTCCATTCAAACAACTTGAGGGGTGATCCCTCCACAAGGTTGCACCCGCCTTGCTGGTTTTACTGGGAGCATTTTGGTTGCCCTCTCTGAGCTCTGTAGGTATTTCAGCCCTGCATTTATTTGTTGCAGCGATTTCCATGCATCTGGTGGAATTCAACGAGGTTTGACGTGACCTCCACGGCAGAGATGCTGTTGCAGCGCCAGAGCCTGCGGAACAGGTGGCGAGCCTGCGCTGAGTGCAGGGAGGGGAAAAAAAAAAACCTGCAAACCAAAGTGAAAGGCTTTTAATTAAAACAGGAAGATTAGATCAACAAAGGTATTACAACAGGTGGTTAAACCCTATGGCTTTGTTCTCCGGTTCTGATGCATGTGGAGAAACTTTCCAGGGGGCAAAGGAGGAGCCCTGAATGCGTGGCGGGGAAAGCAGGCCGGCGTGTGGGAGTCCGTGTGGCACAACCGGCACTTGCTATCCACGGGCAGAGAGCACAGATGTTCAAAGGCCATTTGCAGGCCCTCCTTGGTGGTGTCAGAGGTCCCCATGGCCGTGGCACAGAGGGAGGGAGGGAGGCCGCTTTGTTTTGCTGCTTGCTGCGGCTGGGCGAGGGGCTGGGGGTGCTCCTGGGCAGCTGGGGGCTGCCTTTCTCACCAAACTCTCCCTTGAATATGGGCACGGCCACCCACCCCTCGGTGCTTTCATCCCCATTTCTCAAAGTGCTGTAAAATCCGCTCCTTGTTCGCCCTCCTGGCGGAGCTGGTGTGGGTAAGCAGGCAGGCCCTGAAGGAGCAAGGCTTCTCCCAAGTGCAGCCCCTCCGTGCTCGGCACCTGTGCCCCCTTTCCCACCCCATGAGGAGGCTGCTCCCGCCCGACCCGGGGCAGCCTCCCGGGGGAGGACAGATGGTCCCCGGCGAACGCGTGGGACTGGGAACCGGGCGCTCCGCATCCTTTTCCCGGCTCCATCGGGAAGTGCTATGCGGCACCACCTACTTCTTTGCCCACGTTCCCTCCTCCTCCTTCCCTCTCGCTCGCCGCTTTTTCCAGACCTTTCCCCTCGCTGTTCGAGCGCTTTTCCTCACCAGCGCTTCTCGCAGCAGTGGGAGCCTCCCGTCACGCTGTCACCAGCACCGGGTTTCTCTCCCCTTGCCCTGCTGCACCCAGCGGGTTTTCTGCCAAGCAAAGCCCTCAGTGCTAGGGTGCTGCTTTTCCTGCCTTCAATCTCTGTGTCCTCAGGTTTTGGTTTTGCTGCAGCCACCTGCGGCTTCAGGGTGGCGCCTTCCCTTTCCTTCCCCAGCTGGGAGGCGCAGTTCAGAGGACTGAGCCCTGTCCTCGAGGCCCTGCTGGGCTGGCTGCCCCCCATGCCCACACGGTGGTCAAACCACCATGGTCTTCTCCATGTCCTGAGGGGCTGGCAGCTCACGAAGCCAGGGAGCTGTGCGGGAGGACACCTCACGGCGTTACCTCAGGGCCCCGCTCCCCTGGCACCGCCATTAGCGCCAGGTGAGGGGAAGACCGTGAGCTGTGGCGGTCCCGGCTGCACCAGTGAGCAATTTGAAGGGGAGGATTCAAATTTGGTGTTTCTAAGGCGGAGAGGCCACCTAAATTTACCAGAAATGAGATTTGGTTCAGCCCAGGTGTCACCTGGTGAGGCCACCACCTCTGACAGGGCCGCCACATGAGGGCGGGGATGAGGGAGCAGGACGGTCCCGCAGGGTACAGGGCTGTGGGTCGGGCCCTGAGCTGAGCACACAGCTGCAGGCTTGGGTTTTCCAGGAGTGCCCCGAGGGTGGGACGGGCGCTGTGGGGCTGGGTGCTGCCTCCAGGAGGCTTGTGAGATCCCAGCATGGCTAAAGGTGAGGCTGGAGAGGGACACAGCGGCTTTTATAACCCCTAACACGCCATGCATGTAACTGAGGCGCCTGGAGCATTCCCACCACCATCAGCAGGATTTTTATCTGGCTGCAGGAGAGGGAGCTGGGCAAGGCCCTTGTCTTACCAAATAATCCTGCAAGAGGGGAGGATGCAAGAATTAATTAAATTAAGTCTTATTTAATACTTGGCTTAGAGTTAGCACGATAATAAAAGAGGAGAAAATGTTTCCTTGTTGTAACACGGTACAGCGTTAATTAAAAAAAAAGCCTGACATGGTTGTGATGCCAAGCTCCACGCATATCCAGCTGCTGTGCTCTACGTCTCCCAGAGGGCTGAGGCCGTCCTTTAACACAGGACTAACTCCGTGAGTGAAAGCAGCAGCGAGGGCTGAGGGGGGTCAAACGTGAGAGGAGGCACAGCTGCTCTGTGGTAGGGGGCAGGAGAAAAGAAAACACAACCCCGTGCTCCTTCAGGCCTCCTCCTGCAAGAAGTGGTGCTGCACCCACAGGGCTTTGTGTCAGAAATGTCAGGAAAAATCTTAGGTTATATCTGTCTTCAGACCGCCTTGATAAAATTGAAACATGCCTTTAAAATATTCTGGTTTCATTAAATATGCTTTTTTTTTTCTTTCTTTTTTTTTTTTTTTTTTTTTTCCCATGGAGAGCTGCTGGCTCGGAAAGAATTCAGGAAATTCTTGTGATAACAATTCCAAAACAAATTAGGCTTCACCAGCAGTCATTTGAAGATGACATTTTGGGAAATGAGTAAGAGACAGAGGTATAAAGCTCACCAAATTTCAGGATTCTTCTGAAATTTCACATAGGAAAATAAGTTACACAAGCTGAACTGGAGCAAAGCCAAATATTTTCAGTTTCTATAAGCTGGAGTTTTGGAAAATAAAAAACAACTCTACTTTTTAGGATTTTTGAGGAAGAATTTGGGTATTTCTTTAACATATTTGAGGATTTCTTTAACACATAGGGATGTTTTGCCACTGCGGTACTTCACATCATACCTGTGGAGGCAGCGTGCCATGTGCCTTGTAACTACCAACACATCGTGACATGACATAGGGGTTTAAACTATTTTTTTTTTATTATTTTTTTTAAATTAAGTGCAGTTTGTGCTTGATACTGATTAAACGGCCTTCCCTTTGTGTCTAGATCAAAGTGTCTCTTGTTTGTGTTGTAAGGAAAAGGTCTGACAGCTTTGTCGGGCACCAACAGGAGACACTTTGATCTAGACACAAAAGGAAGATGTCTCAAATGGTTCCAGATAACAGCCGCTCTTTGTGATTGTAATGGAAAATAAAGTGAGAATATTTCAACTATTATTCCTGTCATAATATGACATGATACAATAACTACTGCTGACATGTCGTTTAATAGGTAAAAATAGCGTTGTAAGAAGGAAACTCCGTCTAATAAGAATAACTTTTTTTTTTTTTTAATGGAAAACCCTTAATTTGTGAAGCGGAAGTTCTCATCAACACACGCGTTTGCCCTGAAGGCTGAATCCTGTTGCGTGCACCTTTGGGATGAAAAATGCAAAGTTTGGCCAACGCCTTGGAGAGGGGGCTCTGGCTGGCTGGGAGTGCGGCCGCGCTGCTCTCACCTCCGTGCGGTGGGGACAGCGCGGGGACTTTGTCACCGCTGGGCCTCAGAGGAAGCTGCTGGTGATCACGGAGGGTCACGAAGCCTCCCCGCTGCTGTCACGCTCCAGGACCGAAGCCCAGCAGCGGCTGGGGGAGCACGAGCCCCGTCCCCAGCAGCCCAGAGCTTGGCTGAGACCTCCAGCGCTGCGGCAGGCTGTCAGGCCAGCCCCAGCCCCAGCCCCAGCCCCAGGTGCTCTGGCGAGGAGCAGCACACAAAAGTTTAATTGTTCCGAGTATGCAAATTGTCTCCTCAAACAGGCGTTTGGCAACCCTGGCGGTGTTCTGCACGCCGGGGGGTGTAGCCAGGAACTAAAATAAGTCCGTCTGTAGGAGGAACGGGAGGTGGGAGATCTTTTTATATTACTCCCCTTGCTATATTAAGAGCCACCGTTCCTTTCCTGGCTTGAGAAACAGCTCTTCCTGCTCTTCCCCGGCTTGCAGCAGTCTCCCCTGGTTAAACCACTCAGAAACTGGGATTTGGAGACTGAATTCGGGGCCCTCCTGCCTGGAAAGCTCCCGAGAGGCGAGGACTTCACTCACGGTACGAGAGACCTCTGGCAAGGAGGAAAGGTGCTGCTGTACGGGAGGACAACCCCCAGCCTGCTGTGATGTGCTCCTGGCCGAGCAGGAGGGGAACGTGGACAAGGTGACGACCACCCGGTGGTTGTGGGAGCCAAGGAGGAGACGTGAGAGCAAGGGCTGCTTTCCCCTGCAGAGGAGGGGTCCTGCGGGACCAAGGGGAACGAGAACAAAACCTCAACAGCTCCCCACCAGAGGGACCACGTTTACCATCTGCTTCACATAGGAACAGGCTGTCTGGGACAGGCCCAGTCCTGGGGGGTGACTGGCTCTGTATTTTTCACCGTGTGCGTTTCTAAAGTCATCAAGTAATCCCTTTGTTAGACGTTACATGTATAAATGCCGCTATTAAATGCTCTATTTTATTCCTCTGTCCTCTTCCACTTGCTCATATTTTTAAGCTCTAATTTAGAGTGGGGTCCTGATGCTGGTTGGATCCACAATTTGCTAACATGATATAAATATTGAGTAAATCCAAGATATCTTCCTCCAAAGAAGAAAGAGAAGGCACAAAGCCCTTTTGCCATGCAGATCATCTTTGAGTCCCACCTGCCATATTCCCACCACCTTTTTCTTGCTTGCAAATGGAGCCAAATACATTTTTAAAATTATTTTTTAATTTATTTTTCCCTATTTGGCTTGAAAACAAGGTGCACCTGTGAGAGGGACAGCAGCTGCTGCCCATTCCCTGGGGTTGATGAGACTTGCCCTGGGCAGGGCAGGTTGCTCATAGGAGCTTGTCTCTCCTTGGGCTCTAACTTCGGGTAATTTGGTAATTTATTTTTTTTTCCTCTGAAAAGAGGGCAAAACATATTTAAGCGGTTGCTGCAATCATCTCTCTTTTCTTTGCTCTTCAGGGAGAACTTTCCTTGGGAAGGATGGAGGAGGAGGATGAACGATGAAGGTATGGTGGTTTCACTGTGCTGGGCCGCTAAACACCACAACCACTCTCTCACTCCCCGTCCTTAGGTGAGGAGGGGAAGAAGTAAAACAAAGAACAACTCAAAGGTTGAGATAAGGATAATTTAATTAAAGGAAAATATTAATAATAACTAAAGAAAGATTATTATGAACTAAACAATTTAACTAAAAGGGGAAAAAAAAGGGAAAGGGGAAAAGGGAGGAGGAAAGGAAAAAAAAAAAGGAGGAAAACAAACAAATAAAACAAATGAAGGCTGTGTGGAAGTGCAGAGGAAAGAAATTCCTCTCTACTTCCCACAAATGAGCGATGATTGACCGCGTCCTTGCAGCAGGGCCTCAATGCATGTAGCCAGTGTTCGGGAGGAGGACCTGACATTTTCACAGTGAGAGCCTACCCCTCCCCTCTTCGTCCTGTTTCCACCTTTTCTTGCTGAGTGTGACACCACATGGTACGGAACATCCCTTTGGTTGGGTTAGGTCAGCTGCCCTGGGGATGTTTCTCTTCTCACTTTTTGCCCACCCCCTAGGAGGGTCGAACAGAGTCCCGATGCTGTGCCAGCACTGCTCAGCAGCAGACACAACACTGGGGTGATCCCACTGCTGTTCCAGCTCCAAGTGCAGAGCACAGCACTGTGTGGGCTGCTGCAGGGAGGGTTAACATCCCAGCCAGACCCCGTACAGAAGGAGCAATTGGCCTCTGTGCAGAGAGGCACCCAAAAATAAGGCTTGTAGAGTAAAACAACAACAAAACCAAACCATTGTGGGCACATCCAGGCTTGGGCTGTGCTGTGCTGGGTCTCACTTCCCATCTACAGGAGGTGCTAGTGGCATTATTGCTGTTAGAGAGCTGGGATAGCATCCCATAAAATGTACCCTGCCACTGAGGTGTGACATAAAGGGCTGGCCCTCGTGTGTAGCTATGCATGGATAATTTATTTAGGTGTTTTGATTTCACATCTTTAATCAGGCTTATTATAATCAGGCTCACCAGCCAGTGGTGGTGCAATCAGTATATACGTGCTGATGCAGAGGCCAATTAGCGGCTGGATGCAGCAAGACTGATGCACCCAAGTGGTGGCCACCAGAAAGCTTTTAGTCTGGCAGCAAAATTTGGATGTTGGTTGCTAATTGGCCATGCGGGAAGGGGGTGAGCTGGATTTACACCCAAGGAGCAAGGGAAAGCATTGGAGTTATTCCAAAACTTGGAATGACCCTGGTGGCCACTTTGTGTAACCCAGCCGGCTGCTTTTTTAATTTATTTTTTGAATTATTTTTGAAACGTAAATCTTAAGTGAGTTGTCTGCAGTGATGCAACATCCATCCTGCAAACGTGCAAGCCCTCTGCACTCGGTGCTTCCCACCACCAAGCCCAAAGCTGCGAGGAATGGCACATCTAACAGGGCTTTCCATCGGCGCTAACCCAGCTGTGTAAATCTGCTCAGGTAAATCTGCAACCCCAGGGCACGAAGGGATGAAGCTTTGGGGTCTAGCAGACCAAATCTTTCGGGTTTAGCAGACCTAAAACTCTGCCAGGTGTTAGGTGTGATGTCTGCAAGGTGAGGAGGAGGAGGACACCTTGCTCCTGAAGGTGGAGAAGGCTGAAGCGCCTCCAGGCGAGGGAAGGGGTTTTGGAGCATCCCTGTGCCCATACATCTGAGAACAACGCTATCCCCCTGGTATTATTTTTAGAGCACAAGCATTTCTCATGTTAAGTAGGAAATGATGACTCTCTTTTTGGGTAGCTCACTGCTGGAAGACGCTCCCGGGAACTCTCTGCTCCTGCACACCCGTGCATGGCACCAGGGTCCGCTCTCTGCGCGAGCCAAATTCATACAAAAAAAAATAAAAAAAAAAATACAAAACCACCACCCGTGCGGGCTCCGGTCGGCGGGGCTGAGATCAGAGATGGCTCCGATGACTCACAGGAATCTATGGAAATAGATCAAAGTAGCAGCACGCGTTTGAAGGGAGCGTTCGGCGGGGAGCAGGGTTTTTTTGACAACCGCTCCGAGCATGAGTCAGAGCGTGGGCTGGCGTGGGCGGCCGCATCTGTGGGTGTCGGACTGAGACAGACGCGGAGAGATGGCTGCAATTAAGTAGTTAGCGAAATGGCTGTGATAGTAGGGTGGATTTAAAGGCGCAGGCTGTGAGGCAGCTCCCTCCCGGCCTGCCTCGGTGGAGGTTTCCACGTTGGGTGCTCGTCGCCCTTCTGGGGCTGGAGGCATCTGGGTCCGCTTCTGGCTGGAGAGCAGCCACCAGGCAGTGGGGACAGGGGGACAGGGGCACGGGGAGGGGTGGGAAGGCAGCAGGCAGGGTGAGAAGGACAGATCTGCATGGAGTGGAAATAGCTGCACAACACCCACGTGCTCTGCTGGGACTAGGATCATGCCCAGAGCGCGCAGAAAAGCCAAATCTTTGTGGTTTGGTTTTCTTTTTTATTATTTTTTTTCAAATTTTTTTTCCACATTTATTTATTTGTTTTGGGCCTGGCCTGGCTCACCTGTGTGTGCCTTGTTCCTGAGCAGTGTCCCAGGGTGGCCTCAAGCCCCTGCAGGGATGGTTGTGATGGCTTGTCTGCCCTTGTGCTTTCTCTTGTGTGGCACCTGGCGAGTAGCTTTCATTAAGGAAAAAAATAAAAATCGTTGTTCTTTGAACATTTTTTTCATGATTGCTGAGCATTGGATGATTCATTTTTTTAATTTATAAAAGGGGTGAGCAGCCCAGACAAGGGAATCAGCCCTCCTCGCTTGAATTCTGGTGGAAACCACCCGTGTCTATCAGCAGTGGTATTTTAATGAAGACCTCCTGCGGATTTTTTTTATTTATTTTTTGATGATGTCTCTTGGTAAATAGCTGTCCTTCCCCCCTGCCCTCCCTTGGCTGGCCCTGCGAAGGGACACGTGGTGTGGGGATTTCCTTCTCTGAGCAGATGGCTGCTCCGTGGAAAGGAGGATTTATAATTTATTGATATATATATATATATATTTATTTTTTTGAGAGGGTTCAGTACAGGCCATAGGGACCTGCTCCTTGATGCGATTGCTACACAGAGCACACTTCAGCGGGGAGAAAGGGTGTTATTTTGAAAATCTTTTATTTTTTTTTTTTAATTGAAGTAGTAGATGTGTAAAATTAATGTATTTTTAAAAGTGTCAGTGTAAGCGCTGCTAAATGCGGCCGCTGTAGCACTCGCTGCCCACGCAGCTGCAGCAGATTTCCCGGCGCCGTCCTCGCTGCCGCCTTGCAGCCCCCAAAAGGCTCACCCCAGTGGGGGTGCCCCCGTGGCTGGGTGCTGGACATCACGCCTGGTGGCGAGGTGCTCTGTGCCCGCTGCAGCTCCTGGGACGTTGCTGCAGGTCGTTTCAGGGAACAGACATCACTGGGGACAGCCCAGGTTTACTTCGTGCACGGCATCTTTATTTTCTCCTTGAATTTTCAGCGAGCTGTTGAAATCTTGTTGTCTTGATGTGGAGTTAGAAACCACAGCCGGGGAGGTGGAAGCTTTGCCAGAGCATTTTGTTCAAGTAAAAAATTCTTCTCTATTTTTATTTATTTTTCATTTTTTAAATTGAAAGTCTCTCCTCTTGCTCAAAGCCGTTCGATGGAAAAACCACTAGCCACCGTTTCTTCCAGATGAATCATCTCTATTTGAAGGTGTTTCGGGTCAGCATAGTCTGACGGAGCCTGTGCTCGAGTAAATGGACCTGAGGGTGCTCGAAGCTCTGCGAGGGGATGTCAAACAGCAGCACTCCCACGCTCTCCTGGGGCTGTTGAAAAATCAATTTCTGTGAAGCATCCATCCCGTCCCGCTGCTTGTTCCCCTCCTGGAACAAAAACAAAATGAGATGGCTGTGGGGACTCTGGAGAGAGCACCAGCTTTTCTGGTGGCAAAGGTAGAAGGAAAAGAGAGATAACGTGGCATAATTCAGGAAGGCTCCTCTCTTGGTGAACCCTAGTAATCAGTGGCTGTATTAATGGGGTTATTGTTGTCTTGATTTGCTTTACTTCTAGTCACGGGACTCTAGGTCCAGCAGCTGCTTTTGTGTGGTCGTCAGGACCTCGTACGTACTCTGGCCAGCTTGGAGATGGGGACAGCTCTGTGTTGGGTGCCCCTGGGTGCTCTGTGCCCCAGTGAGGGTGGGCAGATGCAATGTCACCTGAGAGGAGACCTTATTTCCGTGTGACATCTGCTGGTAGAAAGGTGGCACGGCTGCCCTTTAGCAGCAGGACATCAGCCTCGTGGGGTTTTGTTCCTGAGGGGTGAACGCAGCCTTGTAAATCGCCTGTGTCAGGCTTCTTGGGGTTGGGAGCCAGTATGCTCGCTGCTGCGGCTCGTTCTGGCAGGCTGGAGAGTATTTGTCCAAGAGGCTTCTCTCTCTGGTTAGTAGGGTTTGCTGGCTCTGCAGAAGAGCTTTCTTAAAAGAAAAAGAAAGGAGGAAAAAAAAAAAAAAAAGGAAGAAAACCCACAAACTGATCTTCGTATTATTTCAGTGGCAACAGGAATTGTGGATGTGAACCAATGCGACACAGCCTAACGCCGTCTCTTCAAAGAAAGACGACCATGTTTTTGCACGGGTACAGAGCTCTCACACCACCACACTTTTATTTTATACATCATCATTTTATACGTTATCATTTTATTAGGAACACTTGATCTGCGTTGTGCAGCCTCTGTCCTTTGCAGTACCGAACCTGATGTCTCTCTTATGGGGACGGGGGTGGCTAAACAGAAAATCCCTCCTGCAGCTCCTGCAAATCCACCCCAGCTTGTTCTTAAACCCAGTGCTGCCCTGAGAGCATCGCACATCTCAAGCACGGCCCTCGGTGTTGTGAATGCTGCTGTATGGCGAGGCTGTGTTCTTTTGCTGGCTGTTTAAGAGGAGTGTCGTTCAACAAACAGCAGTTGCATGCATTCACGTCAAGCTAAATCATTCCTTCAAAAGGTTCGCTTGTCAGGTAGTCATTAAAGCGGGTTTCACATCAAAATGATAGTCACTAATACGGTGAAAACATCTCTTACAGCTCTCGGGATTCTTCTGGTGCTTTGTGGGAATGACAGGCCTCCAGCGGTACGGAGACGGCTTTGTGGACCTGCATCTTTGTGTCCCTGCCCGAAGACAAGGAAGAGAGCACGCGCGGGAGGAAGAAGGGCATCGCTGAAGGGTTTTTACGTAAATAGGGCGTGAGGGACTGTGCCTGCAGATTTAGTGCAGTGCTCGGGCTCGCTGCAAGGCGGGCAGGCGCCTAAATACGGATTGAGGCGTCTCGCTTCAGCCTAGCTATTTTTGCAAATCCTGGCCCCGGCTTGCGAATTGATGGCACTTCGGTTTCGAGGAGCAGATGGCACCCGCTAGTGATCTGGGACAGCTTTTTTGCATCCGTGTCAGAAATAGACAAAATGCCAGCTGTGTCCCTGCTGGGTCAGCGGAGGTGAGGGCACGGTGATGTGCACAGCCTTGCAGCAGAGGCAGGGAAAAACCAGGAGCTCCTTTTAGCGGTGCCGAGTGCTTTTCAATGACTTCAAATGCTCTTCTTGCTCGTCTTTTGGAGCACATCACTTGCCTGTGCAGTAAAATAAATTGCCTGATGTTATTCCGCTTAGGCTTAGACCTTAATTGGTGCAATTCAGTGCTTGCATCCGGAGCCCGGGGAGAGGTGGGAGGCTGTGGCGGCGATGCACGGGCACAGCGTGGCCGTGCCAACGGGAGCCGTGGCTAAAATTAGTGGCGCTAAGCAGGGACCGGAGGGCAGGAGCTGCGCTGCCCTCGCTTGCCTCCATAATTCAAGTGTTATGGGATGGGTGGGAAGCTGGCCAAGCTGCTGAGCCATCGGGCAGGAGAGGAGTTTGGTGGTGGCACTTTGGGGCTGCTGGAAAAATGGGGCTGGTGCCCGCTTGTTGGCTTGCTGCTCCCAGCGCTGGCGTTTGGCTGTGCTCTCACCCTGCAGAGGTGACAGCAGATGACCCTCGTTCCTGAGCTTAACCGGCTGCCCAGCCTCCTCGGTGGGTGAAGAAAGCCGAGATGCACCAAGCATGGAGCTGGCATCGCTTCGGCTGAAAACCGGGCTGCGGGCGGGCGAGGAAGCTGATCCGCAGGCACACCCTGCTGGCTTGCAATGAGAGTGCAAAAGGAAACGCAGGCATTTCACAGCCTTCCTAAAATCTTTGCTAACTTTTTCCATGCTACCTCGCTCTTCGTTTTCGTTCCTGAAAGCACGCGTGGTGATGCGTGAGCCGGTAAGTCTTCCTAAGTGGGAGGACTTCTGCAGCAGGTCCCAATGTGTTTGGAGACCTCTCTACCAGATTCGAGTGACTTCAGGGATGATTTTATAACGCTGTAGCTTGAAACAGATGATTTAAAGTAGGCTGTGTTTGACACTTCCCCATGCCCTAACAGAGCTAAGCAGTGCTGCCAGTGTGACCACTTTCAGGAGTATTTTACCAGAATAGGAAATGATGCTGTTCTGGAATTTCTCCCAGAGCCATGGGTGATGATTGCCTCCATGTGGCTTTAAACACACACAGACACACACACGTAAATGGAAAAAAAAAAAAGGCCTCTTTTATCCACAAATAAGCTGTCTGCACTGAGAATGGTTCTGAAATGGCTTCTGTGGTTAACAGCATGGCTGAATTGCCTCCGAGCAGGAGGTGTCTTCCAATTGTATCTGGGCTTCGCAGACCAAATGTTGAGGCTGATATTTCGAAGAGTCATGGGAGATCACTGGGATTCCCATTTCAAACCTCTCAGGTGGAACCTGTTTTGAAAAATTGCTGTGTAGGTGAGCACTGGGCTTGTTTAGAGATGTTGGGAACAAAACACCCATACCTGTTAGCTCTGGAGTGGCTGAACACACATGCCTGTCAAGGTGCATACTACAATTTCATGTCTTAGGGACGTATTTCATGTTTTCCCCAGCCAAGATCAGGATGAGCACAGCACAGCCCTGCCTGTGAGCCCTGCATGCCCTAGAGCTGCAGGTGTCCTTTCCTGTACCAGCTTCTTGAGGTCATGGCTGAGCTCGCTGGCCCTGAAGACCAGAAACCTCACCTGGAGGTAAGCCACCTTCTTCTTTTGCCATTTTATCATTTATCATCCCTCTATCCGGTGTAAATAATGCTTGTGTGGACTCCAGGTTTTCCTGACTTGGTGGGGATGGTAGGGAGGAGATGATGTGACCAAACACAGTGCCTAATTCACTACTTCTGGAAAACCACTTCAAGTGTCTGAAGGAAAAATCATCATTAAGATGATGATTCAACTTTCACGCACCCGGTACACCATGCCCCTGTTCAGAGCTGGTTTGGAAGTCCTCTCTCAGTCCCTTCCCCAGAAAGGGTGGAAGCCCTTTGCTGTTGTGGAGAGGGGTTTGAGTGCTCCATCCTGGGTGCCATGAAGCTTGCAGCAATCACCTTTGTGTTTGCAACACATTTTACCCTTTAATAAGGTCTTCATCTTCACGAAGAATTATTATTATTATTATTATTTTACGTGCCACCTACTAGTAGAGCAGAAAACAGATGTAGTTTTGCCTGGGACAAAGATTTTTGTTTCAGCAAGGACACCACTCCAACAGGCTGGGTTTCTTGCTCTATAGGGTCATCTTGGCAGCAGCACGGTGTGTCCCTGTTTGTACCCGGCTCAGCAGGATGTTTTCTCTGTCACCCACCGGGGGCAAAGCTCAGAGCAAGACGCCAGGCCAGGCTGCAGCTCCTAGGGGTGTATTCCTCACCAAAACCTCCAGAAACGTTCAAAGGCAGAAGCCCAGCTCGAGAGCTGCAGTATCGGCTTGCACCTGCAGGTTGTGCTTGAGGACAGCTTTTCTGCTCAGCTCCCACTGCCCGCAGAGTGCTGTCCTGCAAAATGACGCACTTTCTGTCTTGCTTCTCCCAGCTTATATTTGTCGAGGAAATAAGTTATTATTGCTTGCGTTTGCCCGATTACTTCGGCATTTGTATATGTCTGTAACGAGCTTGTGATAAGTCGGGGTGAGATAACCATTGCCCAGCAAAATAAGCAGCAAATAGAACAACTTCCTTAATAATTAAAACCCATGCAGATATATGCTTGTGTGTGTTTATGGTACTTTTATATGATGCCAGCAGTGTGTGAAGCACTTCAAAGAGTTGGAAGACAGATCCTTGCCCTGCAGGACTTGCAAAGCAAACAGAAATTTGGGGAAGGGCAGCAGAGGCAGTGGTTACACCTGAACGGTAACGCTATCAGTTGCATAATGAACTTCATTGGCATGAGGAAGATGCTGGGGCTGATGCATTTTCTATGATCAGGGCTTTTTTTAGGTTTGCTTTTCTTTGTTTGTTTTCCAAGAGGAAAAATACCCGCCTGACCACACCTGCTGATGTGTTGGTTCACAAACTCTGTGAAATGTGGTGAAAGTTGGGGCTAATTTCCCTGTTGCAGCAGGGAAGGGCTACGTCTTGGATTGCTAAATGGAGAACTCACTCAAATACAGCATGCACAGGAAGAAGTATGGAAAACAAGTTGAATTTAGTTTTATTTTGTTTTGCCTGAAGGCTTTGCTGCCGTGCTGTACAAGAAAAGCCATCACTCGTTTCTGCATATCCACTTTGCATTTCTTTTAAGCGTGGTCCTTTCTTGATTCTCCTTTTTCTCACACATGAGAAAAATGTTATTTTGGATGAAGCTGTTGCTGTGGGATGAGCCGTGGTGCTGTGCCAGGAAGTAAGCAAACAAATAAAAAAGGGCACTTGCGCTAGCGGTTGCACAGTTTTGTGCATCACAACTCTTCTCCCACCAGTCAAAAACATTTTTATGTCCTCCAGTAGCTTTTCTGACCTACTGGCCTTGGCTCATAGTGCCACAGTGGCGTTTGCGAGATAGCCTGTAAGAGCAATGAGAGACACACACCCTGCTTGGTAGACGAGCCTCCCGTAATGCAGTAGTCCTGTTGCTTATCTAGAACGCAGTTTGAAGTGATGAACAATTACCTTTGACTAGCGTGAGATTGTGTTTGGGTGGGGAAGGAAATCTGCCAGTGACTTTGCACATGGCTATGTGCTCATTTGTCACGGCTCGCGCTGCTGCCAGAGTCCACGGAGGCACCGTTCTCCCCAGACTGAGCATGGGCACCATAGCCTGCCCTCTGAACAGCTGCTTTTTTGGTGGAGGACACCAGACCAGGTTGCTCCAAGCCCCATCAAGCCTGGCCTTGAAGGCTTCTAGGAGCCGGGTAAGATCCTGTCCCAGCAGAGACGTACCAAACGTAGCAGACAGCAACCACAGGGTGATGGGTTGCAGCTTGTCCCTTCAGCTAACATGTCTTTTTTTCTTCTCCCCGTGACATAATTCCAGCTGAATGCTCTTGGAGATTCAGAAGCTACCATGTCACTTGTGGGCAAGTGGAATTTCAGCTTTGGAAGTGAGTCACCCCTTGGAGCCACGGAGCACACAGTGACTCCCTTGAGCTGCAGGGCAGTGACTAGCACTTGTAGCTCCAGCCCTCAGCCTTTAAGCAGAGCAGGCGTAGGCCTACAGAAAAATTACTGTAGATATTACTGATCATTTGCAAATAAACGGTAAATGATGCTACTCTGCTGTCCCAAACTAACTGCTGTTTCCCAGCTGCTTCAGCAGGGAAGGCTGAGGGCCAAGAAAACTCTTGGCTGCTGGCTTGCTGTCCTCAGCTGCTCTGCGTGCTGGAGGTTGTGGTCTTCCCTGTCATGTTGCTTTCAGAGTTCGCTGAGTCTGTGCCCTGAGCTGGATTTGGGCAGCGTTTTCTTGAAGAAAAGCACGTTTTCAGGCAAATGTTTAATGAACTTCACACAGCAGTCAGCGAGGAGTTAATTGTTAAGATTTCAAGGGTTCGGGTGCTTGACGTGGAATAATTTCACCTAGTGTGTCATGACCATGGCATTCATCTTGAAATCGGTTTACAGGCCCTGCACTGGAGGCAAGAGTTGTTCTTGGCTGAAGGCCTGAGAGGGAGCTAGCTGAGCTGCTGTGTGCTATTTCTGATTCCCCAGTACTCCGGGGAGGGATGAGTAAGGGCCCAGCCCAGCCTCCTGCAAACACAAGTCATTGCGGGGCATTGTTCCATGGGGCTTTCTGTATTGTCTGGGGCACCTGTGTGGCCGTGCCCAGCCATCAGGGACAGGGGGCAGGGCTCTGTTAAGCACTGCACAAACACAGAGTGAAGAGACCAGTGCTGGTAATTTAGTGTCTTCAGATGGAAACTTTAAACACCTTTGGGGCTACCAAATGGGGCTGCTCGTTGTGCCTTGGTTCCCCTCCTGGGTCGGCCTGGTGTTGGCGTGCTGGCTTAGCAACGAAGGTGATATATTTTTGTAATAGGGTGAGCGGTTATGAGACACCACGAAACCTTAAACAGACCTTGGCAGGAACAGTTTTGTTGGATGTGTAATCAATCTAAATAGACCCGCTGATGTCTGCCACGAGCCCACATGACTGCCTTGGGTTTCAGCAGCTCGGCCGGGACAGCCTGGAGGCCGAGGAGTCGGGCCCAGGAGCACAAGGCCGCCTTTGTGAGCGGGGCCTGCCCCACAGCGAGCTCCTGCTCCCTCTGCTCCTGCTGCCTCCAGCCAGAAGCAGCATTTGCAAATGAGAAGAGGCAGGGAAGTTCCCCCGCTCATTTTAGAAAAGCGGGGCCAGAAGCGAGAAAGGACTGCGGGCTTGCCACGTGCGGGCTGCCATGCGTGATGCCAGGCCTCGCAACGTCTGCGGGGCAGGGATGCCTGAGTGCTCTGGGGGTTTGGATAAGGAGCTGATGGCAAGCGAAAGCTACAGCTCTATAAAAAAGCACTATAAAAGTTACTCGTGATTTTCTTGTCCTCAGTACTTGCTGTAGTGTCCTTTGCCTGCTCCATGGGACGGAACCTCCTGGCTGGGGGAGCAGCCCATGCCAGAGCCTGTCAGATCTGGCGATGCCCCTCAGGAAAGCTAAACCTGTACGCTTCCATCTCAGGCCACAGTTAATAATTGATCTTCCTCAGATGCAAGCTGCATGCTTGTAAGAAAATAAAAACAAATAAAATAAATCTGTGCCCTGAGCAAATGTCCCTATGCGTGAATGTGAACTGCTAATGAGTAACTTCAGCAGTTACTTCAGTTCAGGGGAAAAAATGTGTAAACACTTTTGTGTGAGCCATAGTTAAAACTCTCAGCTCTGCCTCTCAAAAGTATTGCCATCTAGGCTGTACTTTGCTGTATGTGTGAGCGTTTCTTTTTCTAACCTGAAACTGGGGGTCTCATCCATAGGTTTAGGCTGAGTAAGCCCAGACAACATACATGACCGTCTTTCCTAGGTAAAACCTTGTCATGGGTGAGGAACAAGACCCAGAAACTCTGATCCCTAATACCTCGCTGCTGTCCTCAGATGGCTCCGTAACACCCTGCTAAAGGGTTCTGCAGTTCCCTCGGTTGGCTGGACCCAAGATAAGGTCACAGTGGCTCCTCCAGCTCGAGTGCAAGCTATCTTTGGGTAGGGCTTTGGAAGTCAAGGGTCTCAATTATGCAACTAATACATTTAAAGTGTTCTCACAGTTGCATGTGATGATGATTTTTCCTGATTTTAATGGCTTATATGATTCACTCAATGATAAAAACGCTTAAAAGCAATGTTGTAGATGAACTCTCTCATTTATGGTGTGACAAGCATTTGACTTTTTAGCCATTCCTCATGTGTTTTAACCGCATACTTCAAAGACATAAGCAGGTGTGAATGGTGACTGGAGACTGTTGAAGGAATGCAGGGGATCAGGGAACTCCAAAAACCACACGGAAGAGAAGGCTGCATGGTCTCCTGTGTTACGTGACATTGCCCAGTAGTGAAGGTGACCGCAGTCTGTGCAATACCACTTCTATCATGTATTTTGGTGCAGTCTTGTCTTCTCAGCATGAACATACCCTTTTCTCTCCATCTGAAGAACCCTCTGCAATGAAGTGCACGAGCTCTGCAGGTCCTCCTTCCTCCTGAAGCTCCTTCTGGCTCCACTGGCAGCCTCGCCAGGTAGCCAGCAATGTTTGGCACGGTGGCAGGAACCCTGGAGATCACCTGTGGTGTTAATGCCCCTGCTGTAAGGGGAGAGGTGAGCACTGCGTGTGACAGCTCGTTCACAACTTTGTGTGCATCCAAGTCCTCCTTGCAGCAGCTATAAGGAACCAGAGCTGTTCTGGTTTTGTCTGCCTGAGTACACGGTGTTCAGCATGGGGTGCTGGAACCTGTTATGCTGTAATGATTGGCAGTAAGGTTTAACACATAGCAACAGACCTTAGATGGCACGCCTGAAATCTGCAATGTCAGTGTCGAGTTATTTCCACCTAGAATAAGGAGGATGCCAAGGATCTTAGCATATCAGTTCGGTCTCATGGCTTAGCATCTTTCTCAGCTTAGCACAGCCTTCATGGGCATCACAACCTCTGTGAGATCTGCGATGATATGAAACAGCCTTGGTGTTTTGCAGCACTTCATCCAGCATTATAGGATGATGGCTTTTAGTTAAAGGTTGAAATATATGATGTATATAATGTATCTTTTTGTACTGTAGAAGAAAAATCCGAACTGTGCTTGTGGTCATCATAACCTAATGCTTTAGAAAACCAGCTCCTTGCTCTGACTGGGAAAACCTGGACAATTGTTTGCTTTGTTCTTCACAAATATTGTTTAAGAGCACGCATCTTAAACAGCTGTCTGTATTGTCAACAGACTGCTTAACCGTAATGGCAATTGCTTTCTGCATCTGGAAAGATACGCTGTGCCTTATCTGTGCTGCTGCATCCTTGTTATAGCTACCTGCTTATTAATATGACCAATTTGTAGTAATTTTTTTTTTTGCTTGCTCAAGTTTAGCCAAAATTCACAGGATTTGGGCCCAACTTTAGTCCAAGGACTAGAATTTTAACATATGCTTGCATTGTTTCTTGCTTATTGCTTTCTTCTCCCCTTGCTTACAAACCCCTCTGTGCCTCCTGCCAGAAGAACCACAGCATCTGGGATTTCTGCTCGCCTTTCTCTCCGATTAACGTAGCCCCACTGCCTTCACATCTTCTGCCTACTTTGGTGTCCTCTCCGTTCTGCAGGGCGATGTGTGGAGAGAGAAGGAACCTCTCCGGGTCCTGCCAAGCGGAGGCGGACGTGCGCAGCATCGGCAGCGGGTGACTCACGGGTGAGATGTCAGCTATGTGACCTTCCAAGCTGTGGCTCGGTGCCAGCCCCAAGGCTGGCTCGGGATGTCTCCTGCTTTCTTTGTCATCACTCTGCAGGCTTTTCAACCTCCTGCTCTTCCCGAGGCAGCTGCTGAAGCACTTGACCACTGGCGCCACTTTCTCGCCTCGGCTCAAGTATTGAAACAAGTACATCGTCATTTGTGGCTTTTTGTTTTTGTGTACGTTTTTTTTTTCCCACCTCCAGATGAACAAAAAAAGACATGTTCCCCTTGCTGTGTGTCAGGCCTCCTGGGATGCCTTAGCATATCCAAAAATGCCGTAAAGCCATCCAGATGCTTCCCAGACGCAAGACACCGTGTTCACACTGCCTCGACTTTCGTACCACAGCCCCTGTTTTACCCGGGGTGCTCCCTCCCCTGTGCCACCGGGACACCGGGGATTTGCGCTGTGTTGGGGGTTTAGGGCAGCCTCCCTGCTGCCCTCACGCTAATCTTGGAGTCTGCTCACGGGGCCAGGGCAGTCGGCCCCGATGTGTGTGTCCCTGGTGGCTTAACGTGAGTGAAGGGGACCTCAAAGCCCAGCATTGCGTGGAGGAGACACTGCCACAGAGCTCGCCAGCGGGCTCTGGCTTGCAGCTGCTTTCAATAATTCCCATTTCCTGTGTGGCAGCATTCATTTCCTTCCAGATCTCACTTGCAACATTTGCTCCCCCAGGTTTTGTCAGAGATGACTTTCCTCACAGGAGAAGAGTCCATTTTTTGTTTTATTTGCCCTCTGCACAGTTGCTCTGAGTGAAGAACTTCAACTATCCCACTGCCTTCATCTTCTATAGCCTCTTGGCACCTTCAAGGAGAGGACTAAAGGCCTTTTTTTTTTTTTTTTTACAAGCGATTTCATAAAGGCATCACATGGTCTTTAACAAGCCGGCACAACCCTCTGCATGCACGCCAGCCTAGGACATCCCCTTTTGCCCAAGGAGAGATGGAGAACCTGCTGCCAACCCCTGCCCACCCGGCTTTGGGATAACGTGTCGCAGGCTGCCAGGACCCGCTCCATCCACCGCAGCTCCGACCTGGACACCTCTGGTAGCTGAAGGTTAAGTGGTTCAAGATCCAGCTGGCTGGCTTTATAAACCAACCCTGAACCAGGCTTGCAAAGGTTGCACCTGTAACTCTGGCGGCACAGCTGCCTCTTACCCATGCCCTTGAGCCGCACTGGGCAGGAGGTGAGAGAGGCGCAGGGAAGCCAGCCTCTTCCTGCTGCAGTCAGGCTGCAGCCAGCCTGCTCTGCCACGGCTCGTTTCAAAGTGCCCGGTGCTTGACCGAGGAGCTGGGTGACAGCTCCTGGGCACGCTGCTCCCGCCCCTGATCTCCCACGCGATGCCCATCTGGTTTTTAAGACACAGGTCTCAGCGTGCCAATGAGTGGCCCTGAAAATTACAAGGCAGATAAGCAAGCAAGAAAGCACAGCTGTAACACTATCCGAGGTGCTGGTTTTTTTGTCCTCCCAGTAATGTTGAGAAGGCGACATTTGATCCGGCTGGATACCACCAGTTCAGGGACACAACGAATACTAGTGGCCTTTTTTGTTTTGTTTTGTTTTGTTTTTTTGAAACTACCGATACCTGTGAAGAAAAGATCCAATCCTAGTGGTTGTCTCTGCCAAAATAACCATGCCAGCCGATTCTAAACAGTTTAATGCCACTCGGCTGGGGTGCAGGGGAGGCCCAGAGCTGAGCCAAATATTTGGAAGATGAGCAGCAGCATTCCAGTGCATGCATCCCTCTGCTTATCCTGGATACAGTGTAGCCAGGCTGAGGGCATAATCTGCATATTACGGATGTTTGCAGAAGATTATCACTCACTAGCATGTGAACTCTGATTGATTATTTCCAGTTCTAGCAATCATTAACAACGACTAGTAGTCTAAGAACAACTCTTTATTTCAAAGGGTAGGATTTATCCGGCTTAGCATCGAGCCACGCTGCGTAGTTGTCACGTTTATCTCTTCAATCAAACGGCAGTACATCCTTCTGCTTGTGCTATTCAGCTCCGAATTTCACCTTTCATACTAATAAAATATGTTGACACATCGAGCAATGTAACTGATAGGTAAAGCAGAACAGGATGAGTCACTGTTTTTAAACTTTTATGTTAGCACGTGCTTTCTTTACGAGAGTATATCAATCAAAAGACCAAGAGATACAAATTCAGAGAGAGGGAACAAGAGGAAAAGGTTGTGGAAATACACAAGGTGCAATAAACTGAAGCTGAACAGCACCAGAATACATGTAATGAAAGTCCAGGAAATAAACCAAATGTAACTTTTTGACTAAACATGATTGCGACAGAGAAATAATTGTAAGTAATACACGGCCTTCTTCATCCTGAGAGCTTTCCCAAACCGTCTTTCTGTTCATCTCCAGTGCTAACACTCCTAGGATGCCACGGGGCTGTGTAACACTGGAAGAGCTTTGCCCTGTTGTGAGATTTTGTGATTCTGCTGCAGACAAGGTGCAGTCAGTCCGAACTGGGGAGGAAGCAGAAAGGTGGCTGGCTGGCTGATGTCTTCCTCACTACAGGTACGCTGATGATTGCACACCTTTGGCCCAAAAGGCACCGTTCATTTTTGCACATATTCTCCTAAAGTCCTCTTTTAGCTGCAGCATCTTCCCAAGATAGCCTGGCGCTGGTCTCATTGCCCAGGTGTCCGTTTGTTCTCCTGACCTGGTTTTGGCAGAGCTGATCCTCAGGTGTGTAATGAGTCTCGTCTAAAGCAGTGTATCTAGCAAAGCGTCTGAAGGTAAAAAATAGTATTGTGTGGGCTCCTGGTAGGCTCTCAAATTAGGCCCGTGATGTCTTGGATGACTGCTGTGGGGGATTATAAGGTAATTTTGTGTGCAAGGACATGACAGAATTAGGGGTGCTCTGGTCATTCCAGAATTGCTTCCATTTCCTCCTGAGATCGATGCAGCAATATCATCCCGACAGACGAGTGGCCTGGCTCTGTGCTTTCTCACAAGGACATCTCACTGCCTGCAGCTCTTTGTTGATCGAGCCGCTCGATGAAACTTTATCTAAATATTCCAAATATCCAAGCACTTGCTCATCGTTTAAAAATTGCCTGTGACAGGAAGGCTGTGAAGCCTGTGGTCCGACAACATCCCTTTCCTGTGGTGCAAGGCCAAGTGTACAGAGGGAAGCGAAATTATCAAAATCTCTCGGCTGCTGCCCTTCCTTTGAGCTGCCCAATGCCACGTCTCACCCAAGGCTCCTCAGAAGATGACTCACAGATTTGTGGTGTGAAAGTCCTCTCCCCCAAAGAGGAGAATTCCCATTCACCAGTTCTGAGCCCTGACAGCGCGCCCCAGTTAAATCGCTGCCCGAGGGGAAGGGGCTCGGGCACGTGTGTGGGAACGAGCGCCTTTGCCACCAGAGATAACGTCATGCCAGAAACGCTCCGAATTTCAGCAGCGCAACCCAGACAGGCGAGGCAGAAGCCCACGTAATTGGGTCTAATACTGCTATGGAAACTATGCCGAGGGCTAAAAATATGCCTTAAAAAGCAGAGCCTTTTCTCGTGCGTTCTTCCACACTGTGTATGAAAAGATGGAGGGTTGTGAAGCAGGAAAGGATGACGTGAAGATGCTCTGTGACAGCAGTGAGCTCTAGAGAAGCACAATTCTCCTGCTTTCACAAATGTTTCAAATGCACCGAAATTTACTTGGGAAAATTTTGGATGTTTGTCTTCTCGTGAGTTAGGCTGAACACACATGCATTTAACCACTAAACTGGCTACTTGCAAAAACTGCTGCTTAAACCAGGCTGCTTTATAGCCTTGATTATTCCTTCCATCCTTCTTTTTTTTTTTTTTTGCTTTTTAATCTCTGAAGCCAGTTTCCCAATCCCGAAGTCCCCACTGGCCTACTGTTGTGGAACTGTTCAAAAGTCCTTGTCTAAACATTAAACACCCTTGGAGCGTGGTGGTACACGGTGTGCAGCCATGTGGTGCGGTTGCTGGTTTCGGCTTGCTAGCACAAGGTTGGTAGCTGAGGACCAGGAGCAGGAGGAGAAGGTCCAGGTTTGCTCCCTCTCCCCGGCCTGCTCTGCTATCCAGAACTGAGCTGCAGTTTGGCACGGCTCGCCCGAGTTAAGCATTAAGTATAACTGTGGGTTGAATGCATGGGGTTTGTAACATTATGGTAGGTGTATCATAGGGCAAACAGGATGCAGGGTGTTGGAGGCATTGGGATATTTCTCTTGTAGGTAAGCTGTTGGCCTCTGAAGGTGAATCCTCTGACGTGGAAAGAGTTTTGCACCTGAAGAGTGCTATAACCAGTAATGTGCGTGAGGAATTCAGCTGCTGTCTCGCTGGTGATGCTGAAAGGAAACAGATTAACAAACAGAGTAATGGCAAAAAAAATAAAATGTGGCCAACAGGCTGAACAATTAAAAACATAATTCTGAAATTGCAATGCAATTTGTCCGTGTAGCTGCGAGGAGGTTGTGTCCCCAGTTCCTCTGGTAGAGATACAGCTGACACATGGATGTGGGAGTAAAGAAATAAGGCTACCTGTCAGTCACGTTTTACCATTAGAGCTAGAGCATTACTTGGGCATTAGGAATGCATGTTTTCATGTGTTCGTGTGGCTTTCCTTTGGAAGTCTGAGCCAGAAAAGACCTGGCAATTTATTTTTTTAGTGCATGCTCATTCAGTTGTACTTTAAATAAACAATATTCCTTTTTTTTCCCCCTTTAACACCCGTCACTTTTCCTCATTTGACTTCACAGCAGTTAACGAAGCAGGTCAGTACTGAAAACCAAGCTATGGGTAAGAGACCAAGACACCCCATCAATGCCAAGAGCAGGGAATGAACTTTGTCCTGAGTCTCCACTCCTGATACTCAGGTTAGGAGATGAGTTAAAAAAGAAGCATTTAATTTTTTTATTTTAAGCACCTTCTTGGCAATTTATTCAAAATCAAATGGCAATTCCCTGGCTCTGAAGTGTTTCTTTGATTTCATCCATGACTTTGTGTCAGTCCTGGCAGATCATCCTCAAGAAACTCGCTTCTCTGATTTGCTTACTCTGCCGTCTGCACTACAAGAACTTTGTATGCTGTCTCTTAATCATGCTAGGAATGCCTCTGGCCCCTTTAGTCTGTCTTCATGTCAGTCTCAGCAAATCCTCCAAATATCTCTGCTGCTTTCCTTTGAATTCATCCCTTACTGCCTTACTATGCGGAACGAGCTGATGAGATACGAGCTATGGTCTCATTGATGTGCTACACGTAGGGCAGATGATTTCAGATTTTTGCTATTGCTTGTCACTTGAGGTCACTCCCTCCCTCAGCTATTACCTTCCAGGTAAATTATTTCTCTCAGTTTTTTTCCCCCTCATTGGATTTCTGAGCTATCATGCTTAAGTATTTTACCCACCATTTTCTTTGATTAAATTGTAACTTTATTTACTGATTATGGTTCTCCGCTCAGAGGCGGCTGCGCTTTATCCCTTGTGCAATCCAAGAGGAAATGTTTCTTGTGGCTGAGCACCTTTCCTTTGAATTGAGATCAAAATGGTATCCAAACATACAGCATGTTAGCCTCACAAAATAAAAAATAAAAGTACTGTTAGGGCCCGCTGCTAGAGTGAGTAGGAATACACGAATAGAGTCAAGATTGTGGCATCTGGTCCTTGGTTCTCCTTTGGAAAGCATTGCCCAGCAACAAATGAAATGGAGCCAACATAACCATTTAAAGTAGCAAAGTAAACAGTTCATGGCGTAGTCAAGATAATCCTTAATTTCTGCTGCTTATCTGAGATCTGCCCTGCCGATCTGATGGAGGATTTAACCTTCCTGAAAGCTGTTGTCACTGGATGCGCTTGAACTGGGAAGACCTCTTTCCACCTGCTTTTCAGAGCTCTTTCTCCTAGAAGATTAACACTGCTTTTAGAAAGAAAAACCTCTGAAATGTAGATTATTTTGAAAGGGCTAAACTAGGAATATTTTTCTATAATACAGAGTAAGCAAAATACTTATAAAACTAATGCCCATTTGAGCGATTTTATTTTTTCCTGAAGAAACATGGCATCTTAAATTGGCTCTCGTAATTTTTGTCTTACAAAAATACACGGGTAGTTGTGGATATTAAAAGAGAATCGTAGGTTTATGGTTATTGCCAACCACGTAACTGACTCAAAAGTTAGAGGGAATTTTAATTTCAAATTACTTCGCAGTATGTTGGAAAGTGTTTTTGTCATTTTCTGTTCCTCTTGGGATACGATGTGAAGCACAATGACAGAGCAGACAGCCTGTCTTCTGTTTTCAAAAAGACAAGTAATGTCATGCTGTTCAAGGGGGAAATCAGAAGGGGTTTTCACAGAGGTATGGGAAAGCACAGTGTAATATCTGAATCAAAACAAAAATTAGAGGCAGTCTAATAGGTTTCAAGTACAACATTTTTCACAAGCAAATGGCCCTGTTTCTGATGCTCTCCCTTCTACATTTCCTAGGGCCTAATTTAAAATCATCTTTAAATAAAGACTCTCTGGTCTACCTGTGCCTTTGGCAAAAGAATTGCTCTGTGAAATTTCTTAGGCTTAGTAATAGCAAGAGCCTGTGGTGATGGCCTGAAATATGCAGCAAAAGTTCTCAGAATGGGGAATGAGTCACTATTGCCCTTGAACTTTGTGAATCTGAAACTATATTTATCATTTGCATTGTTCCCGAGTTGTGTATTTCTAGTTACACACACACAGCAACTTGCCTTCTCTCTCGTTAGCCCCTGCAGGGCTAAAACACGTACAAGGCAATTTCCCGGGAGAGAAGGTGAGGATTCATTTCCTGAAGTGAGTTTTAAGAGATGCTTTATGGAAGAACACTCGCATTGGGGGATTATTGATGTGAAGCTGATACTAAAAGGTCAAATAAAGAAATACGGCAATAGCATACAAAGTAAAAAGAGGAAATGAGTAAAAGAGTTCATGTAGGGTCAGGAATGTGTAATGCAAGGTACTGTTATGAGAGGCAAGTATTTTTGTCTACGTAGTACTTTTTTTTTTTTCTTTTCTTTCCTTCCCACAACCTTACGTGTAACGTTCTGAACAGAAACCAGAGCACTGAAAGGAAAGATCCAGATCATTACATTTTGCATTCTTCCTCTTCTTCCCCCTGCAGCACAAGAGATGAATACGAAGAGATTTTCAACCAGGTCAGTGGCTAAACAGCTGGCTTGCGAAAAAGTGCAGCTGTCGCACCAAAAATATCACCTTGGCAGTAAAAATCAGCGGGGAATCTTGTAAGTGTCTGTAGGGCTGTGTGTTCAATTAGTGACCATATGCACATGTGGGAAACATACTTACTGCCTCTGCACTTGGAGCTGGAGCCCCTGCAAAGAGAATGGAAAAGGCGCTTGGGATACTTCCATCTTTGGAATACAGAATCTAAAAAATGAGAAATATTAGCATTGGGCTGCAGGACGAAAGATGCAGCTATTGGCTTGCCAAGAGGTCTAAGCAAATGGAAATGTAGAGTTAGTTCCAGGAACCGTCATAGGTAACCTAATAAATATGTGAGAACCGTAGGCACTTTGCATCTCCGTACGTGAAGCAAGCGTAGCACAGGATTACACATCCCACACTGATATTTCAAGTTTTCTTGTTCAGTGGGAGGGAAAGCCAGCGGTGTGCTGAGGCTCATTTTAGAGGCATAAATTATCAGCTATCTTCAAATCTGCTTCCAAAAGTTCTCATGGCTGCTGTGATGATTTATTAGCAGAGGGAACTCCTGTGGGCATTTGTGCCACGGTGTACGTGTAAGCTTCTGAACGTGTATTTGCAGTCATTGTCTAAAACTCAGAATGCACAGAAAGCAACTAACAAAAAAAAACTCTGTGCTTTTAAGTGCAATTTACTGTGTGTATACAGCTGAAAATTTCAGTCAGGAGGGAGAGGTGGTAGAAATTCAGATATCAGTATTTTTAGTGTGAAACATTTCCAATAAAGTTTGCAGTAAGACCCATTTAACTCAGAACTACGACTCCCCCCAACTAGTAACAGACAAATTTGGGAATTGGCTGCATTTCGTCAGGCACCTCAGGGTGCCGTGACAGGGCCTGAGTGTGTGCAAGGAGTGACATTAACCCTGGTGCTGGAGCTGTAGGGCCATTTTGTGCCATGCCTAGCGCAGCCTTTGGCCTCGTGCTGCTCTTTGATGCTCGCTGGAACGTGAGCCCGCAGCGTGCCCAGGGAATAACTAGTGATAGGAGCAGAGGGAATGGCCTCAAGTTGCACCAGGGGAGGTTCAGGTTGGGAATTTGGAGAAAATTCCCCTCAGAAAGAGCAGTCAGGTGTTGGGACGGGTTGCCTGGGGAGATGGCGGTGTCACTGTCCCTGGGGGCGTTGAAGGAACGGTTGGACATGGTGCTTGGGGACATGGTTTGGTGGGTGATGGTGGTGGTAGGGGGGTGGTTGGACCTGATCCCGGAGATGCCTTCCGACCCTACTGGCTGTGATTATATTCCAGCCTGAGGCCCGCGGCCGTGCAGCCACTCAGCTGCTGCTGACTGCGTGTTTGAAGGAAGGAGCGTGGTGAGCAGCCATGCTTGATGCGTCTGGGTCTTTTATTTATTTCTTGTTCGTGTTTTTATTTCTAGTAGCCGTGATGCTGCAGGGTGCTGGGTTTGGGTGCCCGTGGCCAGAGCCCCGCGCGTGTGCTCAGGGCGCGGAGGGAGGCGCCTCACAGGAGGAGCCGGGCAGCCACGCTGCCCACATCCCTTTGTCTCCCCGGCAGGCGGCGGCGCGCTTGATCACCGATTTTTCATTTTTTAACACACAAAAAATACAAAAAGGGCCCGTACCCATGGCAACCCGGCCCCACCCCGCCCCCCCGCGGGGCCGCGGGCCCCCGGCCTCCCCGCTCCATAAAATGGAGGCGGCGGCGGCGGCTCCCGCTGCCCTCTCCCCCCCCCGCTCCCTCCGCGCCCAGCCCCTCTGGTGAGCGACGCGCGGAACGACCAATCAGCGCGCCGCCTGCCTGACAGCTAGGCGGCGCCGCCCAATCGCGGCGCGGCGGGGGCGGGCGCAGCGGGGCGGCTCGCGGCGCGGCGGGCCGGCGGCCGGCAGTCGGCGGCGGGGCGGCGATGATGCGGCTGTGGCGGGCGGCGCTGCTCAGGGAGCTGCTGCGGGGGGCGGCCGGCGGGCACGGAGCCGGCACCGGGCACGGCACCGGCACCGGGCAGGGCTCCCGGCGCCTGCCGCCGCTCCCCCCGCTGTCCGCCCGGCGGCTGTGCACTCGCTCCGAGGGAGCGCTGGAGGAGCCGGGGAAGGCGGCGCAGCCCCAGCCCCAGCCGCAGCCCCCGGCCCCCGGGGAGCCGCCGCTGCCGGACGGCGGCCGCAGCAAGAACCACGGCGGGGCCGCGGAGCTGGCGGCGGGAGGGGAGAGGTGAGAGAGGGACGGGGGGGGGGCGGGAGGGACGGGGGGGGCCCCGCCTGCGGGCGCTGCGCAGCCTCCGGGCCGCGCAGGGGGATTTTGGGGGGGGTTCGGGGGGTTTTTGGGGGGGGTTTGGGGGGTTTTTGGGGGGTAAGGCGGG